GTTTTGCTACCAATGGCATGCGCACAATAGCGGTAATGCTACATTGCGGCACATTTTGCTGCAGTTGTAGCACTCAAGCGTACAGTCTTGTGAGGGATTCTCCGCGCGAGATTGGGCTCGAAAATCCGGCCTGGCTTTGGACTCTGTGCTCCGGTAACGGAGGCAAGCTCGCAGTGGTGTAGTTCTTGGACGCTGCATTGTGAGGAAAACTCATGCTGGGTAAAGAACAGTTGATTCAGGTATCAAGAAGCAAGATGTAGAAACAAGGTAGCCCGAAATGGGTATACATAACGAAGTCGGCTTGGTCGTACTTCTCTGTATCGGATATGAAGATACGGTCCATGATAATTAATATATTACAAGTGCACCAATGAGATGCGGTGACGATAGATTACAACTTGCTACGTTGTATCGTCTGAGGTCGATCTGTGATTCGGCAGTGGTTGTGGAATGAGCGGGCGGAAGTGAACGAAACATGCTTGAAGATGATGCAGCTAGAGGAAGGTGTGCGTCGATCGCACCCACTGAAGCGGCAGTATAGTGCAGCTTTAGAGAAGGAAAGAAAGCTCATCAAGGGCGAGGGAACAAAAGCTACACTGTGTTGACACGCAGATGGCTCTGTGTTCGTGATGCCATCTCACGCTTGACGTTCTTGGGAGCGACCGACATGGTTATCTTGAAAGTATCGCGGACGCGAGTTCGAAGCGAAGCCTCCATAGCCACATACACACTGCAGTCAATGCCTGTCTCGGCTGTGTTGGCAACGCTGCAGTAGCGCTCGGAGAACTTGTCGACAAGCTTCTCAATTCTGCAGAGCTCGGCGAGGATAAGGTTGGTTTGATAGACCTCCTCGTGCTCAGAGTCCAAGGCACCGCGCAAATTTTGCTGATGCGACAGGACTTTCATGTACGTTCCGATGGAATAGCTATCGCCTTGCTGATCGTCACCTGCCATTGCTTGATACCAGGAAAGTATCTTCATAATAGCCAGGTTGACTGTAGCTGAGAAGTGGGGGTTCGATGAGCAACCACAGCTCAAGAGTGTGTAAAGGTTGTCAACGGCGGCTATGTTGGTTGGAAGTACAGACCCTGAAGTCGGGAGACTGTTGAGCGAATTGAAGTCACCAGCAGTAGACTGGTTCTCAGGTGGGACATACAAGCTGCAAAGTATTTGGAACGCGAACTGGGTACAGTCATGCCTCAGAAATATGTTGGAATCTGGTGGTGTCGGTAAAGGCGCTGATGCCATGGGCGGTGGAGAAGCCATGATCTTTTCTTGCTGTGCATTATGCAAGACAGACATGCCAAGAAACTGATCGCTGATAGCTGCCGGAGTCTGAGTTCGCTCCGGCGATGTCACCATATCAGGCTGACTAGAAATGCTAGGCGACCGAACGTGAACGTGCCCATGGAAAGCCGTGGATAGCGGAGGATATTGTGGTACTGGAGCAAACATCTCTGTGTTGTTTGTATACAACATCTGTTCACCGTTTGGCCAAGCGTTGACGCGCGGATCGGCACCTTCGGAACCCACGGAAGAGTGACTACTACTGAATGTGTCACCGATGAATGCGTCTTGATAATGGTACTCTGGGGTACGGGGGCCGAAGTAGAAAGGGTCTATCGGTTCCGGAGAGCTTTCGTACTTATATAATGCAGTGCGTGGAAAATGATCCATTCTAGCTCCAAGAGGTACGTAGGAGCCCGCTGGTGAGATCTCGCGCATGATTGATCCGTCAATGTTCCTACTTTTGCGTGGCTTTCCAAGTCTGTAAAAGCGTAAGCTCGAATGCTGTAGTCGACACAAAGCTGACATACCTCATGGAGGGTGAGTAATTGCAACAGATACTCATGGTGCCGCACCGGTGACATATTGGTCTGACTTTGTCGCACTTGACCTTGCATCGGCGTTAGGAAGCGTTGCCAATTTGATGAAAGGGTAGATCGTGTACCTTAGCACGGGAGCAAGCGTCGCAGGAAGCTCTCATCTTGCGAGGCTTTTGTTCCCCATGCGAACCAGTCGATACGAAGGTGATTCCTGGTCCAGCGACCATGTCTTCGGTAGGAGGTGATTGTGACGGGCAAGGTGCGATAGCTTGAGTCGAAGGCTGGAACATTGTGTTATATGATGGTGTGACCGTGGGATGGAGTGCGGAAGTAGACATGAGGAAGCACATATTATATAGAATGATGGGCGATCAGATAGCTTCAGTCTGGACTAGGTTTGATGTAAGAACGATGGTGGCGGACCCACTCCATTACAGGCGTATCCGCGATGCAGGTGGCTGCTAGGCTAGGCGTTGAGCTGATGCTTGGCTCTGCATGAACAGGGAATGCTGCAACCATCGCGCCGGAAGTGCCTTGAATGGCAACATGGGGGCTGAAGGCTTACAGGCGAACATACATGCTTCATCGAGCCTAGCGTATGCCGGGCAGGCTGCCGACCACATGTGCGTGTCGTTGCTCGCCGATTCTGTTTGAAAAGTCCCCCCGAAGAACTTTGAACTGTGTGTGCACTAAGAGTTTTCCAGAGAAGCGTTTCGTGTGCGTTTTGTGGTAGTGGCTTCTCAATGATGAAGAAATCGCATGCTCAAAGCTATACCCTGTGCAAAGGTGGCTAACACAATGGATGCAGTGCCACACAGTCGGTATTTGATGAGGCTCGGTGACCTGAGGCTGCGGTCGCGAGAGAGTGAGTCGACCGCATTGGACAGATTGAACCTCCACGAGAGTCTTAGAAATTTTCCGCCTGTTCGGGAAGCTCTTCCTGTCTTACAGCAACATTGGGACAGGATCGCGGTGCCAGGCCTCCCAGACATGAACCCTTGCAAATCACCTACGGACTGTGTCTCCCTATGTGACTGATTCGACGGACGCGTGGGGTGTTCTAGCTGACCTACCTAGTTCGGCTTTGCTGCACGAAAAGAACGACGCTAATCGATTTTGTTACGGTGCAAACCAAGCCTCACATGCTTGATCTGGTGATGTGTTGGTAAGATACCCGATGTACAGGTACACAATAGCGTATTAAGCAGCGTTCGGCATATTGTAGAACTGGATCCACGTAGGACAGGTAGAACTCTATCCTCAAGCTGGCTGGATAGCGATGGACATAGCCTGAGATACCAGTTGCATGCTGCAGATAAACCAGGGCACTCTTTGACTGAACGTGCTCTTGAAAACCGTACGATCGTTAGATTCTTCGGTTCGCGCAGGTGTATTGGGAGGAGCTGTCTGGCCGACGCTGAGGTATAGCGGGCCGATCATCAACCAACACTCACCTGTGCACACCGCAGCTGCCTGTCTCGTGACACCTTGGTTTTCAGGCTACTGATCTTGTGCGACCACATTGTCGAGAAATAGTACTCAGCGAGGCGTCGCAGACCTGTGCTACTCCAGGCACGCTCAGCCTCGGGCATAATAAAAGAAAGCCAGGGCGTGAGCCACATTGTCGCGTCAAGGCTGCAGTATGGGCGATGCTGTAATAGTGGAGGCATCGATGACGCTCTAACGCGAAAAGCCACAAGTGGGAGGATGTGAACTACCCTGAAAATGGGGGGCCAGAGTCTGCATGACGACAGGCATGGAGCTGTGTTGGGGCGCAGACGTTGTTGAAAGTGTGTGAACTCCACCTGGCACCTGGGCAGGTTGGGGAACGGCACGCCACTAGGCGCCCGCGCTAGCGATCAAACTAGCCTAGGGTGCCGGGCATTAGCCGTCCCCATCGTTCTCTATCTCAATGGCAGATATGCGCCTCACGACCTGGAAGGCATCGCAATTTACAGTGCATCTTACCATATACGCACCACTCGCTCCGGCCCAGGACCACCTCCCAAGCATGCAAACCCGAGCTAGGTCGTCTAGCGCGGATACAAGGCGAACCCCGACTTCAACCTGCTTTGCATTCAACTGCATTCATACTGAAGGTTGAAACACGCACTACCTCTCTGAGTAGGCAGTTCACCCTGTACGATGACGGCACAATTCCGAGGCCAGAGCATGTCACTAAAGCGACCTGTAGTGCGGCTAAGAGCGCATGATCCCATTCAACACGACCGGCTGTCGAAATCCAGACCTCGTCCCGAACAAGGGCATGGGGAGACACTGGTATGAACAAAAGAGAGGCTCGAGATTGGGTTCTGTGGCGTCGAAATCGGAGAGCGAAGAAACCGACAGACTGACGATGATACTAACTGCAAACGTCTTGGGCCGAACACGTTCCATTCAATGCTACTGTTCACTGGCCTGTCGCTCGTCGGAGAGAATATTTCCCTGGTACCCATATTTTGGCATCATGTTTCATCATCCACTGCACGTACTCATTGCCCGCTGTTAGTCCTCCTTTCACGCCACCGACAAGTACGAAACTCTTCGACTGGTTGCCCCCCTGTTTTGTTCTGTGGTCGGCACATCAACCTGCGGCACGGGTACGCGTACCACATCCCTTCGGGGAAGTAGGATTTGACGAGCGTCGCTATTGCTTGAAACCTAAGTGCTGCCGAAAACGAAGGCACAGACTCCGTGTAAAACGGTTGATAGCGTCGCATATTGCGCGGCCCTATCCCGAATGGTCAGCTTCACAGACGAGGGATTTGAAAGAAAGTACAAGTCACGTCGTAATTGCTATGACGCAAGTGAGTAAAGATATAAATCCTGCTGGAAGATCCTTCGCTTTGCCTCGTCGAGTCCTGAACGTCGTCCCGGCGTATGGAGGCGGGCGTGCTTGGCACTGTATAGTCAGCGTGCCATGGTAAGATGGTGTCATCCATCCACCAGGTGGCCAATATTCAATCTTGGTGATTATTCGCAAATATTGCAAGTTTTCGTAGGATTTGAAAGCAATTGCGGACCTAGGGGCCCTTCCGTATGTTAGCGTCAAAATCTCCAGTAGGTCACTGGTCGACGATGATTGGCTCAACGACAGCTGGATTACCTTAAGCTTTACCTGACCTACGTCGTCCTTAGTATGTCACTGCTGAAACCTGATTGGCCTCGATATGATCCGTTCACCTTCGTAATCCACGACAATCAACGTAAAAGAAGAGAAAGCTAGGTTTGAAGCAGCATCAACACATTCTTCTTTTAGCAACTACTGCTTTGACCTTTAGAACACCCTCAATACTGACAGATCAGATCAGTCCATCTCGCATACACCTTATTAAGTCGTTCCATCAGCGCTACTCTCCATTCAAGAAATCGACGCAAAAACCGCATCCCGCCAGCACGAGGATCATGACCTCGTCGCCGAATCAAGGGCCGCCGCCTGATTCTACCAAGCCATTTACATCAGACAAAGGCACAGACCCAGAAAGTCTGCAGCTTCAAGAGCAAGCAGTACCGAACAACATCTCCGTCATAAAGGGACTGGGATGGCTGGACCGCTTCCTAGCTCTCTGGATCCTTCTCGCTATGGCAATCGGTATCCTTCTCGGAAACTTCGTCGAGGAAACTGGACCAGCACTTCAGAAGGGCAAGTTCGTAGGGGTATCCATCCCCATCGCTCTAGGCTTGCTCGTCATGATGTACCCTATCCTTTGCAAAGTGCGCTACGAAACTTTACATCGTCTATTCCGCACTCGGGCCCTCTGGGTACAGATTGCTTTTAGCATTGTCATGAACTGGATTGTCGCTCCGCTCCTCATGGTATGTATTCACCCAAACCGGCCTTGTATACGATTGGCTGACACATCCTAGCTGGGTCTTGCGTGGGCCTTCCTACCAGACAAGAGCGACTTACGGACAGGGCTAGTGTTAGTCGGGTTGGCCCGATGCATTGCCATGGTACGTTACCCGGCCCTCATTTTTTATTCGCTTACTTACACCTGCTTTCAGGTCCTCATCTGGAACGGGCTCGCCGGTGGCGACGACGAATACTGCGCGATCTTAGTAGCAGTCAACTCCATCCTCCAGATGATACTTTACGCTCCCCTCGCCATCCTCTTCATCAAGTTCATCAGCCGCGAAACCGGCACCGTCGCCGTATCGTACGAAACAGTGGCTACGAGCGTCGCTGTGTTCCTCGGTATACCCCTCGGCGCTGCCATCATCACACGACTTCTTCTTCGCAAGCTGGCAGGTGCGGAGTGGTACGAGAAAGTGTTCCTCAAGTGGCTTGCGCCATGGTCACTCATCGGTCTTCTGTACACCATCCTCGTCCTATTCGCCTCCCAAGGTCGACAGGTCGTTCACCAAATCGTCTCCGTTGTTCGAACCGCCGCACCACTGATCGTCTACTTCGTCGTAATTTTCTTCTTTACGCTCTTCGTGTGCAACAAGCTTGGGTATGGATACAAGTTGGGAGCGACCCAGAGCTTCACAGCTGCGAGCAATAACTTCGAGCTTGCAATAGCCGTGGCTGTGGCTACGTATGGCCCCAATAGCGATCAAGCACTCGCCGCTACCGTAGGACCTCTCATCGAAGTTCCTGTGTTGATTGGGTTGGTTTATTTGGTGAAATGGGTGGGTAAGAGGTGGGCTTGGAAGAAGGTTTAGTTTGTACTCTTTACGATCATGTCCATTAAACATACAACTCGTTTACCATTGAAACGGCATGTTGCGCTGCTCAGGAGGCTGGACGTAAAGATCAGAGGAATATGGGACTGATCTCTTCTGCGTCTTACCTAGGTACTTGCAACGCGAATTTACTCTCATCGCTTTTTACTTATGCTTGATAAGTTCCGCGAAGGTGTATGAACCCCAGCAAATCGCGACGTCATGTGCATGGGGCAACCGGGGGTAGCTGCGCGCTATCGCTCAACGTGGCCCAAAGTCTGAATTTCGCCGACCCCGGACATCTTTCCATCATCATTTCTCCACGGAGATTTACCCCTGCGACCATTCCGCCCGCAGCTTATATTCTTCAGGAGCGGCGACACATCGATGACATCTCTTCATGAACCTCCAGACGCCTCGCATGGTGATGTAAATGTGCCTGATGACACCACCAGGTCGAACGCACCTGTCACAAAAAGAGCCTGCGACGCCTGTAAACGTCGCAAAGTGAGGGTAAGACATTGAACGCGCATGCGACGGAAAGAAGGTACATCTAGAATCTTTGCTAACACCATCAGTGCGATGCAATATCTACACCATGTTCAAATTGCCACATCTCTCGATTGGAGTGCGTTTACACGATAGCACCTCAGAAGAGAGGACCGAAGCGTAAACGAGATGCGACCACGCAACCGACCTTCAGGATTTCTGAAAATGGGTCGATGTTAGCTGCAAGTGTCCAGGCGCATCAACGTGATATCTGCTCTGGTAATACCACAACCCAAGCGCGGACGCCGACAATCACGTCAAGAGGCGCTTCTTCGACTGCGGCGAGACGCTCACAGTCCTCACCTCATGTGCAACTGCAGACGGAACTTGCGCCCCACATCATTGCGGACCAACTAATCACCTTGTATATGCACTACCTCTTTCCTATAGCACCCACTGTTCACGAACCGTCGATTCGCGCCATGGTACCCCTGCTGGAAGGTGATGGAGCCCACGGCGTTCTTAGTCCCTTACCAGCATCGCAACCACCATATCACGATATTGGAGGCATGGTTCCATTACGTAACCGCACAATGTTGACAGCGATTTGTGCGGTCACGGCTCTCATGTTACCTGCGTCTGTTTTTCCAATGCGGGAAGAGATAGGACGTCAATTCCTTACGGCCTCACGCGAGACGCTGAAGTTACATCAAGATTACGGTTTGTGAAACGTTCTCAATGCCCTGAACGAAGACTTTGGCTGACTTGGCATGAATCTCAAAGATATCGAGCAACCCGACTATACTGCTTTGGTGACGAGATACTACCATTCCAACGCCTTACGTGCTGTTGGCAGAACGCGGATATCATGGCACATACTAGGGGAAGCTATACGCCTGACACAAGAAATGCGGCTCTACGAAGAATCTTCATTCGAGAATCTTGATCCAGTGGAGGAACATCTGTTGAAGAACATATTCTGGCAGCTTCATACTGCTGACAGATCTGCATCCATCCTAAACAGTCGTCCAATATCGCTCCATCGCCTATGTGTAGGAGCTAAACCCACCACATCTTACTGGCGCCGCCCCTCATCCGACGCGCCTTTGCTGGACCATTCGACCACGCCAAGCGCTCTCGATATAGAGAGCATGATCAGCCAGGGATTTGATCTTTATCAAGACCTATGGACGAAAGCATCTGACATAATCATCAAGTTCGATACTTTGGATGTTTGGAACGAAGGCATTTCGGATGGCTCTGCGTTGGTTGGCCCTCAACACACGATAGTTATCACTGACTATCTCGATTTTATTGGCATGATCGATCACTTTCGATTTGACGTCAAGGTGCCAGAGACCACGAATACATCTGATCCAGCAACCATAGCCAGGATTCAACGGGCTTTTGACATCCAAAGGGTAAATCTATGCATCACCTACTATTGTCTGAAGCTAGTGCTGCTTCAGAGATTCTACGATGGCGGAGTAGCTGAGCATCTCGGCGTTCCAGGGAGGGCATATGGGATTGCGTTGAGAAAGATCGATGTTGCTAGTGACATGGTTCGCATACTATCAGAAGCATCATTTGAGACCCTTCAAGTGAATGGAGAGCCTTGCGTAGGTTGACGTCATGTTAATCCAAGCAATTTTACTGACAACGTCGCAGGTAGAGCAGATACGACGCATGGGAGCGACTCTACTCAAAATTGTACAAGAGACCGATAACTCATCCCTGAAGGAGCGCGCGAAGTCGTTGTTTCTCACCCTCTTGGATGTACTATCGAGACTGGATTCTCGCGTCTCCGAAGAGCTCGATTATAATCGGGGCTTTTGAAATATTCGGCGATATATCAAAGACGTACTACTACAGCTAATAGTGTACAACCCAAATCCACGCCTTTTAAGCTTACAAGACATTACACACTCTCGGATGGAAATGCGCTATCCTTCTGCACCGCCACTTTAATCACCGCGGTCAGCTGCACGACATCAGAGCTTTGACCGTTGAGCGTACGAAGGCCCGTCATGGCTTTCTTATGCTGTTAGCTAAGGTTCAGCGATCCAGGAAACTAGGGGAGGGGTAACGTGCCCAGGACAATAATCACCGCTGGAGCCAGTAGCTACGCAAGGATAGGCATGCGCCATCCCCAGTCAAATTTAATGTACTATCTATCGTAGCCGACGAGTACGCAAGACGACTGGTCGGCAACGTTCATGACATCCTAGCAGGAGTTGTGGTGCCGCCCAACCTACGAACGAACCGAACACCAAAGTCAAGCGTATACCCCGCCTGGTACGATCTTGACATGTGCGGGAGCGAGATCATGCCCCAAGCTGTCTCCGAGCGTGCCCCATGAAAGCATCATATTGGGGTTGACGGAATCTTGAAGGAACACACCAGCAACGTAAAGCAAACGACCAGAAAAGACTACTTTGCGACGAACAATCTTGTCTGCGATAGAGCCACCGTCGAGTGCAGCCACCAAGATATCAACAATCATTAGAGTATTGAGTACCTGCTGATTGCGTGTGCTTATCTCGATGGCGCCATCAGCTGTCACTCAATCAAAACAATCTAGGAAAGCGGGAATCGGGATGATGTTGCCGACCAAAGCAAGCTTGAAGCCAAAGACGACTGAAAGCACGAAGAAGACGAAACACGTTCTAAACGAGTCGATTATTGATCGGAGAGGAAATGGAAAAACACACAACAAGCCAAAATCCACCTTCGCTGCCCAAGATTGCGGAACCTGGGCTTTCACGATAACGTTTGTAATTCTTGGGCTGTACTGGCGCGTCTTTGCCATTGGCGTTTGCTTCAGTCGACCCTTCCAGCGATGCGCATCCCCAGTGTGGCCACACAAGATCGGAAGAAGCTTGCTCGCAACCTGAATGCCATACTTCAAAATACACATACACGTTGTCGCACTCGCAATACTTATAATCGTCGTGTAAACACATACTCAACTACACCCGTGCCGGAGTTTAAGGTGGCCTGGAATTCCTCCACGGCGAAATGGCGACCCCCGAATCATGCACATGCGCTATTGACGATTTGTCACCTGCCGGCGATTGTGGCTGCGGATTACGGCCGAATGGGCAGTGGAGCAACCAACTCCGGTGCGTTTTCGGTATAGCGCTTAGAATTTCTCCGTGGTGAGACAAAAGCGCAAAACACGGGATCCAAATTTCCCCATGGAGTAATACGACATGACAGAGTGGGAATCCTACTTGACGGAGTAGTAATCCAGCCCGACACCGAACAACGAATCCACTCTGCTATCAAGCCCGCAATTGGCAATTCTCTCCGATCGGAACCGCTCGACGCGACTCAGTCCACATCGCGTCATCTTCGAACTTTGCAAACCTCTCGATCGCTGTCTTACTGTGCACACTGAAAGCTTGAGGCCATGTTCCAGAATCCCATCATACCCGGCTTCGCTCCTGATCCATCTGTTGTCCTTGTGAACGGAATCTACTATCTCGCGACTTCTTCTTTCCATCTGTTCCCGGGTATCCCAATCTATGCATCAACAAACCTCCAAGACTGGAAACACATCGGTTCGTTTCTGCGCGCATACTGCAAAGATGTGGGCATTGGCTGAAGCGTTCCAGGAAACGCAATCAATAGGTCTTCACAGCTGGATCTGAGCCATGCTGTCACAGCTGCGATGCCGCTTAACGACGGCAATGTCATGATAGCATCTGGAGGCCTATTCGCACCCACAATCCGTTATCACAACGGCGTCTTCTACGTCGTCTGTACCAACTGCTATCCCGAAAGCAACAACTGGCGAACAGACAATTTCTTAATTCATACAAGAGACATCTGGTCCGATGTCTGGAGCGATGCGATACCCTTTGAGTTCTACGGCATTTACCCTTCTCTCTATTTCGATGACGATAATCGCGCCTACATTCAAGGCTCATGGATGATGAACCGCATAAGAGAGCCTAGTTGCACGATCAAGCAATTTGAGATCGATGTGAATACTGGACAACCTTTATCTGAGACTCGAGAAATCTTGGGTGCCTTTCCAGATGGCGATGCCGAAGGTCCGCACATCTACAAGAAAGACAGCTGGTATTACTTACTTGTAGCACAGGGCAGAACGTTCGCGCATCACATGCTATCGATGGCACGCTCAAAAGATATATGGGGCCCGTATGAGCAATGTCCGCATAACCCTGTACTGACTGCAGATGGCACGAACGAATATGTACAGAATGTTGGCCACGGTGAGCTCTTTCAAGACGTGAATGGAGAATGGTGGGCTGCTGTTTTGGGTGTTCGAGGAGACCAGGAATCAGCACCAATGGGTCGAGAGACGTTTCTCACAACAGTCGAGTGGCCGCAGGATGAATGGCCCACGATAGATCAGCCACAGATGTCGTTCAGCACACCGCGCACAGTGCAAATGGGTTTTGCATGCGCACAGCTGATCAGAAATTCCCGGCAGCTAAAGCCTCACATTGACGACGTGTACCTGCAAAAGCCCCTACGACGGCCTTACAAAAAGGCATCCTCAATAACGCTCACGCCCACTACGTCAACCCTTTCAGCTACATCAGCACCCCTAGCCCTACTCGCCCGCCGACAACGAAGCGTAACAACCATTGCAACTGCAACCGTACTCCTCGACAACGAAGCCACCCACTCCAACGCCATCGGCGGCCTAACCATCTACAAAGACCCCCTTCGCCACGCCAGCATCTCCGTCTGCCTATCCACCCGCCTCATCCATGTCCATTTCGTCGACGCATCCAAAGACTACGAATACACGGCTTCCTACCCAGAGCCCGTTTCCCGTTCTTCGACAGCCATCGACCTCCGCATTATAGCCGCGGCAGAGCGCTACGCCCTCGAGTTCCGCGACCCTCAATGTGACCGAAGGTGGAACCAAGTCGACGTGGTGGATACGAGGATGTTGAGTGCGAGGGATTTCACAGGTACGGTTATGGGTATCTTTGCGCTGACGGATGGGAATGCGACGCTGAATGTTAGCCCGAGGGATGGCTGCGATAGCGGGAGCGATGTTACAGATCAGAAGGTTACGTTTCGGGATTTTGAGGTCAGGCGGTAGATGGACGGCGAAGGGATGTGGTAATGTTACTCTGCATATAACGACTGGCGCAAGGATGGACGATGGAGTTGTTTTGTTGATCTGAGATCGCTTCTGGCATAGAGGGGCGTTTGGTTTTACGTTATTTGGTTTTGATGCTAACGCCGAGTGTTCTGGAGTTACGGAGGTGTTATGCTTAATTGGGTCGAGGTGACAATGTATACTGGGTTCGACTGGCGTTTGAGAGCTTGGGCAAGGTCAAATTGGTAATGCCTCATTTTATTACATGGAAGGATAATAATTTCATATACAGCTTGTCATGCGGATCTACTCTGAGTGTGCTTATAGCAAAAGTGCGTTGGCTCGCTCGCCTGCTTAACCAAGAAATCCTGTCTTTGGCCTTGCATGATCATCTAATACAACATCCGTATCGCCCGTTGCGTTCGATGTCGCTATTACCATAGCTGACCCAAACTCGTCTTGTTTCCCCTCATCCTTCTGTTTAAATACCTGGCCCTTATCCACAACCTCCCACCTAGCTCCCCTCTGCTCAACAGCAACCGTCCTAACCGCCTTCCCCTTTCCACCACTACCCGCTATCCCACCGTACCCCTTCTGATTAGACACGACCAATGTATCCGTCACTTCATCCCGAAATGCACAACTATAATGCGTATGACCAAACGCCCATACTTTCACAACCGGCGAGATCCAACATATCTCTCTTGATAATTCAGACACGAAACCAGAGTTCATCGAACTAGACGAATGTCTTGGATCAGTTGCGCGGGGGTCGATAGTAGGACAGTGATGTGTCGCGATGATTACACTTCGATGCGGTTCATCCGTTTGGATTTGGGTAACTTGTGTGTTAAGCCACGCCAGATCTCGGGCATGCTCCATGCAACTTCTCTCTGGCGTCCAGTCTTGTATACCGCGCTCTTCGTTGTAATCCGTCATTCTGGATCCGACTTCGGCGGCTTGTTCGGGCTGGATGTTGCTCCAGAGTGTGCAGCCGAGGATTGTTACGTTTTCGTTGAGATCGTAGCGGTCACGGAAGAGGAGGCGGAAGCGGCCGCCGTAGTCTTGTTTTGCGGTATTTTCGAAGTCTCGCATTTGGTTGACAGCATGCCCAAGAGTTGTTTGGTAGGCTTCGTGGTTGCCGAGGACGTAGAATATGCGGCAGCCGCGGTTTTGGTCGAGCAGGTTTCGCAAGAATGTGAAAAGGCCATCGTTGCTGACTAGACCTATGTCACCAAGTAGGAGTAGTGCACTGCCAGTGACCTGGAGGTTGACGTATGAGTATTGTGGGTTGTTCATGGGAGTCTCCAAGTGGAGGTCGGAGACGATCTGGAGTTGGGGCGCGAATAAAGCCATGATGGGTATTGTGTGCTGTATGAACAGTATGGGGGTGACGTTCCTCTTATATGACTCTGTGCGATGCGCTAGTGAGGAGAATGTATCTTGGTTGTGGGGTTCTCTGGTAACCAATGGACGATTAGTCAATAGTGTACATCATGGCGGGTACGTCTCAAGATACAACAACGACTTCCTATCTACTTGCACTTGAACTTACGAACCATGCATCACGTGGACAAAGAGGGGAGCTTTAGATTCGCGAATTTCAGTTCCAGGGTATCCATACAAAACTCACGCGACCCAGAACGCCTGTAAAGCTGTGCTCTACTCCCTTCCCTCTACTTCCTAAACAAGCTCGTCGCACTCCCCGCCAGCGGATTAGGCTGAAACTCCATATCATTCCCACCGTCAAAAAGGGGCACACTATCATCATCGACCCTACTCCTAGGCTTGAGCTCCTCGCCCCTAGCAATCTCAATCGTGCTAATGATGGGCAGTGCCAACAACAGCAACGGTAGCAGTTGACCGAAACTCCAGTTTCCTTCACTGGGCCCAACGAGATGGACAGACTCAGGTGGATGTCCAAAAGCCTGGGATTCAAGAACGACGCGCACGGTGGCGCCGACGCCCATGGCGAGACAAGCGAAGAGACCAACGACCTGTACGGTTTTGAGCCATTTGGGGTTAGACCGGTTGTGTAGGTACCACGTTGCGAAGCCGAAGGTGATGACCTGTCCTGCGATAACTGCGATGGTGCCTGCAATGGAAAGCGCTGCATTTCCACTCGTGCCCTTGCTCTCCACCTCCCATACACATGCAATGGGGAGTCTTGGCTCCATATCTTTCATGACCGTCTGCAGTATGAACACCCCACTCAGGATACCCAGAAACATGTTCACTAACATGAGTATCTGTCTAATCCACCGCAGCACCCAGTCCCTCTTGAAATCGTTCACGAGCGCGAGCAAGGTAGCGAGATTTGTGGCGGTGGATAGTAAAGACAGGAGCCAGATGATGAAGAAGTGATAAGGCACCATTGTTTTCATCTTTGCTAGCCCGACAGACTGGATTCCGATTCCCGTTAGTATTTGTTGGTCGGAGAAGGATTGGAGGAGCTTTCGCGAAATGGGAGCTGAGGTGGATTTTCGCAGGCCGAGCAGGATTATGGTGGCGGAGAGAAGGATGGAGAGGATGTTGGTTATTATAAAGGAGAGGAGGGTCTGCAAGGTTTTGAATTAGTTGGGGGGAGAGTCGGATTGGGGTGGGGGGACGTACGCCTGCGCCTGCTACTCCCGCGTCGGTGTTTGTCGTCTCGGGGACGGTGGAGCAGTTGAATGCCATGGTGACGTCTTGCTCTTCTCTGTCCGGGCGGTTGTGGTTGTGTCGAAGGAGTTTGGGTGCGTCAGGCCAGCATACGCGGAGTCGAGTTCTGGTGTCGCGAAGTTCAAATCGCAAAGTCGCAGATACGCACAACAAACAGAGAAACGTTAAGGAAAGAGTCGATTCGAATCGCGCAAGTAGACGTTCACCAGGAAAGCAACAAGAGATAGAGAGCGAAAGTAAAAGTAACGGAAAGTAGGAACCTCAGCACAGCCTCACACCAATGTCATCATACCTTACCAGGGTCCCTCCCTCCATCGCATCTCCCATCTAATTTAAGGCATATTGGCGAGCCCGGTACGCTTGCGCCTTTCCCATACCATCCACCAACACAGGGGTAAAAAGATCGACAGCGTGAAACAAGGCGGTACTGCCGGCCAATAGCCGATCTTTGCCCGTTGACATCTGTGGCGTAAGCGCGCAATCTGCGACAGGTGCTGGGCCAGTTAGAGATGCGGGGTAGGCTTTTCCATGGATGGACGATGGTGGTGGATTATGCGTAGAGGATGATTGTGAGAGGAGAGTGGAGCTTGTAGGTGTTTTTAGGTGCGAGGGCGCTTGCGCAGGGGAGAGGTGGGCGTGCAGCTGCCGGAAGGGTCCGCCGGCGTGGTGCGTAGCGCGGAGGCGGTTTGGGGGATCTCAACTTTATCGGCTAATCCTTCATTTCTTGACATACAACTTTGTTCAGGGTCTTGAATGCTTGAACAAATTGGCTATAGCTGAGTAAAATCGGGTGATGCAAATGGCCTAGGAGTGCTGATATCCATTCCCCAGCTCTCCCAATTTATTCCTCCGAAGGCGGCGACGCCGGCTTACTTGTCGGCGCATACGCGCTCTTCTCCCTAATCTTCGCACCTTGGAGGTAAAACCAGACTGGCACAGGTATCATCGCAGCAGCAAAACATCCAAGTAGAGTTGAAGCCCATTCAACGCCCATGCCCTCGAACATCTCTTTCGCGAAGAGAGGAAACGCTGCTCCCCATATGCTACGAAGGAACGTGTTCGCTGCGATCGCCGAAGCGGCAAACTAGACGACATGTTAGCAAAATCGTGAATACATCGGGATGTGGGCTCTTCTTACCATGAGATAAGCGTCAATGATGTAGTTGAACGACTGCAAAAAGATACTCATGATACCAAATCCGATCAGCAATCCAGAGCACGTGGGCACGATCCAATGGATATCCGCGCGATACCCGGTCCATCCGAACCAGAACAAGCCTCCCGCAAAGGCGACACCACCCACGATAACCTCTGGTAACCGCCACTCAGGAACCGGAACGTTGTTGTTAGCAGCAAGCTTCTTCTGGTACCCCGGCTGCCTCGCAAAGATAAACACTCCAGCGAACAACTCCCCAATGATCATGCCAAAGAACGGCAGACCACCAACCCCCGGGTTCATGCCATGGACTCCCTGGAATACAATCGGGTACGCTGTGAGGAAGAGATACAGCAATCCGTAGATGAAGGCGATGTAGATACTAAGTAGCAGCACGATACGCTCCGTAACCAGCATCCTTAGCGGCCTCGAAAAGTTCTTCTCGATAAGTTCGCGGAAATCGACTTCGATCTCTTCTTGCTTGGCGTGGATGCCCCAATTCTTTGTGCGGCGGCGCAGTTCGGCGGCTTTGGCGACGAGGATGATGGGTGGGTAGGATTCGTCGAGGAAGAGGAGCATGAGGGTGAACGATGCGAAACCCATGAAGGAGCTGTGATGGGATGGTTAGTATACGTGTTCACTTTTATGGGGAGGAGGGAGAGAGTGCTTACACAAGGTACTGAGTCCATCGCCAGGAATTCGACATGACGATGAAGCCGCCAATGAAAGGAGCGAGGAAGGGACCTGTAAAGACCATCACGCTAAATAGACAGATGGCTATTCCACGCGTTCTGTTGGCGAACATGTCGGCGAAGACTGCGGCAACGATCTATGTTCACATCAGTACCGCTGCTTCTACCACTAGGAGCTCACACAGGCACTCACGGTAATCGGACACGCGCCAAAGAAGCCTGCGAAGAACCTGCAGATCAAGATAGTCTGTAGATCCTTGGCCGTCGCACACGCAATGTTGAAGACCGAGAAGCCAAACGATGCAATAATAAGCGGGAGTCTCCTTCCTTTGAGCTCTGAGAATGGTGCCCAGAGGACAGGTCCAGTCGCGAAGCCTAGGATATACAACGATGTACCCAGCGTAGCGACCACATAACCCACGTTGAATTGTAGCTCGATAGCTCTCGTCGCCGTACTAAATATCGAACTAGCGAATGAAGCTGTGACTGTCGTAAAGCCCTGTCGTATAGCACACAACGTCAGTCTATATCCATCATCTCAAGGCTAACGCGTCCTGTTTCCGGACAATCTAACGTACCAACATAAGCGCAGTAAACAACTTCTTCCCCAACATCCAATTTTGCGCATGCAGCGGGTCATCTTCTCCATCGAAATCGACGACATAATCTTCCTGGTTACCGAGAGGAGGAGGATAAGGTTTCCCTGCGCCGAAGGCAGGTAAGGGACGAGAGCGGGAAGATTTGCTGCGGAAGAGACCGAGACCACCACGGTCGCCGCCGCCGACAGTTTGCGAATGCTGGCTCTTTGATGTGTGGACGCGGTCCAAGGACGAGGCATCATGGCGAAGGGCTTCGACGTCTGAGGTTTGAGGATGCGGATGGGAGCGTTCCGTGTGTGGTGGCGGAGGGGTGCGTGAGGACGAAGTGGCCGCTGTGCTTGAAGAAGATCCTGTATACACAATACCACCGTCCTTCTCGTCATCTCTCTCTAGAATTCCGGCCTGGACTTGTGTGAAGCTGTCCGGGCTAGCATCTCGTACGGCCATCTTCTCCGTGTAGCGGTTCTTTGTCGTCCAAGATGACTACAACGAGTCCAGTGCAACAACAGATACTGCGACCCGATGCTATACATATGGCATTCTTCCCACATGTTTAGCGGTCAGTATAGTATTTTCAATGTCCGTTCCTCCGCCCCGAACTCCACAACAGTGTTGATCCCAGAGCGCGAGCATCGGGGATATAAAAATGCACCGATGAAAGACGCGATTTCATTTGCCAGAGAGAACATTCGGTCTTTGCGAGTAATGATGTATATTGCTATTGTTTCGTATTAATACTATGTCACTTTACATCCTCGTCTAGTACAAATCCTGAGTACTGACGATGCTGCTCGCGGCCTCTGAGACGCGTCGTATTTCTGGTGTTGTTGGTTGTTGAGCCATCACGGCGCCGTGGATGCCCCGAAGGGACGTCGAACATGGCTAAGAAAGCAGCGAGCTGACTTTAGTCTGCCAGATGCACCCAAGCTCTCCCCAGTCCTTTGTATATAGGGAGTTCGCCCCAAAGTCCGGGTTTGTACACCAAAGTCATGCAGTCAGAGTTGCAGTCGCCAATGTCTAGGTAAGACGACGCACAATTGTACAAGTCGCTGCCCGACAAGGAGTGACCTTACCGCAGCCCACCTACCGTTGCTACGCGGCCTGGACGGTTCCTGTATGAGCCACTCACGCATCAGGCGTACCGTTACCACGCCCACGCCTGTCCTATGTGATTCATTAAGTCACAAGTGCATATAGCAAGGTGTGTTGTTGTCCCGCAGTGGGAGTGGTATCTCTACCATGTCGTGATTTTGGTATTCATTCGTCTAGCGACTGCTCATAAAGACGTTAAACCGTCCGTCATGATCACGCATAAAAGGTCATAAAAGGGCGCGCCAACAAGAAGAAGTCATCTACAACTTCTGCATGGCAACAACGTCGGTGGACTGGACGTGGTCCTCGAACTCTTCGATCTGTTGCTGGAGCTCGTCGAGCGAGACCTTGTCGTCCTCAACGACCAAGTTGATCTGGAGCTTCTTGATACCGAAACCGACAGCGACCAACTGGGAGGCACCCCAGACGAGACCATCCTTCTCGATGGAGAGAACGTTCGCCTTGAGCTCGTCCATGTTTGTCTCGTCATCTGGAGAAACGTTAGCATATAAGCCACTTGAGAGACGTGGTGAGACACATACCCCATGGCTTAACGTCGAGGGTGACGATAGACTTGGCAGCAGGCTTGACCTTGCCGGCCTTCTTCTTGTTGTACTCGGCCAGACGCTCCTCCTTGATCCTGGCAGCCTCGGCGTCCTCCTCCTCGTCGTCGCTGCCGAACAGGTCGACCTCGTCATCATCGTCCTCAGCCTCCTTCTCAGGTGCCTTGGCGGGGTTGAGGGTGAGCTCAGAGGACTCGGGGCCGTAGGCGGTGAAGTCCTTGGTAGGGTCACCAGGAAGAGAGTCGAACTCGCCCTCGAAGGTGAGCATGTGGTTGTACCAGCGCCATGCGTACGGGTACTTCTCAGGCGCGGGGATCTGCTTGATTTGCTGGTAGACCTTTACATCGGCCTGCGATGGGGAGTAGCTGGGGCATGTTAGCCAATGACTCCTTCAAGGTGTCTGGGTAAGAGGCAGAAGGAGGGAAGATAGATCAGAGTTGCGACAAGCGCGTGGTTTTGTATTCAGATAGCGGGGTCTTAAGCCGCCTCATTAACACGGACCAATTGTTCTCATCATTGAAAACTTGGAAGTGCGATGCAATGCAGGGGAAGGTACAAAGCGAGGGGATTGTATGGCGGGGTAGAAACTTACCCAACAATGTAGCTGCGGGTCTTGACATAGTTGTTCAGGAGAGTCAGGCCTGCTTCGGAAACGAGATCGGTGAAACCCATAATTGCAGATGTGGTTGCGAGTATGGTATGGGAGAATCGAAGGTGTTGTGTTGAGAGAAAGAGGGACGGCTGCAGTTTTTGATGGAGGCTGGAGGAAATTGCACTGAGAAAAACGCGCTAGCCTTGGCGCTAGCACGTGCCCCTCCCTGCCCGCGACAGTCACGAACAGCAAGAGTCAGACCAAGTCATACTCATGCCAACCTTTATGCATCTAGGCCTTGCGCATTATACTCACGCAAATAGATTCTCGTCTGCGCACCCAGCTTCCACCTGTATCGGTTGTGGACGCTGGAAGCCTGGAGTGTTTGCTCATAGACGCGTAGAAATCTATCGAACCACCGCGCATCTTCGCCGAAGCCTGTGCTCCCGCCGTCCACCACGAATATAATGATACCATCTCCATCTTCACCAAATTGACTTTTGCTTGCTTTTTGACTCCGACATCGTCATGCTGACCAGTAGAGCACGCATAGCCGCGAGGCGCATCGCCTCCCCCTCCATCCCACGAGGACTTCCTATTCGCACATCACCGTCATTTCTTAAAACTTCCGCGATACGATTGCCTCAACAACAGCAGCTCCTGAGACCGCTCATATCGTCACGAAGCTATGCCAGTGGAGGCCGACCACATCCTCCAGGTGGAACACATCGCATGAACCTGGGTGGTGAGCCGGAAAAGCCTGCGTTGGAACAATATGGTGTGGATCTTACGGAGCGAGCTCGTGATGGCAAGCTGGACCCAGTCATCGGACGAGACGGCGAAATCCAGCGCACCATACAGATTCTGTCGAGACGAACGAAGAACAATCCCGTCTTGATCGGTTCTGCGGGAACAGGAAAGACTGCCATCCTTGAGGGCCTAGCCCAGCGAATCGTCAAAGGCGACGTGCCCGAATCGATCAAAGACAAGCGCGTCATATCTCTTGACCTCGGGTCCCTCATTGCCGGCGCAAAGTTCCGCGGGGATTTCGAAGAGCGCCTCAAGAGCGTCTTGAAGGAGGTCGAGGAGGCGAAGAAGGGTGTCATACTATTTGTGGATGAGCTACACACGTTGTTAGGTTTGGGCAAGGCAGAGGGCAGCATCGATGCCAGCAACTTGCTGAAACCCGCTCTTAGCCGCGGAGAGCTACAACTTTGTGGCGCAACAACACTCAACGAATATCGACAGATCGAAAAGGACGCGGCGCTTGCGCGACGGTTCCAACCAATTCTAGTGGGCGAGCCAACCGTACAAGACACCATCTCGATATTGCGCGGTATCAAGGAGCGATACGAGGTCCACCATGGTGTCCGCATTACCGACAACGCCTTAGTCGCCGCCGCTGCGTACAGCAATCGATACATCACCGACCGCTTCCTTCCCGATAAGGCCATTGACTTGGTAGACGAAGCCGCGAGTGCCCTACGCCTCCAGCAAGAGAGTAAACCCGATGCGATTCAGGAACTAGATCGTCAGATCATGACCATACAAATCGAGCTGGAATCCTTGCGGAAAGAGACCGACATTGCCAGCAAAGAGCGCCGTGAACGCCTCGAGGAATCCTTAAAGCAAAAACAAGAGGAAGTCAAGGGCTTGACCGAGAAATGGGAGAAGGAGCGAGCGGAGCTTGATGAAATCAAGAGTGCGCAAGAGAACCTCGAAAGGGCAAAGCTTGAGCTCGAACAAGCCCGCCGAGAGGGTAACTTCGCCAAAGCCGGTGAGCTGCAGTACAGCAGGATCCCCGAGTTGGAGCAGAAGCTCCCCAGAGACGAAGAGGTGACTGCAGGCGCCAGCCGACAGGGCTCCTTGCTACACGACTCTGTGACTGCCGACGATATCGCATCCGTCGTCTCTCGCACGACTGGCATCCCCTTATCCAAACTCAACTCGGGCGAGAGTGAGAAGCTCATACACATGGAGGATACCCTACGGCAATACGTCAAGGGTCAAGACGAAGCATTGAAGTCCGTCGCAAACGCCATTCGTCTGCAGAGAGCTGGCTTGTCCGGCGAGAACCGACCCATCGCTTCTTTTATGATGTTGGGACCGACTGGTGTAGGAAAGACCGAGGTCTGCAAGAGGTTGGCGGAGTATCTGTTTAGTACTCCCCAGGCTGTCATTCGATTCGACATGAGCGAGTTCAGTGAGAAGCACACGGTTTCCCGCCTCATTGGTTCACCTGCAGGCTATGTTGGATACGAGGACGCTGGCCAGCTTACCGAAGCTGTCCGACGAAAGCCCTACGCGGTCCTCCTGTTTGACGAGTGGGAGAAGGCTCACAAGGACATCTCGACGCTGCTTCTGCAGGTACTTGACGAAGGTTTCCTCACAGACGCCCAAGGTCACAAGGTCGACTTCCGCAACACCATCATCGTCATGACATCGAATCTGGGCGCTGATATCATCGTTGGTGACGATGTCCTGCACTCGGTCGACAAGGACTCTAGTGAAATCTCACCCGCAGTACGTAGCGCTGTGATGGATGTTGTGTCCGCCACATATCCACCGGAGTTCCTCAATCGTCTCGATGAGTTTATCATCTTCCGCCGTCTGTCACGCGAAGCACTCAGAGATATCGTGGATATTCGTCTGAAGGAACTACAGCAGCGACTGGACGATCGTAGGATCGTGCTACAATGTCCAGATGAGGCCAAGCAATGGCTATGCGACAGGGGATACGATCCGAAGTTCGGTGCTCGGCCGCTCAACAGGCTCATTGCACGTGAGATCGGCAATAGCCTGGCGGATAGAATAATACGTGGAGAGATCCGCAGCGGAGACACGGCTAAGGTCGCCATCAACGCGGACGGCACCGGTCTCACCGTTGCTGCCGCATGAAAAAGTATGACTAACGACGGTATGACTGTATAACAGAATGTAGACTATACTATTGCATGTACATAATGTAGCATCAATGGCGTTTGTAGGTGGAACATTTCCTCTCTGTAGATTGCATCAATGCACGAGATTCTCTTATTTGGTTCAGTACCTCGCGGCAGGCACGCGTCGCGTAAGCTGCCATGCGCGACTTCCTCTTCTATCTCAACCCATACAGCTTAGTGTTCTCTCACCTCACCGGCACTCAGCCCCACCAAAGTCATTATCTTCGATCACCGTGATGGCGCGCAACTCTTCATACCGGAATCGAGGTAGTCGCAGCAGTGCTACCTCGCGCGGAAATCGCAGTAGTCAGAACCACCGTACACCCGCCTACACTACCGACTCGCATGCTTTTTCCACACGCTCTGTTTCCAGTGTGCCGACAGGATCGAGCAGGCCACGGGCTGAAGTTCATCGAGGACCATGCCCGGATACACCAGTCAACACGCCTTCCGAAGAGCGGAATAGTACCGAAGAAAACGAGGACACATTGATCGAGGTCGTCATGGCTGTTGATATGACACCACGTGGTACAGTAGGATGTTGTTATTACGTCGCAAGAGACGAGAAGCTGTACTTCATGGAGGATATACAGTGCGGTGACGTCGACGTCATTGACTCTCGTGTGTTCTGCTTATCTTAAAGTCAAGAGCACATGCTAACTAGGTCGCAGTGAGAACATTCATCGAGCCTACAGTGATCTTAGTATCGACGAAGATTGATGACAAGGTGATCGAAAGGTTCGATCCTGAAGCCAGGAACGAGTGCGCAAGTAGCGACAACGACCAATTTCGCCTTCCATTTCTGTTGGAAATAAGACCACCGAGCGAGTTCTCTTACGATGCCGCAAAGAGCAAGCTTGTCAGCCTTCGCCTGGGTAATGAGAGTGGTACTCGTGTCAGTTTCAACATCCCAGGAGAGCTTGCATCAATGAACTGTCTGGATGAAGAGGGCACATTGGGCCAGCAAGGACAACTGCTCCGGCTCGCAGGGTGGATTGAACTTGACAGCCGTTCAACGGTATTCTCACGCTTTCTGTGGAAGATACGTCGCTAATACTACATAGGTCGGCTGTGCTGGAGCGCTGATATCGTATCTTCAACGCCGGCGCGCTGCGGCATACCTTCCCGGCGATCGCTCAGCTTACCTGATGTTCCGTATCATGACACTGGAAATGTTCAGTCTTCGAGAGACTATGTTCATCAACGCTGATACGCTTCACTCGTTACAAATCATGGGTGCGGAATCGCATCCGCACTCGCACAACAAGGGGCCGACCAAAGCCAGCTCTTGCGAGAAGGAAGGGCTGTCCGTGTATGGGCTATTCCACCATCTCGCTCGAACGCCACAAGGAAGATGCTTGCTTCGTCAACAGTTCCTTCGCCCTAGCCTCAATATCGATGCCATCAACGAAAGGCTGAGCACGATAGCAGTCTTCGTTCGCCCAGACAACGATCCCGCTCTACAAGCACTTGCGAAGAATTTGAAGAACATCAGCAACATGCGTGCTATGATGGTCAACCTGAGAAAGGGTGTGGGCGGCTCAACCAAAGCAGGCGGAGGCTTTTCCAAGAGCATATGGTCATCCATCAGAGCAGTATGTCTCGCAAAACCACCATCATACGTCATCAGACTGATCGTGATAGTTTGCATTTCATGCTCTCAAGATCAAAGACACATTGCAAGATGTTCTCAGCGGTGAGACGTTAGCAATCAGGAACAAGGTAATTACAATCACCTGTCTGGTCACAGATGCCAGGCTGTTGGTGCAGTCTGAAGCAGTTCATGGGATTGAGATATTGATATTCGCAGGTGTTTGAGAAGTTTGAAGGCTATCATCTGGCTCAGATCGGAAGGAAGATCAGTGAGACCATCGACTTGGCTAGTTCGGCAGAAGAAGGCCGAACTATCATCATGCCAGGCGTTGACGACGAGCTGGACCAGATGAAGAGGACCCTGGATAGTCTCGACGACTTTCTCAACCGAGTAGCGCGGAAGTTGTCTGAGAAGATGCCCTCTGACATTCGTACGTCGATATGCTCCTCTCAATGCTCAACATCCGTACTCCAAAGTCACACCACGTCAAAAGCTGACCATACTAGGCGCCACGCTGAACGTCATCTACTTCCCGCAAATCGGGTTTCTCTGTACCACTCCCGTCAATGAACTGAGTGGAGATGCCGTCTATCAGGGCACCTTCGACAGTCCTTGGGAGAGGATGTTTGCCACTGAAGAGCAGGTCTACTTCAAAAATAGCGAAACACGAGAGATGGATGATCATTTCGGCGACGTGTACGGCATCATCTCAGATCGCGAGATCGAGATCAGCCATGATCTCGCACAGTATCTACTGCAATACGAAGAGCTGCTGACATCTTGTTCGGACGTATGCGGAGAGCTTGACAGCCTTCTGGCATTAGCACAAGGCGCGAAAATCTACAAGCTTTGTCGCCCTCGGATGACCCACAACAATGTCATATGTATCAAGGGAGGTCGGTGAGTCTAATAATACTGAATGCGGTATCCAATCACTGACTTCTGTGTAGCCATATTCTGCAAGAGCTGACAGTATCATCCTTCGTCGCGAACGATACGACTCTAAGAGGTGGCGAAGGCGACGCAACCTTTGAAGAAGATGCCGATGAGAGCTATGGTACCGGAACACAGCCACTTACCAACTCCGCGACTCGTCATACATACGCGCACAAGGACAGCGCAAGCATGCTCGTCTTGACTGGGCCCAATTACTCAGGCAAAAGCGTGTACCTGAAGCAGGTCGCTCTCATAGTATACATGGCCCATGTCGGGTGTTTTGTGCCAGCAGATAGCGCAAATATCGGGCTAACGGACAAGATTCTTTCCAGAGTCACGACGCGTGAGACGGTGTCTCGTGTTCAGAGCGCGTTCATGATAGACCTTCAGCAGATATCACTCGCACTGAGCGTAGCTACCCGCCGCAGCTTGCTCATCATTGATGAGTTCGGCAAGGGAACTGAGTCTAGTGACGGCGCTGGTCTGGCATGCGCAGTGATGGAACACCTACTGAGCTTAGACACTGAACGACCAAAGGTTATTGGCGCTACACATTTCCATGGTGCGTGAACTTTGACCATGCATTTGGCAGCTGCTAATGCGTACCAGAAATCTTCGAAATGAACTTGCTTAAACCGAGGCCTGCTCTTGCATTCGGGCACATGGAGGTACGCATCGATGCCGATGCTTCGGAAGTCAATGATCAGATAACATATCTCTACAAGTAAGTCTGCTACAACAGTATGGAATGGTGCATGCTAACAGCCTTTAGCTTTCGCGAAGGTCGAAGCACCTCAAGCTTTGGTACATGGTAAGTCGATAGCTTTGGCGTGATCTATCTTTACTGACAGAACCATAGCTGCGCTGCCATGAACGGCGTCCCTCAGGAGATCATCCAACGTGCAGAGAACCTCATCCTCCTCTCTGTTCGGGGTGAAGATCTCGTCGCTGCGTGCTGTCAGATGCCAGAAGACGAAGCCACAGAGCTTGTAGAAGCGGTATGTGAAGCTATGCAAGTCGTTACATTAGCTGACATTGTACTAGGAGCAAATTGCAAGGGACTTTCTCGAAGCCGATGTGTACCGGAACCCGAAGACTACGCTGGCCAACATACTTATTGTATCTACGACCACGGATTCGCGCAGTTAGACGAGAATGCATCGACGATGGTCTGCGATAAGCGGAGCATGAACAGGATGGAGGTGTGAAGCGTGGGAAGGACCATGGATCGTGCAAAACACTACTCTGCTTTATCCCACGAGAGAGATCACAGCGGCAGATCGAATGATTCAAAATGTAGACGTAAAATGAGATTTGACTGGGGCAGACGACGTGACGATGCTTTCAAGAATGCTCTACCTGATCCATGGCCTTGATCACGTCTTCTTCCTTGAACCGATGCATAAGCTTCAGCGAAGATGTGGTCGTCTCTTTAGCTTCGGCTTTGTCGATGTGGATCTAGTTGAACATTCAGGTACTCTGTGCATTACACGCATATATAGACCCGTAGTCCGGGTCGGCTTACCACCGGAGTATCGAACTCGTACGCGCTCTTCCACTTTTCTTGCCTGGCGTCCATGACATTGATCTCCTCGTAGTCAAATGGCCTCTTCGCTTTGACATTCTGCACAACAGCTTTGGCTGTGTCGCATAGGCCGCATGGCGTTCGGGTGAAGAAGGTGAGCCGGCAAGCGAGCAGACGGGATGTGGCGCGGAACATGGTGGCGACGTGTTGGCAACCCACACACTCTCGGTAACGATGACTACGAGCGTGCAATACAGACGGGGAACTTTGGGCTGACGCGACGGTAATTCCGAAGATGGAAAGCTTCAACGGCCAGGATATCGATTAAGCTTCGCGCTTGGACCCTATGATGACGGCTGATTTCCAGAATGTTCGGAACAAAATCTGGGGCATCGCAACACGACGAGCAGTGCACAATCGACCTTCTCACCACTCGTTAAGCGCGTTATTCACACAAACCGACTATCATGGCGAAGAAGTGTGTTCACAAGGGCTGCGGCAAGACGTACGAAGACGAGAACGAGGAGTGTGTTTACCATCCCGGCCCACCCAAATTCCATGAGGGGCAGAAAGGTAGGTCAGCACAACCAGACATGTATATGAACATGACCAGAAAAGATGCTCATACAATTCGCTAGGCTGGGAATGCTGTAAACCACGCGTCTTAACATTCGACGAGTTCCTCGCAATTGAGCCTTGCACAAAGGGCAAGCACTCTGACGTCGACGACACGCCCAAGCCTGAGCCCGTCAAAGCCCCCGACGTACCCAATGACACCCAAGTCAACCTCGGGTCGCTCGAAGAATCGCTTCCCGCGCCAGCTCCCCGATTACCCACCGCACAAGCCACACCCAAGCCGAGCGCTTCGCCTGCGCCGCCGCCAGAGTCGGAAGACGACGACCCGAGTCTAGAGATCAGGGAGGGCATGACATGTCGGCGGAAAGGATGCGGCGCGACACACAAGGGGGGTGATAGGGAAGGAGAGAGCTGCATACACCACCCTGGTGCACCCATCTTCCACGAGGGCAGCAAGGGGTGGAGTTGCTGTAAGAGGCGGGTGATGGAGTTTGATCAATTCATGAAAATTGAGGGCTGTAAGACAAAAGACCGACATCTATTCGTCGGCAGCGGCAAAAAGAAGGAGGGCGAGGAGAAGCTGGAGACAGTTCGGTATGTCTCCCATTAAGACTGTACAAGACCAGTCACTAACCCCACCCCAGACACGACTACTACCAAACCGCCACCTCAGTCGTCGCATCCCTCTACCTCAAGAAGATCGACAAAGCAACCGCCGTCGTCGAGTTCCAACCCACGCACGTCAAGCTCGACCTCCCCACCACAGACAGCAAGCGCTACCAAACTGAATTCCCCCTCTTCTCAACCATCAAACCTGAGGAAAGCAAGTTCAGAATACTAGGCACAAAGCTTGAGATGACGCTAGTCAAGGCGGATGGAGCTAGCTGGCCGGTTCTGAGGAGCGACGATAAACCTACTGGGGAGATGATTCAGGTGGGTAGGGCGGGTAGGGCGTAGATGGAAGTGCGGGGATTGCATAGATGAGATAATGCAAAAACGAAGTTACGTTATGTCAGTCATACTGCTGTGAGTTTGTGGTTATGTGTGTATGTGTAGGTCGGAGGACATACATGCTCGAGAGGGGTGCTTATTAATCATGACGCACCTCGCCCTCCAGCTATCTCCGCATGTTATGCAATCAGCCTTACAACATTGTCGACCATACCGAGTGGGTTTACTAAACAGAAACCAAGGTACCGATGATTGTAGCAAGATATAAGACCATTGTTCACGTTTGTTGTTACATATCACGCCCATCTTCTTCGACTGCCAATTCCCTTCGCACCCAACACATCCCCATACCAACTATCCTCCCCATCTCTACACCGAACAGCCATCAACAAACCCAATCATGTCCCCCAAATCCAAATTCATCGCCATAATCGCCGGCGTCGGCCCCGGAACCGGCGCCTCCGTCGCTCGCAAATTCAGCCAAACATACCCTGTTGTGCTTCTCGCCCGCACGCCCGAATCCTTCTCTTCTCTCGCTGAGGAAATCAACAAGAACGGCGGGAAAGCGATTGGCATCGCTACCGACGTGTCGTCCGCCTCATCCATATCCTCTGCCCTAGCTGGCATCAAGAAGGAGTTTGGTGACGACGTAGCTGCTGCGGCAGCGGTGTTCAACGCGTCCGGAGCGTTTATGCGCAAACCATTCCTTGAGATCCCCGTGGAGACATTCGAGAAGAGTTTGGGGGTTAGTGGGATGGGTGGAGTGCTGTTCTCACAGACTTTCCTGCCGCTCCTACTAAAGGGTGTGGAGAAGGGGTCTGAACATCCGCCTAGTCTTATCTTTACGGGGGCCACCGCGAGTGTGAAGAGTAATGCGCAGATGGCGAGTTTCTCGACGGGCAAGTGGGCGTTGAGGGCGTTGAGTCAGAGTTTGGCGAGGGAGTTTGGACCGCAGGGTGTGAGTACTTCTTCTCTTTTCTCTGTATGGGTGATTGTGATTGATATATGGAGTGGGCGGTCTTGCTAACTTTGAGCGTTTGTTTGCAGGTTCACGTCGCTCATGCGATTATTGATGGGGTTATTGATATTCCGAGGACCAAGGAGTGGTTGAAGGATATGCCTAAGGAGGCGAAGTTGAGTGCTGATGCGGTAAGTTTAGCGTGATGGAGAGGGGATATCTAGAGACTGACACGTGAATAGATTGCGAATGATTATTGGTGGCTGCATACCCAGCCCAAGACCAACTTTACGTGGGAGATTGATCTCAGGCCTGCGGTTGAAAGGTGGTAGGCTGAAATGAGGCGATAGGAAAATGGCGCATGAGAGTATCAGCAGTACCAGTAGCAAACACTCTTCATTTCCCGAAATCATGTGATCCTGCGTCACTGCGACAATAGCTTTGATGTCGCAGTAAATTCCTGCGTCGCCGTGGATGCCTTCAATTCGTTTTTGCGCTCTTTCAAGGTGAAGATGAGTACGCTAGGAGGCCCTCGGTGTATACAATCTTATAAATCTGACTTTCTTCCTTCTTTTTACTACTTACAGCAACATTCCGTGTCCGAAAACACGCAAATCAGTATACTCGTTGACGACTACATTCCAAACACATTGAGGTATACTTACTGGCGAACGCGTCCTGTATGCGGTAAGCGATACTAATACCTAGTAGATCAACGACAAACCGTAAGTTTCTTTCACTTTACCTCAACGGGGATCGCATATCGACAGTATTACAGCAAACACATCGCCGTCCCATCTTTTGGGTTCACGATGCCTACTCTCAACAAGAAATATACACCAGCTGCTTCGGCTGCGCGGTCTCAGGTCGGCTCGTCTGTATTATCTGAGGCCAAGTCTGTTGAGACGAAAAAGCCTGCGGTCAAGGTCGATGTTGCTCCTGGTCAAGAACTCGCCATGGTCGAGACTGGTAAGCCGCAGTCCAGAGTCACCGCCGCTATCCAGGCGACTCGAGATCAGATGACCAAAATCATTGACCGACGTCGTCAAGATCGCCCTTCCACGGCAGATGCGAGGATTGGACGTGGTCCAAGCGCGTCGTACGAGGGATACATTAGGAGGGGATAGATAGGCTGTAGTTGCCTCGCATAACGGCGAGACATCAAAACCGTACCATTCGGAGGAGGCGAAGAGTTGTCAGCTACGTTTGGAAGTTAGGATGACCAATTAAAGCACACTACCTACCTCCTGGCTTCATCCCGCCATAGGCGATAAAATGAGTAAAACTTGATTCAGACTCCACGTACCACAGTTTCAACAGACGCAACCGGGTGCGACATAATATTCCCGAGGGCAGATAAGATACAAGGTCTACACCGATCGTGCAGCAGCCAGATTGGGCCACTTGCAGAAAATCTCACTCATCAATGTCAGGCTGAACTTGGTCGCATGCGCATGCGCGACATAGTTCGCTGACTGTGGCGAGGGGAGGAATGTCCCATTTGGCCTGACGTACGAGTGCGGCGTATCCCTGGGTAGTCGGTAACCCCTGGCCTCCTTCATCTACAACGTTCTTGAGACGCAGCATCTTTGGAGCGCATCGAGATCATTTGTCGGGGAGAGGCAAATGCTAAGGCCGAGCCATCGAGATTGATGCCGCTTTCAGACCCGCGGAAGTAAGACAACGAGGCTACGTCTACCGGCCACCACAGCCAGGCGATGTCATAGGTAGCGATATGCGTAGTTGGCTGGATGGGGCAAAAGATAAACGAGAGGTTCGCATCATGTGAAGATGTTGCACCGTTCGGAGCCTTGCATACAACCATGCGGGACATGCGCTGGCGACGATGGGCATGGTTCTGACGGACTAGAGTAAGGTGACTGTGAAGCGCCTGGCTGACAGCCAAACGCAATCGACTGGGCGTATTTGTACGTGCGCCATAAGGCTCCGCGGCACCTTACTACTGCATGCAGGCCCGCCCACGTGTCAGCGCCCGTTCTGCGTGCGACAGCTCATACGCCGGGGCAAGCAGAGGTGAATGCGTTTGAGAGACTCGGGCCAGGTGGGATTAGCGATGGACTTGTGGTTCTGACCGGGCCGTTGGTGAAGTGGGAGGTTGCTGCTGTGACTGCGCGCCGGCCAACAGCTGGGTGTCTGGGGTCGTCTGGCAGTGGGCTGTCAGGGTAAGCATAAGCTCATGACGGCAGACCGGCAGAGAAATCGCGGTGACTGGTAAGTTTGTCGGATGAAGCGATCGCTTAAATACCACGGGATGCTATGGCAGCATTCGCTGCAAGGACCAACGCCAAGTTGCTTTCGTCCCGTCGGAAGGGAAGGTCCAACGTTAATACCCGTGTGCCCGCAACATCATCCAGCAGACGCCAGCCAGCACGGCACTCTGGAACCACACGATCCGAGCTACTGCAGATTGTGCTGCCTGCCGCCTTGGAATACGCGACGATTGCGCACCACGTCCGACGTGCACCTGCATCTTGTCGTCGTCGTCGTCTGGTAATCTTCGGCCCCAGCCCGTCACTGGCGTTTCCGGCAACCATCCCATCTCTCCGGCCCGCACATCGCAGCAACATCACCCGAAGGACTCGATCAACAAGACGCGCGCAGCCTCGCAGCACCGCAATTCTTCATCAACCCCCGTTCTAAGAACTCGCTGGACTCATCGCCAATATTCGCGCACCGCCTGACCTGGGCGCCGTCGCGCAGCTTCCCATGACCGGAGAGAATGCACCGCGGCTAACTGCACTGCCTGCTTACCCACAACAAAGGCCTCACCAACGACCACCATCTCCTCCTGGACAGCATCAGCAACTTCAGTCTCCCCTGACCCAGCTCTCCCCATCCACCGTCAAGGCGTCTCCGCAGCAGACTCCCGGGCCCCTTGAGGCTAGCGGCGGCAGTGCTGAGCCTTCAACAAAGCGAGGCATGCGCTCGCAGATTGCATGTACCAGATGTCGCCGGAGCAAGACCAAATGCGAAAACACCGGTCAGGGCACCACGTGCAAGGCTTGCGCGAATACCAACCGCGACTGTACCTGGGACCATGCAGCTGTCGCAACCACTACAGCATCTGTGCGCCGTGATAGCACGGCCGATTTTGATGTAAGTCATCCCATTTCCGCGTCTCGAAATACTCAATTAGCCGTCGTGCATATCAATGTTCGTGGCTGACTTCACGTCCTCCTTATCACGTGCTAGTGCTGACACTCCCAGGCCCCGCCCAAGAAGCGACGCAAGTTGCTAGCACCAACATCAACTACAGCACAACGCTCGGTAGAAGGCTTGGGCTCACCTGAGGATGCTCTCCAATCACCCCTACTTACGCCTCAGGTCTGGGAAGAGTTGTTTGATATCTACGAGAAGCACTTCTCCACCGACTTCCCCTTCTTGCATAAGCGAACTTTCCTCAGCTCGGTTCAGCCCCCACCTCCATCTGGCAGCTCTTCTGACGTCAAGACTCCCACCCAATCCCCAACGCCTCGGCTGTATGCGCCTTTGCTCCTAGCTTTCCTGACTCAGACTGCTCGTTTCCATGACAAGCTCACGGCGCAGATGGGAAATGACCCCATCAGGACCGCCGAGTTTTATGCCGCAGCTACGCGCACGCAGATGGGAACGGAAATCCTTGGGTCTCCAAATCTGGAAAAGATTCAAACACTCCTCATGCTGGGGTACTATGAATGGACTAATTTGCAAGGTACTGAGGGCTGGCTCAAGATCGGTCTTGCTATCAGAAGTGCCATATGTCTTGGGTACCCGCATTTGGATGTCGATGAAAACGGGCTACCTGCCCCACTGAAAGAGTCTGAGAAGGGGCTTTCGGAAAAGGATCAATTCATTCTTCGCGAGACTCAGCGGCGTACCTTTTGGAGCTGCGTACTTATGGATTGCTATCTGAGCTGGGGAGAGGATCGACCGAGGATGCTCACCCCTGACCAACTGCAAAGAACTCAACTTGTGTGTAGCGATGGCGCTTTCAACTTTGGAAAGAGGGCGACAACAAGACTACTGGGCGAAGACGACGCGACGTATGCTGCCAGAAGGAAGCGATGGGATGAGTATACTGAGCAACGACGTAATGATCTCAATGGAGAACTCCGAACTGATCCTCTAGAAGGAGGAAGGTGGGAAGTTGCTGAGCATGAGGCTGAATTGACGTGGTACATCAAAGTCGTTGTGATCTTTGGCGAGGTTTCGCAATGGTCCTGCAAACGCGGAAGAAGGTACGTCCGCTTCATTGGAACCGCTGCGACATCTGACTGACAACGTGAAGACAAGAAGGCAAGAACCCTCCATGGCTCGCAACGACTGGTTTCAAGAAACTAGAGGATAAACTCAAGCAGCTGAAGCGCGATCTTCCTGACCACCTTCAGCTGACCCCGGATAACACCGAGGACCGTATATACAACAAGCCCGGAAAATATGTGGCGATACACGCAATGTACACATTGTGCTTCGTTTGGCTGTATCGAGAGTATATGCCAACATCACCATGGGCCCTGACGCATCCACGCGGCCCATTGGATGAACCACTAATTGACGAGAAACCCCCTGATCCCGCATACTGGAGCAACCAAGCCAGGGACTGTTGGAAAGCCTGCGAAGATTTCACGACTTTACTTCATTCTATTGAGACTTCAAGAGTTCATAGCAATTTGGTGCAAACCCCGACGGTAGCTTTCTCTTGCTTTGCTGTAGGTATAGGCAGTAAGTATCTAAAACTCATCTGGCGGGGCATTGCTAACCAACTCAGCCATCTACTGCCACTACTTCCCTCAGATGGACCCTGATAACGTTCTCTCATCTCGTAAGGATCCCAGAGCTCACGACATCGCAAATGGCTTCCTGCTTCGCATCCTCAGTCGCTTCAAGATGGCCCGCTCGTGGCTCAGTCAACTAGCAGAATGGCAACGGTATTACCGTCGTGAGAAGAAGAAGTACCGAGAACTGAGCGGCCAGATCGATGATTCTCCGAAGAGTAACTCCAGCGATGGTGTCGCTAATGGTGGGCTGAAAGACTACGCACAGCTCTTTGAAAGAACGCACAAGCAATTCGGCGATATGGTCAATAATAACGATGGCCAATGGTCCAACAAGGACAAAGATCTAGCTGATACAAGACTGACGCATGATGAGGACTCCGCAGAGCGCACCTTACCCACCAGTTCGGCTTCGGTCAAGCCTGAGATGCAAGGGGCGGCTGACGATAGGTCCAATCCACAGCCCGGCTTTACTGCCGTCAACCACAATGGTCAACAAACACCCCCAGCCCCGAACCCCTCAACTTACGCGCACCATGGTCATAAGCCCTCTCATGACTCGAACCACCCCCATCGATTTCCAACACAGCCTTCACCACAAACAAACCCATCATTTCCACCATATCCGTATGCCAATCCTCAGCAATCCATGGCCACCGGACGAAGCCCCTTCGAGTCAGCCCCGAATCAAGAGCCCATACAAGCCACTGCATCGGTCCCTGTTCACTATCAAGGATGGCCGCAAGCACGTCCACAGGAGATACAGGAGCTCAAGGTGAATATGGAGATTGATGGACGCGCCACATTTGGCAACGACTGGGCTACCAATGCGATGATAGGTGACGGTGGTGGGGGTCACCAAATCGACTGGGACACATATGGCTTTCAGACTATCCCGAACAATCCGGCATATTACCAGTCTGGCTACCCGTATCCACCGCAGTAGTCAGATGGGATTAAGAGTATTTTGCTCTTTGCTACTGACAGCGCGAATTGGCGGAAAGGCAGCCTGGTCTATGAGCGGTGTTGCGACGAAAATCCTTCGTCATTCGTGTTTTCTAGCATCTGTTTTGGCTTCTTCTCATCCACAACCTCTTATTCCTTTGGCGTATGCTGCGATAGTGGTGCTTTTACTGGCTGCATTGGTGTGCCATTTAGATTCCTAAGGGCGACAGGATACTATGTAGCGGAGTTTGTCTGTTTATAGGCGGGCCTTGTTATTCGATGACGTGCGCGCCTGGGTCGGTGCGTTGGGACAGTTGCGGGCGGGTCGGTTGCTTTATGCACTGTATATACACGTATGATATAGCATGTTTCTAGATCCATGGCAATGGATTTAGTGGTACTCTTGGCCTGCACTTTCCTCTGACTGCGCGCGCTGAATTCGCATGCTTGCTTGGTTTTCGCCATGATCAGTGTCCTGTTACGTCAGGTCCCAAATTGCTGTACCTCGGTAACTCTCTCCCACATCCATCCCATTACCATCAAATCCCATCCCATCACCCATGCCACATCCCAGCACAATTACCCATCTCTAAAAAAGACACCTCCGAGCCAATACTCCGATGCCCGTCGTCATCACACTGCGGATGCCTTTCCCAATCCAGGGCGGAAAGACCTCAACCCAAGCTTCCGCAAGCATCCACAACTATACGACCAAGCATCAACCCTCGCGCTAACCCCACTGATCGCCACCCATCTGCACCGCCTGGGCAACGGTCATGGCGCACATCGGACATGTTAGAGTGGGTGGGGGAGGCGGAGAGGAGGCGGTGGAGCGGAGGTGGAAGCCATCTTCGCAAGGCATCCTGGAGTATGATGTCGGAATCTTGTGTCGGTAATGGCACGTGTGTTGGAGTGGTATTTTGCTGTACAGGATAAAGTCCGAGGGTACCAGGTACGTCGACCAGGGGAGGGATTGCACATCGGACATACTTCCCCGCCTGCGTCAACCGAAATGCGGGCACCGACTCCACCTAGCGGCACTAACAAGCTTTCCAGCCGCGATATTGGTGGAATGGGTACTTGCGTCCTCTCGCACGTTTAGTCGCTTAGATCAGACTAGTATCGCTACGGCTACTCATCCGGTTCAACACGCGGTCTTAGCACGCTCAACATGGGGGTAAACTGGGGAAGTTGACTGGGGAAGAGAGGTATGTGCGCTCGGATGGCAATGGCACGAGCAGCGCGGAAACGATGCTGTCATTGTTTGACAGGAACGAGGAAAGATCCTGGTTCGGCTACATGCATACCGTGTGAAGCTTTATATTGCGTGCTGCTCCCCGCGGAACTTTGACCGAGCTACAAGCAATTTGACCTTTGGTTTCGTATTTTGGTCAATATGAAGAGCATTTCAAAGCTTGCAAGCGCGGTTGCGCTGGGGTGTTTTGCTGTCGAGAGTGCGGCGAGGGCTGTGGGGTATTCGCCTCAGCAATGGATTAAGCCGTATAAGAGAGAGGCTTTACAAGACATCGTATGTTGCTGAATTGCATGAATGTTTTGGGATGATGATGGCTAACCAATAGACAGGTCACATGGGATGAAGATTCGCTCTTCGTACATGGAGAACGCATCTTCTTGTACTCTGGCGAAGTCCACCCGTACAGACTGCCGGTGCCTGATCTCTACTCCGACGTTTTTCAGAAGATCAAGGCTCTTGGCTACAACGGTGTTTCCTTCTACGTGGACTGGGCATTGCTTGAGGGCAAACCCGGCGTTTACCGCGAAGAGGGTGTCTTTGACCTGAAGCCTTTCTTCGACGCTGCACAGGAAGCTGGTATCTATCTTATCGCTAGACCAGGTCCTTACATCAACGCTGAGGTATCCGGTGGAGGCTTCCCCGGCTGGATTCAGAGGGTCAATGGCACGCTAAGAACGCGTGCGCCTGATTTCCTGGAGGCGACTGACAAGTATGTATTCTCATGAAATTTAGGCGACGCGTTACTAACAGCAGACTAGCTATATGAAGAACGTGTTGGCGACAATTGAGCCTGCGCAAATCACCAACGGTGGACCAATCATTCTTGTTCAGCCCGAGAATGAATACACACAAGCTACTTCGGCTATCAAGCCTTTCCCGGATCCGGTCTACATGCAATACGTCGAAGACCAGATTCGCGACGCCGGCATCATCGTACCTTTGATTAGCAACGACGCCTCCGCTAAGGGTAACAACGCACCTGGTCAACCTGCAGCTGTTGACATCTACGGACATGACGGCTACCCTCTCGGATTCGACTGCGCCAACCCAACCACCTGGCCAGACGGCAATCTCCCAACAAACTGGCATCAGCTCCATGAGCAGCAGAGCCCTACTACTCCTTACTCCATCGTCGAGTTTCAATCTGGCAGCTTCGACCCTTGGGGCGGACCAGGTTTTGACAAGTGTGGCATTCTAGTCGGCGCAGAGTTCAACCGTGTCTTCTACAAGCAACTTTACAGCTTCGGTGTTACTATCCTGAACTTGTACATGACTTACGGTGGTACTAACTGGGGCAATCTTGGTCACCCAGGCGGCTACACCAGTTACGACTACGCTGCACCAATCAAGGAGGACCGTCAAGTCGACCGTGCGAAGTACTCTGAGCTCAAGCTCCAGGCAAACTTCTTCAAGGTCAGCCCTGCGTACCTCACTGCTGCACGCGGTAATGCCTCGACCTCTATGTGGACGACTAGCAGCGATCTGAGCGTCACTCCTGCTACTAACGAGAAGACGACATTCTACTTTGTGAGACATTCCAAGTATAACTCTCTCGAATCGACGACCTACAAGCTCAACGTTGCAACTTCGACATTGGGCAATATCACCGTACCCCAAATGAACGGTACTTTGCTTACGCTGAACGGCCGCGACTCGAAGATCCATGTTAGCGACTACGATATTGGTGGCACTACCCTTGTCTACTCTACTGCCGAAGTCTTCACCTGGCACAAGTATGAAGAAAAGACTGTCTTGGTTGTATACGGTGGACCTGGAGAGACTCACGAATTGGCCCTTGCTGCTACTGGACTTGAAGTCGTCGAAGGCGATGTCAAGAGCACTACTACTAGTGGAGTCACAGTCTTGAACTTCAAGGCTGAGGGAGGCAGAAAGGTGGCAAAGGTCGGAACGGACAGCCCCGTCTACGTCTACATGCTCGATCGTGTTGAAGCCTTCAACTACTGGGCTGTTGATCAGGCTGCCCATGACTCGTCTAACCCTGTCATTCTCAAGGCAGGCTACCTGATGCGCACTGCCAAGGTCACTGGCGACACTCTCGCCCTCACTGGTGATCTCAACGCTACCACCACTGTCGAAGTCCTTGGTGGCGCATCATCTGATGTCTCGAAGATGACTTTCAACGGTCAGGATATCGACTTCACCACCTCTGAGCAAGGAACTTTGAGCGCCGACATCGAATTTACCAAGCCAGATGTCAGCCTTCCCAAACTCAGCGAACTCGAGTGGAAGTACGTCGACTCGCTTCCTGAGATCCAACCCGGATACGATGACAGCGAGTGGACTGCGGCCGATCTGAAGATGACGTACAACTCTCTGCGTCCCCTTGATACCCCTGTATCGTTATACAGCTCCGACTACGGCTACCATACCGGCACTCTACTTTTCCGTGGCACCTTCACCGCATCCGGAAACGAAACAACCTTCAACCTTACGACCCAAGGTGGCTCAGCATTCGGCTCGTCCGCCTGGATCGGCGACCAATTCCTCGGCTCATGGCGCGGATACGATGCAGCTCTAAACGGAAGCGCCACTTTCACCATGCCCAACCTTACCAAGGGAAAGAAGTACACCATCACGGTCGTAGTCGATAACCAAGGTCTCGACGAGAACTGGACTATCGGCACCGAGACCATGAAGAACCCCCGCGGTATCCTAGACTACAAGCTATCCGGCCACGACGCGTCTGATGTCAGCTGGAAGCTCACCGGTAATCTCGGCGGAGAAGATTACCGCGACATCTCGCGTGGTCCCCTCAACGAAGGCGGTCTCTTCGTCGAGCGCCAGGGTCTCCACCTCCCCGGTGCTCTCTCCGCCACCGACGCCAAATGGACAGCTTCCGCCGGCCCCGTCGCCGACGGCATCTCCGCCCCTGGAATCGGTTTCTTCGCTACGGAATTCGATCTTAACATGCCATCCGGCTACGACATCCCTCTCAGCTTCGCCTTCACCAACGGCACTTCTTCTGGCAACAGCAGCAGCGATGGATCCAGTGTTCCTGCATACCGCGTCCAGCTTTACGTCAATGGCTGGCAGTACGGTAAATACGTCAGCAATGTTGGGCCGCAGGTTAAGTTCCCTGTTACCGAGGGTATTCTGAACTACAACGGAACAAACTACCTGGGTGTCTCGCTTTGGGGACTTGATGGTGGGGCGACGAAGGTTGAGGGGTTGGAGTTGGAGGTTGATGCGGAGATTTGGAGTGGGATGAAGAAGGTGGGGACTGTGATGGGGATGGAGTATGAGAAGAGAGATGGGGCTTATTAAGATGTTGGAAAGAATATGAATACTCCGTTTCTACGTCATTACTCAGTTCGGTATGTACAATGAACTTTTACTATACAAGTTTTCTGAATCTTTGCGCAAAACGCCATGCTCATGATGTGCGCACGTCGTTCCTCTTGTGCGCATATATTGGTATAGACTCCTAAGCGTATTTCCAGTATGGCACGGTGATTACTAGATTTGGACGGAAAGTGAGAGCTTTGTTTACAGTCCTTCTCAGGTAAGAGTGCGTAACGTTTTTGATATTTCCTCTTATAAAAGATATGTTCAAGGTCCGTGCAGCCTAAAGACAATACGCGCCCAAACCGGGAAGGAGACTGTGACTCTCGTCCTCACTCTCACTTTTTTTTTCGCTTACCTGGGCTTTCCAGCATGAGACCCTGATCAACGCGTCGTCGTCGACAACAACTTTACGTCTTTACAGTCTTTTCCACTGTTCCCACTAGGCGATTCAATTCGTCCACTTTCACGTGAAGGTTGAAACATCACCGCGCGATACCGCCATGGCAGTCAAATAATTCGGATTCGATCAGCGTTCCCAATCCGCACAAACTAACGGTTGAAGCAGCTGGGACAATTGCGGCGGAACGTCGTTCTTGGACTTGTCTGGAGGTAACTTATCCCTTGATCGAGTGTTCTGGTTGTCACAATCTAACATGCGAGTACAGCTACGCAACGCTATCTACGAGCGCTTCATCGATCTTACTCCAACGACCGAGGACGTTGCCAACTTAGGTCTGGTTAACTAACAGATTCATGCTAAATTTGGCACGCTCTACCTATACTCCGGCAACGTCAAAGTTCCGCTAAACTGCATCAACCACGTCTCAAACATCTTTTTCCTCTACTACCCTAAGTTGGCCCTACAGAACGTTCCCTGCAGGTTCTAAGTAAGCATCAACCTATTTGAGTATTAGAACTAGTTGCTTAATCTGCTCAATGTCGTAGCCTGTATGGATTAATACTCGTTACTCGTTATTAAGTAGAACAAGGACATCGCCGAGATCGTTAAGATCCCAAAAGACATAGATGCCCAGAAACTTACGCGGATAACCTTCGTCACTCTTAAGCTGTACAAACTGCCACGCAACATTCGATTAGTCCTAATGCCCCGCATGGGCGATCGCCTGCTTATTATCGTCAAGAGCGACGTTACGGAAGAGCAGATCAACGAGTTGAGGTTCTACGCCGAATATAGCAACACCAAGGTCAAGATTATTTAGGAAGATAAGTCGGACAGTGATGACGGCGATGCAGAGAGCGAGAAGAAGGATTCGGACAACTATGAAGACCTTTGGGCTGGCGAGGATGACGAAGTAGACTGGGACGAGGATGATTCGGAGGGTAGTGAGTAGAGTCGGCTCTACCGTTTAGCGCGTTTGGGTATGAGTTTTCGGATTTTGGCTAGCAAGATGAAGCGCATAGCGGCATGGAGCTTTTAGTCTGTAACACACCCTGGCTTTCACGGAAGGAGAGTGGATAGACGTGGCGCTCATGAAGAAGAAGACGCATTCCATAAGCTCAGCCAATCTCGAGATGAGATGAATGACAGGATCTCTTCGTGCCATCTCCTAGCTGTGTTCGCTCCTTGCACTTTCCTCACTCACCTAGATCTTTAGCGTGGTTTGGGCGCAGGCACAAACAAACGCTTCTTCGCACGCAACAACTTTTCTACTGATCCCCACACTACCTTCATAATCATTTGCTTCTTGGATGCGAATCAAGTGGCGTACTGCAATTGCGCGACTCCACGATGGCAACCAAGTAAGTCATGCCCAGAAGCCTTTCTTGAGGACCCAGACCACACACTGACACTCACAGCGCCGGAAGCCCTTGCCGTAGAAAGACGTTCCTCGACTTACCTGGAGGTGACATTTATGTACATTCTGTTGTTGCCGCAAACTAATATACAATATCATAGAACTGCGTAACAAGATTTACGAGCACTTCATGAACCTTAGACCATTGACTGGTGATGCTGCTAGTGTCGCCTGTATCAACCAGCAAATTCATGCCGAGTTCCTAACGCTTTACCTACATCGAATGTTCGAAAATGGAGTTGGGGTTTCATTTGAACATGTCCATGAGTTCCTCCACTCGTTCTTCGTCGCATATCCCGATTCGGCTCCTAAAGACGTCCCCTACAAGTTCGCGGTGGGACTCGGTGCCTCTAAATCCGACATCGAAGGCGTAACGCCTGCTTGGTCGCTCGATTTGCTCAAAGTCGTCTCAGTCATGCGTCATTACCCGCTGATTAACGTTGTATGGAAGTTGGTTGACGACTGCAAGGAGGCGGCGTTCCAGGATATAGAGGTTGCGTACACCGTGGCTGCTCTGAAAGAAATGAGTGCCAACCGATTCGAAGTGTTGGAATCTGCACACCTCTGCCTGTACGACAATGAGCTCTACAAAACGATCCCGTTCTCAGAGATCGAAGTAGAGGCTTGCCTGTCTCTCATGTTGAAGAAGGGTGCTACTAAGCAAGACGTCAAGAGCCTTGAGGCCTCAAAGTTCCGTTACGGAAGGGGAGGCATTGAAGTAGAGATCTATTGGGAAGGCAATTCTTGGGGAGCGGTACGCGGGTGGTCTTACCATGAATTACTGTGTTCAAGTAATGAGGAAGAAGGCTCAGAGAGCAGCGAAGATGACCACGAGAGCGAAGACCAGATCTTGTGTCTGTAATGGGGATGAGTATGAGACGATAGAGGGTCCATGCTGAGATGCTCGGAGCGGAACGCAGATGAGAGACTCTGATCTGCGAAATTAAGATTCCTTGATATCACAGTGCTATTCTCTTGTGCAGACGAGATAGCGGCGAGGTCAGTTTTGTCTGGAACAAACGCAGTTACGGTAATCATGCCCTTCAATCACATTGACCACCAATGTGAAAATTGTGTTATCAGCTAAATGTAAAGCTGGGCAGTTGTCTCGAGTCCGTGAACCTACTCTTCGAGAGAATCACCATCATTTCTCTCACTTGAATTCCTTAGCGTAGTCTTAGCAGAGGTGCAAGTACACCTCGCCGTTTATACCAACTTACTCACCTTGCTTACAACCCTCACTAAACATAACTTGCAATTGTCTGTTCCGACGAAACCTGCCCGGAAATCGAGCTAGTATCTTATACTGTCGCAATGACAACCAAGTAAGTTGTGCCCAATCAGCAGTCTGCATGAGCCTACACTAATCGAAGTGACAGACAACATCACCATGGTGGGAAGTCGCTCCTTGACTTGCCTGGAGGAAATTGCTACAATTCCTGCCTGATTTACTACCGCAGGCTAACACATGAGATGGCAGAACTGCGCAGGACCATCTACGAGCACTTCATCGACTTCGAAAGACACCCGTGTACCGGTAAGGCCATGAGGCTGCTCTGGATTAATCAGTAGATTCGCACTGAGTTCAGATCATTGTATCTAAGTAAGGGCAATGCTAAGGTTCATTTCGACAACGTTGCCGACTTCCTACGCACCCTTGTTCTCCCTCCTGCGAACTTGGTGCTCAATGACGTTGCTTGCAAGATCTGCGTGGAACTCTGCGAATGCGACTCCGAATGTAATTCTTGGGACCTCGACCTGTTTGAAGTCGTCTCGATCATGCGACGGTTTCCTCTGGTCAACATTCAATGGAACTTGGTCCCATTTGGTCACTCTAAGCGGTACAATGACATGAGTTTCGCTACCCTTGTTTCCACCCTGAAGAGAATGGATAATCGAGATTTTGAGAACTTATCTTCCGCCGCTCTTCTTCTTCATGATGAGCCATTTGGTGCAGTGTTTGAGATCACTCTGAAGAATTATTGTACGGAGCAAGATTTTAAGGATATCGAACTCAGAATTGGGGGACTTAAATATGAATGCGGGGGGATCATTGTGGATGTGAGAGAAAGATCAGGCATACTAGAAAGCAAACACAATGTCTCGGCGAGTGAGGAAGATGCGTAGGACTGTGGTAGGAGGGCAGTTCAAAATGTACAGTGCATATAGAGATCTGAGAGATTTTACGAGTAATCACGCTCCCAACTCATCCAACTAGCACAAACTGACGCATCACGTTACAGAACTGCGCAACGCCGAATTTGGGTCACTTTACCTGAGCCAGGGCAGTGCCACAGTGCCTTTTGACAGGATTATGCCCTGCCTTCGCCATACTATCCACCCTCTCGTCTACTACATGCAAAGGGACTATCCTTGCAGCTTTCGTGTAGAGCTCAACTGGAACGAGGTCTGTCGGCACGAGGGCTCATGGACACTCGATCTGCTTGCAGTCGTCTCATTCATGCGTAAATATCCTTTACTCAAATTTGAGTGGGACCTGAACCCTTTCGCCCGCTCTAGTCGCTCCACCCGCTCCGTCTGTCTCTACAAAATCAAAGAAGAACAAGAAGAATCCGACGAAGAAAACTCTGACGAAGGAGAATCTAAGGAAGCACAATCTGAGGGGCACAGTTTGGGGAAGAAGCTGACGAAGAAGTGTCCGAGGCAGAAGAGATTAAGGCGATTCCGAGCCATCCTGTTCTATTTAGGTTCAGTGTTGATGACATAGATATCGACGCGCCCTTGTCGATACTCAGGAAATTGGAGGACGGAATGCATGCGAAGTTGGCTTTTGTTGAGCTGTCCCTATCTCTCAGGCCCCCTTCTCCTGAGAAGCACATTACAGGTCTAGCAGCCTCTCTTGATATCACTTTGATGGATAATTGCACGAAACAAGACTTCGAAAACGTGGGACTTGGTATTGAATGTGGAGGCATCAAAGTGACTTTTGATATAGCCCATGAACCAGAAAGCGAATATAATGTCTCTGGGAGTAAGGAGGATGAATAGGACTTCACTGTAGTGGGTGGGGATTACGCAGGGAATAGTGCCAGGTAGAATGCAGAGCAATGTACGAGTAATGACTGTTCAGATTATGTGATGAGCTTGAGGACGTGAGAAATCAGCCCGCAGCTTAACGCCGGCCCAGTCGTCGATTTCTTAGGTTTAGCGTGGTCTTGGCGGGAGGCCTCATCTTGGACTTAGGTGCAAGTGTCGCTATACAAACACCATTCAGTCTTGTTTACGACACCTCTTCAACATCATCGAACCGCCGAACATCATAGCCAAGCCTCTTTGAAAGGCTGAATGTGGTTTCGCGATAATAGTATGGCCCGAGTTTGAGTCAAAGGCGTACTCCATTCCTCGTTGCGATAACAGTATGGCACTCAAGTATGTCAAAAGAGCTATGTAACATCGGAGCGCTAGTTGTTGAATATTGAACTTCGAAGCAGCGCACACTACCGCGACAGAGCAAATTTCCTTGATCTACCTGGAGGTACGAGGTCTTCAGATCCCGTAATTTAGCTGCCCCGGCTGATTTCAGGTCCTCCATACAGAGCTACGCAACGCCATATACACGTACTTCCTCCTTCTAAAACCAGATTCTACCGACGCCATCAATCTCGTCAATACTCATGAGCAAGTCCACGATGAGTTCGCGCCTCTGTTCATGTCTCCGTCCAATAGGCTATGCAATTTCGCCGTTGATTTCCGAGAACTGAACAATTACCTGCACGTCTTCTTCATAAAGCGCCCGCATGCCAGTCCACAAACGATCAACCGTCACGTCTTCATAAGCCTCCGCGCCTACGGGATCGGTGAAGAACGGAAAATTGACCTTCTTCGATTGGTCAAAGTCCTGAAGGAATTCCCTTCATTCAGAATGAACTTCCACCCAGGGCGCATAAGGAATGTCCTCATCACGTCTTACATGGTGGAAGAGATACGCTCCGCGGTGTTGGTCTTGAGAAACATGGACACGCGAAAAGCCGAAAGAGTGGTCTCCGCCGAGCTTGAAATCTTCATGCCGAATGAGAATCAGAGAGAGGCCAAGATGCGACCGGCGGTATTCGTCAACATTACTGGAAAAAGACGAGCTGAGAAGGTGTCGTGGAATAGTCGTTTGCGGCCCAGACGGCAGGAACATGTGGGTAATGGTCTTACTGAACTTGGATTCACCGCCAACTTCAAGCTCCTTAAGGTGCGGATCACCTGGGAAGACTGATTCACGATTGCGGCGTGATGAGCTGGGCAGCGCGGGAAGCTGTAGAGCCTTCGTCGTTGTGTGGTACGTGCCCATCACCTACCCGTCTTCCCAAATAGCAAACAGCCCTACTATTCCGAAAGTCTTGATTCTAAATCATTCTGCTCTTCTCTAGTCTCGCTCTTGCGCCGCTTCTACCGATGCGCTATGAGTGTCGATGTAATCGAGAGGTGACTGAGTTGCTTTCCCAACTGTGGAATTCATAGATGCGAGTACGCAAACCCATGAACGAACCTGGTATCTCAATCTAAGAATGAACGACCGTGTACTCACGACCATGTTCTCGAACCCAAGTTCCGACCTCGGCGATAATGCGCAGAGCTCACAGCGCGCCACGCATCACCGCTCCTCCGATCACACTGCATGCTGCACGCTGCAGGGTGTTTATCGAACAACGCCAACACCAGCTATCGTGAACTAGCGGGTATTGATACCACGAAGCTAGTCCTGCACCTGATGACCTTCTGGCAAGCTTCCGGTTCGTCCGTTGGGCATTAGAATACCCAGCCGATGGTCAAAGCGTGCCAACGTACCTCGCCAATTCATGCCGCGAAGAGCGAACGAGGACATACCTTGAAGAAGGGGCATACGTAAGAAAGAGGCTGAACACGAGAGTCAGCTTCCAGAAACCCCTCTTCTAGAGGCATAACCGTGCACAACACCACGTGAACAGAGCTGATCTCAGCATCCCCCTCATCCGCATAATGCCCGCTCCCTTCGTACACCCCCAAAGTCTCGCACCCTTACTCCCCCGAATCGGCGATGCAAACGGTCAAGCGCCCAGACCATCTCTCATCAACGCACCCACGGCAGAATGACGAAGAACCTCGCAGCAAGTGGATAAAAAGAGAGAAATCGAAGCGAACGCCAGCATGTTGATTTAGGTCAAACGTCACAGGTACCGTGATGTGGGCCAATGGGCTTGCTAGCGCAGACGGCTACTAACCCCACAAACATGCAGGTGGGCCGTGCTAACCGGATGCGGGGCTAGGCACGTGGATTGTGGTTTTGGGACCACGGGGTATGGAGGGTTGACGTCGGTCGGTCGGTCGGTCGCTATTGTTGCTGCGTTGGTTTGCTGGCGTTTCCGAGGGGTTATAAGAAGGGTTGCGTACGCTCGTGGTGTCCGTGAGCTGGTACTTGAGGCTTTTAGGCTTCTGCTTCTGGAATTCTACAGTATCGAAGCTTTCGTTCGGTATCTGAGTAGCTTTGTTTGTTGTATCAATTCCACGTCATTCCTGTTAGTTTCCGCGGACCCTGAGTCTCGCGTGGTACTCACCGACCTTCCTCCCTGCAGTGCACGTGTGGGGCTGATCCTCCTTCTTTACTGGGGCCACGGAGCTGCTGTGACGCCCAAGGGTCTGTATTTCTCTTGTCTTGTTGAGGAGGAAGTCATAAGAAGACTGTCAGCAAAATCTGTGCTGCCTTCTTTGTTCAATTTCCACGTCTTCAATTTTCTAGGTACCTACAGGGCGTTCATCCAACAACATCACCTTAATACCCAACATGGTCGATCCACACAACCTCACGACAACAGCCCTACACCCATCTTACGAATCCACCATACCACCACCCCACCCAAGCATGTTCACAGAAACCCACATCCACATGCTCATCGCAACCCTTGCCCTCCTCCTCCCCACCCTAACAGCCCTCTACATCCACAAAGACTACTGCGCCTTCCTCTCCCTAGGTCCCGGCGGCACTCCAGCCACACCTTTGGGCTACCTAAAGATCAAACTTCTCTCTTTAATCTGCCTGCGCGACCCCCTCCGCCCCATCGCCATACCACCACACTTCCGGCCGCAAAAAGGTTACTTCACCGCCGACGCGTTGCCCACTCGCAAAGGCACGAAACCGCTCATTCGCGGTATCGCGCCGCAAAGGCAGCAGACGCAGAAAAGCGGGCAGGAGATTTATGGGTGTTTGGTAAGCAAAATCAAGGGTCTTGCGAGGGATCCAAGGAATCGGTTGTTGGAGCGCACGAGCTGTTTTGAGAAGCATAGTTCAGGGTTGTTCACCAGTGTACCGATTACGAGGACGTGTGGAGGGGAAATCTGTCATGCGCATCCCAGTGACGGATCGATGCATATGACGTTGCATCCTGCGGATGCGAATCTCCTAATCACAATGGGCTGGGGGGAGAGACATCCGCTCGCGAGGGGGGGTTGGTGTAGGAAGTTTGTGCCGAGAGAGTTCATGCTGGTGTATGCGCCCAGGGATGAGGCGGAGGTGGAGGTTGTGGCAAAGGTTATTGCGGCGGGGATTTGGTGGGTTAGTGGTGTTGATGTTGATGGTGATAAGGAGGGGCCGAGGAGGAAGAGTAAGGATGTTGCAGATATTGGGAGGGAGATGGAGGGGAAGGAGTGTTGGGCTTGTAGAGTGAATGGGTGTGGAGGGAAGCAGGTTGAGAAGATGACGAGCGAGGCGTGAGGGAAGGATTAGAGGGGAATGGCTTGATGGAACAGATTGACTGGGATTGCTGGTTTTGCTCGTTCAAGCATGGCGTCTGGGTTTTTTGCGCATTCGGGACACGGCATTGGATATCGAGACTGGGCATTCGGGTGATGGACGATGGAGACAACGGCAGTCGACACAAAATTATGTTTGGTATCGAATCTGGAGCTTATCGTGACGACTTGCGCGCTCGAAGTGTCCCACAGGTGCGCGTTGCCCATATACCACGCCCTCAACCTTCCGCTGGAACTCTTTAACCCAAATCTCCCCCGCTGTCCTACAACCATCTACTGTTTCCCACCCTGCCTAACCCACTCCTCATACTCTTTCCTCTTCCCCTTAACATCCCAGAACCCCTTCCTCCCCTCACCCTTCCCACCAATTCCGCCATCCAGACCCAAAAACGCATACGGGTCGCCTTCACTCAAAACCTCTTCACCCTCTTTTGTGTAGTAGCCCTCGCCGTGTCGTCCTTCTTGCGAGATCTGGCCCGCCCATTGCGCGTATTGTATTGGCTTCAGCGGCGCGAACGATATAACGATGCCAAGGGAGAGGATGAGAATGGAAGTGAGGAGTTCGAGCGAGATGTCGAGGGGGAGGGGTGTGGATGCGAAGGTTGCGGTGTGTTCGTGGGTCGAGTAGACACTGGTGGGGGTTAGTTTGTGGTAAGAAGTGTGCAATGATGCTCATGTGACTCTCTGTTTGAGGATATGGAGACGTGAGCTACGTGTACACGTACGCATGTGTGAGGAAGAGCGCGCCGATGCCGTTGAGGGCCGTTCCTAAGATGGCCATTGCGAGATTCGGTGGACCGTGTGCGGCTTGTTGATGCTTGTCACGTCGGCGTTAGTCGGTTGTAAGTTGATATTTACAGGGTCTCGTGACCGACGTGTCGATGGTGTGGATAGAATGCGGGTGGGCTGGTGGAGGTCGGCGTTCGTGATGCGAAGCGACGAGCTTCACTTTTGCTTGGCACCAACATGTAATCTGCCCGCAGAGCGTGGAGTCCGCAACACCACGACACTCATCCAATCAATTATCAACTATACCTCTTCAACAACGTCAATCACCCCGCCAACACTAGCAGAACATAGACCGTAGTACGATATCTAGGCTACAGTCTGTAAAAGGCACATTGCCTTCTTCATCGAGCCAAAGGCCGCATAAAAGCGCTCATGCGCGCTCACTTCGCTTGCGGGAGAATCAGCAAGGATGCTAAGGCAGCAATATATGTGGCTCCACCGTTGGATTCCTGAAGATTATCGCCTTTTATGTCCGCATTAACTGCGTCCGGAGAAGAGGTCGGAGAATACGGTCTCCGACACCATGTACGGGAATTTCGTTCGGAGCAGCATCGTACTGCGTCGGCTTTGTGTAGCAATAGTAATATAAAAAACGAACATGCCCGGAAGGATAGACCCGGTTGTCATTCAGCTGATATCGTTGCCTTTCAAAGATATTGCCTACTCTTCTCTACCCACGGACCCCATTCTCTTGTCCTACTGCATTGTGCGTGCGTTCAAGTACTAGTACTTCATCAAAGCAACTCTCTGGTCCTACCATCGCAGAGATGTCTACCACACAACCCCCTCTAAACATCCTTATCGTCGGCGCAGGCGTCTGCGGCCCCGTCCTCGCCCTCATACTCCAACGCAGCAATCCTCTTCACACCATCACAATTATAGAACGGTACCCCACGCTCCGCACAGGCGGCCAGCAAATCGATCTAAAAGCCCAAGGCATCCCCATCATGAAGAAACTAGGTCTCCTCGAAACACTGCGCCCCTACTGTGTCCATGAAAGCGGCATGGAGTTTGTTGATCGGAATGGCAAGAGTTTGATGCAGTTTGGTGTTATGGCTGCAGAGGGGGAACGGGGGTCGTTGGCGCTGACGAATGAGTTTGAGTTTATGAGAGGAGATTTTGTGAAGATGATCTACGATATCAGTCTACAGGAGAGGGAAGCGTTGGATGCGCAAGGCTACAGTGGGAGTCTGAAATACGTCTTTGGGACGACTATCACTGCACTCTGCCCAGACCCAACAACAGGCACACCAAAAACAACAGTGACATTCTCCAACGGCTCAACATCCTCCTTCGACCTCATCGTCGCCGCAGATGGCCAATCCTCACGAACCCGTCGTCTCGCCTTCAGCCAAGAAACCAGCGACGCCTCCTTCAGATCCCTAAACATCCACGCCGCATACTACAACATCCCGCGCCTGTCCTCAGAAAACAGTCTCGCACGCATCTACTTCGGTCCGCAAAACCGCATGGTGATGACCCGCACGGGTGATCGTCCCGTCACACAAGTCTACCTCTTCCTCTTGAGGAACAACCAGGAACGGGGGAGTCGCATGAAGGATACGTATAAGAAGCCAGCAGCTGAGCAGAAAACTGTTTGGAGCGAGGAATATGGTGATGCGGGGTGGGAGTGTCCGCGGTTTCTGAAGGGTTTGGAAGGGGTGAAGGATTTCTATGCAACCGAGATTGGGCAGGTCAAGATGCCGGAGCAGCAATTGCACAAAGACCGGGTTGTCCTACTCGGAGACGCTGGGTATTGTCCCTCTGCTTTCACGGGTATGGGGACCACACTGTCGCTCATCGGCGCGTATGTCCTCGCTGGTGAACTGGCGCGGTGTGGCAGTGATGTTGATGCGGCGCTGGACGCGTATCAGGAGGAGATGAAGCAGCCAGTTGAGGAGTGTCAGAAACTGGGGGCGTTGGTGGAGGATTGGAGGTTCTTTCCTGAGTCGGTTTGGGGGATTTGGGTCGTGGGCTGGGTGCTTTGGTCGATTTCGACGATGAGGGTGGATAAGGTGCTGGGATGGTTTGCGGGGTGGTTGCCGGAGGGGAAGGAGAAGAGGTGGGAGTTGCCGGAGTATGAGAACTTGAACCTGAGGGCGCCGAAGACGGAGTGAGATGGAGTGGGAGGAAGATGGATGTTGATGCCGTGACAGGTGTTGTAAGGTTGTGGCGGGCGGAGTTTGTACTGTATGCATGCGCTACGATGCGACGACAGCAATCCCGACTCATATTATGAATGATGTAACACGATCGCGCCAGTAGTATTTGCCCCGTCGTTTTCAAGAAGGTGATCCGAACGCGACACATAACGACTCATGTCTTCTTCTGCCCAGATAGTCTCTTCCTCGCTCTTCGCCACCTTGATGTACCACCTCCGCGATCAAGCAAGATGTCTATCGCCTGATGCATCTCTCTTTTTCTCTCCTCAAACTCATCATTCCAGATTCCTGGGTTTTCAAAACGCTGTATAAATACTTCCCACTTTTTTGCATCGAGCCCGCCTAGCAAGCGAGAAGCATATAATAGGTTCTCTCTTGGTAGCGTGAGTCCTGTGATACGAACGTAGCTGGCAAGGTTGAAAAGCACGGCAAATTCAAAAAAACTTTTGACAGTTCCTTTGAGTTTCCGGGGCACGATATCGTCGTATACAGCCGGATAGATCCCCGCAGTACGTCCGACTTCGTCTAGAAACTTGACTGGGCAAATGTTGAGCCGCTGTTCTAGCCGCAGTGCGTAGTCGACGCAAGATAGGAATTGGGAGGTCTTGGTGCTGATGGTCTCGACGACGGTCTTAAATAGACCTAGTTGACCGTTGGCCCAGTGCCATTCAGGATCGAATGCATCATGTCCGGTGTTGTCGAGTATGATGTTCCATGTTCGTTGGGATCGAACAAAGTCTTTGGCTATCCGGTGCGTCCAGATAACATGAGATACTGTTAGTGGTCAGATGTGACCTAATTTGTGATAGAACTTCAACTTACCCTTCGAAAGTCCAGCTCTTGAACTTCTGCTCTGGCTCTCTGTCTCTAGAAAGCCTCTGCTTCGAGAAATGAGCCGACGATTCATCATTTCGAGACGCTCGAATATCTCATTGTCTGACAGCGGTCGGGCCTCGTTCCTCAATGTCGCGTCATCATTGTTGCCATCCGCAAACCATAGCTCGAGCAGAAGAGGCCGCGGTTTTATCGTCATCAAACGGAGAAGTTCCGACGCGTGCTTCAGATGCTCCGTGTCCAGACGCCCGAGAAGTTTGGTGAATAGTTGCTCTAGTCCAGATGGTACTGTCTCGAGCCGAGCAATGAGACTGCCTATGCGGGCTGTAGGCGACAGATCATCAAGCAACAACTGCGCCACGATGTATGCCCAGAGAAAGACACCAGCTGCCTTCTTAGCTATACCTTTGACCAGTTCAGTAGCGCGACTGAGATCCGTTTTGCTGAGCTTGTCGTATACTTGCGACCCTGACAGTGAGGCCGCGACGTAATTGTAGATATCCTGGCGATTCAAGAGTTCAAGGCGTAGACAAGGCTGACCTGCAAAAGCGCGAAGAAGCTCTGGTGACGATCGGCTGGCAATACAGACCTTGACATGTGGATATTTGGCTATGTCTTTGATCAATTGAAGAATGTCTTTCAGGCCACCTTCGAGTTCGTCTAGGCCATCGATAGTGAAGAAGAACGATCTTGATTTGCTAGGCGTTGAGATCATTGCGAAGAAGGCCTGACGCAACTCAAGCCATGTAAAAGGTTGTCTACCTCCACCAGAAGCAAGGAATTGTTGCCAGCGGTGATGAAATACCTGGACCAGCGTCTCCGTGTTGCCTTTGAGCGCAGAGTGGATCAAGGTTCGTAGAAGCCCGCTACGCGATTTTTGCATGTCGTTGCCCAGACTAGAGAAGAAAAAGCTCCCTTTGATGAGTATCGTTCCCTTGGCCCAGGCGCGCAGGTGAGCGGTGGTGCAACGGTGACTAGACACGAATTTCATCAGCGTACTCTTCCCAGTACCCGGCTTGCTACTGATCCAATACGTATTACTGCAACCTGTTGCAGTGAGCCACCGAGGAAAGGAGTCGAAGTCACCAGTAGCGGACTGATCGGGACTTGCATCGAATATCCATTCCGAGGTCCCTGGGTGTGCAATAGCAATCGCCTTGTATCGATCGTGCAGACCAGTGAAATACAAGCGCGCCAACGTCAAGCTGGCAAAACGGCGTTCCATATCATTGCTTACGACGGATTTCTCGAATTCATTTGAAAATGCCGAGACATCGACCGTTTCCGTAGTTTTCCAATCGTGATGCGCGATAGACCGGAGTAGGAGTATGTCGGGTCCTGTAGTTCCGTCCGCCGGAATCTGTGTTTTCTCTGAATGAACTGAATGCCGTCGAACCGCATGCTGTCTATGATCTGGGTCAATATGTGATCGTACTGGTGACATCTCACTGACCGGAGCGAGGCGAGCAGAGCGACATCTACTTGCTTACGAATAGAGCCAAGTTTATCCGCAAGATCACATATCGTCTTCTGACTGTAGTACAAGTTCAGAACGCTGCGTAGTCCTTGTGCTAGTACTGTCCGCTCGTCCACGTCGTTGTTGCGCTTCGCCTGATCCAGTGTGGCCTGTAAGAGCCTTGCCCTGCCCCCACCATCTTTCGCCAGTGCAATCAGTTGCGCATCTGCAATTTCCTGATCAGGAGATATGTGTGACTTGTAGTATACTCGCCGTGCCTTTTCAAGTTGTTGTAATAAGTCGCCGAGATTAGCGATGGCGTCATCGAGCAGTGTAGCCTCTCCTAGGGTGGTGCCGGTGGGTTTGTATGTTTTGCCCACTTTGTCCTTTTGGATCACTTTCGTCGAAACGTCAATCAATTGTATGACAGCTGAAGCCAGTGACACAGCCATCAGAGGCTCCATGGATGTGCGAGGTGTTACAGAGCGACATTGTGTATGCGGTCAGGCAGGATAGAGAATGACGGCTAAGGCGGCAGAAGATTGTGTTCACGCGCTTCGCTAAGGCATCTGGCATCCTTTAGCTCAGCCATGATGGTGTAGTCCACCAGTCAGTATGAAGGAAGGGCGTGATGATAACAACGGCTTGCTTTTCTGCTGCTACCCGGTGTCCCTCAAGTAAATCCATGCCGTTGTTAGTCATCCCAATGACGTGCAAGGTTTTGATGGCAGGGGCATGGCTTGCCAAATGTGGGAATTCAATTCGAAGACTGTGACCAAGAAGGAAATAAGCTAGAAGGCATGTGAAGACGGAATAGGGTTTGGGAGTGGAGAGCGGTGAAAGACCCGCAGCCGTGGTTCACGCTATGCGAACTCGTCTTTTCTAGCCTTGCGGACCGCCGAGGTGGGCCGTGCGCTAGGTAAGCTTTCCCAGAGTGTCGCTGATTGCACGTCACTCCACAACGCCCGACCATGGCCGAGTACTGGAAATCAACAGTAAGTCAGACCAAGACTGGCAAGCGCATCATGCACTAACACAAATGCAGCCAAAATACTGGTGCAAGTTCTGCTCCACATTTGTGAAGGACACCAAATTCGAACGCGCGCAACACGAAGCGACCGGCCGCCATCAGGGCAATATCCAGCGCAGCCTCAAGGGGCTCCATCGCGAACAAGAGAATGAAAAGCGCAACCAGGCGCGTGCACAAGCAGAAGTCGCACGTCTAAATGGTCTCGTGCCATCTGCATCCACGCCTTCCGTCGCAACCGGCGTAGGCGGCAAACCTACATACGAGAAGAAACCACAACAGAAGGCGACAGTAGACGATAGAAAACGGCAATGGGAGCAGTTAGCCGCCATGGGTGTGGCGCTTCCTGCGGCCGCAAGAGGCGACATGGCGATAGCAGGTGAATGGAAGACGGTCAAGGAAGAAGTCGTGGGAGAAGTGACGGAAGACGGAGAGTTCAAGGCGACGTCGCTGAACAAGGGCGTACGGAAGAGGCAGCTTGACGAGGATGAGGAGGAACGGGAGGCCGCTGGTGAAATCATTACGAAACGGAAGGGTTGGGGACATACCTACAAGAGTTTCCCAGGCAGCAAGGGCGGTGACGACGATATCGAGAGTTTGCTCGGGAAGAAAAAGCCGCAAGCCGAGGTCAAGAAGGAGAAACAAGAGGATGGGGTGAAAGCTGAAGCTGAAGAAGACAACGACACGACAACACTGCAAGATATACCTACGGCCGAGGAAGCGGAGGCGAGAGCTGCCGAGACTGTTGTCAAGAAAGAAGAAGATGCGCCAGCTGCACCAGCTGTGGTATTCAAGAAGAGGAAGAAGGCGAAATGAAGGGCATGACCAGCGATACAACCCACAGTATCTGCACTCGCCGCTCACGCTGCTACGCTCCTCGTCCCGAAACTCGCGTATTCAAGCTTCAACTTGGATCCCCGTCCATAGCAGACTTTCTCAATAAGCTTAGGGAAGCCTCAGATGAGTTTTGCCGATAAGGATGGACATGCGCATGCAGCAGGATATCATCACTGACCACCACAAGGGTCTGAGTGACTACCTGGATGACCATGCTGATTAGAAAACAGCCGCATATAGTTAGTGAAGTACTGTCTTCAGGTGTCTTTGTGAAGGAGCAACCAATGGCGGAGCGGAGAGTGCAAAGTAGGAACTTGGGACGTTTACCTCTCAGAATCAGCGAGACCAAGGTGAAGGAACACCAAGCTCACCGTGCTATCACAGTACATGCCATACTCCAAATACTTTTGATGTTTGATTGTCTCCACAACCATGAGCCGCTTGTTTAACGTCCACTTTTCGATCGGCGCATGCACCTAAACCTTAAACCCCTGCCCAAACGTCTGCCAAGTAGCGTCAACCGCGAGATCGCGTCGCCAACACCAGACAACTGTCGCGCTCCACCAGAACGTGCGCCTCAACCACCAACTCTCCACCACTGCACCTAGCACTCCCAATACTACTTTCATGGTCGCGCATTAGCATGATTAAATTGCTAGCAACACCCACGCGACCATGCATCTCATTAAACCACAGTGGTTGACACATCCCGGTGGGTGCACCTCCGCGCATACATGCCCTTTTCTATTAGCATCCTGCTGACAAGTACCTCTATTAGGCGAACAAAAAGATTTTGAAGTATACAGCTGCCACGTATCCCCTGATGGATCGCGCCTGGCCACGGCCGCCGGAGGTTCGTCAACCCACCCTCGATTCCCACGCGATGCGCTGCACCGTAGAACAACGCTGACACACATCTATAGATGGATACGTACGTGTCTGGTCTACCGAAGCCATTCTGAATTCCAACGACCCCTCGTATACGAAGCCGAAGCAGCTCGCGGCTGTCAGCAACCATTCAGGCACCATACACGCGGTCCGCTTCTCTTCCAACGGCAAATACCTGGCGTCTGGCGCAGACGACAAGATAGTGTGTGTCTATGCGCTCGACAAGAATGCGCCGACACATACAGCATTTGGTGGGTATACGTTAGGCAGGTACAAGGGACGTAGGCTGATAGAATTACAGGATCGAACGAACCGCCGCCCGTCGAGAATTGGCGCGTCATTCGTCGCCTGATAGGACACGACAACGACGTACAAGATCTCGGCTGGTCATTTGACTCGTCGATTCTGGTGTCGGTCGGATTGGACTCGAAAGTGGTAGTCTGGTCTGGGCATTCTTTCGAAAAGCTGAAGACGCTATCAAATCACCAGAGTCACGTCAAAGGCATAACATTTGACCCTGCCAACAAATACTTCGCAACTGCCAGCGATGATCGCACCATCAAAGTCTACCGATTCAATTCCCCGCCCCCGAACGCTTCGCAGCAAGACCAGGTCAACAACTTCGTCCTGGACCACACCATTACCGCACCCTTCCAAACTTCCCCACTCACCACATACTTCCGTCGCTGCTCATGGTCACCCGACGGTGCACACATCGCCGCTGCAAACGCTACAAATGGGCCAGTCAGCTCCGTCGCTATTCTTGCGCGTGGAACCTGGGATGGAGACATCAGTCTGGTCGGCCACGAAGGGCCCGTTGAAGTAACCTCTTTCTCTCCAAGGTTGTTCTACCGGGATGAGCCAAGGCCAGAAAAAGACGGAACTATCAACCAGCCGACTGTTACTATTGTCGCCTGCGCCGGACAGGACAAATGCCTGAGTGTATGGAATACGAGCTTCCCCAGGCCATTCATGATCTCGCAAGAGTTGGCTAGCAAATCCATCTCCGACTTATCATGGTCACCAAACGGAGAGACGCTATACGCAACGAGCTTGGACGGCAGCATAATGACTCTTGTTTTCGAACCCGGAGAACTCGGCTACCCAGCGACATTTGCGGAAAACGAGAAGACACTCGCTAAGTTCGGTGCCGGCAGAAGAGTTGGTATCATCGAGGGTACAGACGCGCTACTTCTGGAAGAGAGCAGTAAGAGTGGGGAACTGAAGGGTGTTCAGGGCAGGATGGGTGCACTAATGGGCGACGGAGGTGCCGTTCAACCACCGACCATCACGAACGGCACCAACGGCGTCACCCCCTCAACAAACCTTACCAACGGATCGGGTGCCGCAGCACCACCACAGGCTCCGGCTGAGCCACCCCCAGACGTGAGGGTCGAGAAGCTCAAGCAAAGAGTAACTGTCACCAAGGATGGCAAGAAGCGTATAGCACCTATGCTCATGTCATCTTCGTCTGGTGTTGGCGAATCTTCGTTACCTCAAACACAGCTTCTTTCTGCGACGACAACCTCAGGGGGCAGAAGTGACAACCCCCACAATATCCTAGATCTGTCAAAGCCATACGATGGATTTCCAAAAGGCGGACTTGCATCCATGCTGATAGGGAACAAGCGGAAATTCGCCGAGATCGAAGGCGATGAGGACCGGCAAGTGGAAAAGAGACTGGCTGGTTCAGTGAAGCCTGGAGGTGCAGCAATTGTGCTAAACAGCGAGAATGGTCTTATTCCTCCCGCTGCTGCAGCTTCTAAGAACAACGAACTGACAGAGCCTCCAAAAGTCCTAAGACCGGCCATCGTCAACCCTTCCATGGCCCTCGCTCAGGTACGGTTAGCCGTGCCGAAAGTGAGAAGCGTCATCGTGCGGACTATGGATGGCAGCGAGCCACCGCAAAGTGGTGTTGATGCCAACACAGGCAAGGCGGAAATACCAGACACAGTCGTTCTAGAAGCGCGTAATGCCAGCGGACCATCACGGACGGGACGGCCACAAGATCACGATCCTACACGGTTGACATGCACTAGCAAAGGACAATCACTTTGGCAAGATTTTCTACCAAAGGCCGTGCTCTTAGTGACTGGCAACACAAACTTATTCGCAGCAGCATGCGAAGATGGATCAGTATACGCATGGACGCCAGCCGGCCGGCGAACGCTGAACGCCATGGTCCTCGAAGCTCAATCTGTCATCATGGACTGCCGTGGCTGGTGGCTAATGTGCATAACAGCAGTTGGCATGTGCTACGTCTGGAACCTCAAGACGATGTCTGCACCTCACCCACCCATCTCCCTAGCACCCATCCTTGACGTTGCAGCCTACGCCCAAGGACCACACCTCACCCGGTCCCCCGGTATCGTCTTCGCCCGTCTAAACTCAGCAGGCCGCATCACAGTAGCCATGTCCAACGGCGAGGGCTACGCCTACAACCCCGATATGTACATCTGGCAACGCATATCCGAGCCCTGGTGGGGCGTCACAAGTCAGTACTGGAACTCCACCGATTCCTCCGTCGGCAACATTCGGTCTTCACAAGAGAAGAACGCTGCACCGAAAGAAAAAGACGACCAGGTCTCAATGGAGAACATCTCAGCAGGCATCATCCCCGCTCTCGAGCGCAACACAACGAACCAATCCCTCCTCCAAGGTCGTGCCTTCCACCTCCAGCGTCTCATCAAGATCCTCGTCTCTGCGGAAGGCTACGAGACTTTTGAGAGCTCTGCTAGTGTCGCGCATCTTGAGAACCGTGTCGCTGCTGCCCGTACACTGGGTGCAAGGGAAGAATTCAAAATCTACCTCACCATGTACGTCAAGCGTCTCGGTGCCGAAGGTCTCAAGGGCAAGATCGAAGAGCTCCTACGCAGTCTGATGGGTAGTCTCGTATCGGAAGAGGAAGAAGGCATTGACGAACAAGAAGAGGCAATGAAGGAGCCCGAGGAGATTTGTGGATGGAAGAGGGAGGAGTTGCTCAAGGAAGCCGTGTTGATTCTAGGTAAGTTCCTTGTCTTTTCTACGACGTTGCCGGTTCAGTATGCTAATGTCCGATATAGGTAAACACCGCGACCTCCAGCGTATAACGGTCCCCTACGCACGGCTTCTTGGCATCGTGGCCGAGGGCCAGCGTCAGGATGACCAGGCTATGATCACGGACATGTAGCCATCCTCTCTTTCTCTCATTTGTTGATTCACTTCATCCTTGTACTAAAAGCATCACTATGGCGACACAAGGTGGCTTGAGGGTCCGGTAACACGTCAGGCGTCCATCGGCGTTCGTGGTAAAGATGGTATCGTATGTGTTTTGTTTTTTTTTGGAAAGGAGTGGATATCACGTAATTGTAGAACATTTCTTGGCAACGGAACGGAGCGAGAAGTAATCTGTAAGCGATTGCGATCGTCCTTGTAGAGAATGGGATAGGTTAGGATGCTGTTTCGGGCCCGATTGTTCTGTGTACAGGCAGGCATGAGTCGTGTATTAGTTGTTCAAGTCACGCTGCACAGGCACATCAACGTACAGCTCCCCCACAGTCAACCCCAGGCCACCCTCCCCATTCCGCCCACTCCCCTTCTCCCACATCATCCCCAAACCCCTCTCAACATCCCTCGCAAACAAGAAATCCGCTCTAAACCCACTTTCCTCACGTGCATCCGGCGTCACAGTCCCGCTCCAAAGCCTCGTCCGTTCCACCGGCCACCCCTCCTCATCAACCTCCATCTCTTCAATCTGCACAATGCGCTCAGCTAAGATGCGGTACTGCTCCGGATCCCAGAGCCCTTCACGGGGTAGATTGCGAGAAAGTAGCGCGATGGCTTCGCGGCGGATGGCGGGGTGGCGGCAGCGGAGGGCAGCGAAGTATAAAGCAGGGACTAAGGATGTGTCGAATGTGAAGTTTGCTGCGGCGTTTAGACGGTGGGCTTGTGGGCGTGAAGGTATTGCGACGGTCATGGCGTTAATGAGGAGGGTCGCGTGGTAGATAATGGCTTTGAAGCTGTTGAGATGCGCATCGAATGATGTTTGGCGTGCGGAGTGCACACACGCGGTTGCTGTGTAGGTCGCGTAGTATCCTATCTTCAGCGCACTAATACAACGTTTGTCTTCTTCAGACAGGTTCCTCGAGCTTTCGAACGCAAGTAGAGCTTCAGACCACGTGCAATGACAAGACAAAACTTGTACTTGTCTCTCGAGATCTGATGCGGACGGCTTTTGGCCTTGGAATATCTTGATAGCCATGTTGCGCGCCAAAAGAATCGATGCGTTGCGTAGCTCGCAGTACGCAAAGCGTGCTTCGCGTATACTAGTAAAGCCTGTCATGTGCGATCCCTGGAGCGGAGAGTCGAGGAAAGCAAATTCCGTGTCGACGTCTATGCCATGTAGTAGCGTGGATATCAGACCCTGGGTGAATACAGGTACAAGCGTTTTCTCAATCAGATCTAGAGGTCCACTAGCCCCGTTGCGTACCAGTTTTGTAAGGTATAAGGATGATGAGGCAACAGCGTGGTTCCTCCGCAGCTCAGAAACGATACGAAGACCATTCCGCATGTGAAGCAGTGCGTGTTGTGTCTCTGCTCGGAGAAACTCTATACATGCGAAGAGAAGGCAAGTCACCAGCCCCATTTCTGGTGCGTATGATGCGTCGGTCATGCGTGTTACAAGGCTTTTGATGGCTTTGTTGTAATAGAGACAAAACTGTCGACTGTTCTGTTCGTCTTGTGCTGCGGCGAGTTGATGTGCATGTGCTGAGCTGCCGCATTGCTGTTGGTTCAGATAAGCAAGGGCTATCATGGCGTTGCGGACGGCGGGCTCGGCATGTGCCATTTGGAGCACTATCCCACACCAGAAATCGGTGTCGAACCTGCCGGATAGCATTGGCCCGACGCAGTGATAGTAGAACTCGATGTGGTGTACGTTGTCGCACTCGGATAATGGTGAAAGCGCATGTTTGGGGCTATTTGAAGATTCGAGTGCGTAGCTGATGATGCTGGTCTGATAATCATGCTTTGGTTGACTGTATCCGTCGCATTTACGGCCGGTGCATGTACATCTACAGGAGTAAACATCGTGGTCTTTGAGTCTACGTACGAGGAAGCTTGCCTGCTTACTTGAGGCAATAAGGGCGCTTCTCATCACACTTTACGCGACGTTTCCTGGCGTGTGTTGGCAAGTTTACTCTCGAGTGACGACTAAGGCGTGGTCATACTTGCAGGTTTTGCATCCTGTCTTGACCTTGGGGTTGTGCTTGCGAGGATGCTGGTTCGAAGCGACAATACTAGTAGACGACATGTTCGTCGCGCGCGGTCCGGAAAATTATCACATCCACTAGATGGCGATGCCATCGCGGAGTGTGATGAAGGTAGGTAGGGCGATAGCCATATCACGTCGATGTTGATGACACGAGATGGAAGGCTCCACAAAATCCGATAGGGCGTCGTAGCCGCTGCGCGCCTTGACTCTTTTGGCAGGAACGGGCGTCCACGCTATCATGCTCGAGTACCGACATACATGCTTCAAATGATCGCATGCATCTCCCGAATAGGCAGCTTCCTCAAGATCGTGACGTGTAAACGCAGGAAAGGTGTATTGCCGTTCCCCATCAGCGCGCATGATCTAGCGTGTCCCATTGTGGGGTAAACCTCTCCACGCGGCGGTACCCCTCTCGTACCTACAAAAGCCATGACGGTATCGCACGCCCTACGAAGATCCGGAACATTCAACGTTTTAAGAGCAAGAACTCAAGCATTCTTTGAAAGTCCCGTTTCCTTCTTCCCAGTAAACAATCAACGATCCTCTCATATCCGCAACATGAACACCCTACAAGAAGCAAGCCGGATATACAAGGCCTTCCAGAAAGGAGGGCCGACTTTCGGAGGATGGCAGGTGAACAACACCCTACATGACTTTTTCGTTGGTATAGATGCCAATAACTTGTTAGATGCTTCCCGGAACAAACCACGCTCGGGCAATTGCCCGTTCAGGCGTCGACTGGATATGCGTCGACACCGAACACGGCAACATCAACGACAGCCAGATGCACGAGGCCGTAACCGCCATAGCCCACGCTGGCGTAAGCCCGCTCGTTCGCATCGCCGCTAACGAACCCTGGATGGTAAAACGTAAGTTACCTTTGACACCTACGCCTCCGTTTCAAGATCTCCAGATGAAATCTAACATCCCCCAGGCGCCCTTGACAGCGGCGCCCACGGCGTCATAGTCCCGCTCATCTACACCGTAGACGACGCCAAGAAACTCGTCTCCTCCGCAAAATTCCCCCCAGAAGGAACCCGCGGCTTCGGTTCCCCCCTACCCACCCAATGTTTCTCAAACGAACCACTCACCTACTACCTGCGCCACGCAAACACCTCGCTCCTCACAATCGTGCAGATAGAAACCGCGTCGGCACTAGCCTGCTGTCGGGAAATTGCCGCCTTGCCCGGCGTCGACTGTTTGCTGATCGGACCCTTTGATCTCGGCAATAACATTGGTCATCCTATTTTGACTCCACAGATGGATAAGGAGCTGGAAGACGCGATTGAGACGATCAAAGAGACGGCGCATGCGGAGGGGAAGAAGGTGGCTATGTATTGCAACTCGGGGGAGGATGCGAGGGGGTATGTGGAGAGAGGGTTTGATATGGTAAGTGTGTTGACGGATCAGATGGGTATTACGGGGGCGTTTGAGAGAAGTCTGGGGGTTGCGAGTGGGAAGGTGGAGGGGAGTGGGGTTAAGGGGGTTAAGGGGTATGATGGCAAGTAGATGCGGAAGCGATATATTGAAGTGTTGATCCTGTAATGGAATGTCTACTTGAGACACCATGTTCTTGTATTAGAAGTACGATAGAGGCTGTGATGCTGTCGCAAAAGACGATTTGTATTTGCTGTAGATGGGTGTCGGAGGTCGCGAAGATGTGGCGTGATGGCACTCAAGCTAAAGCTACTGTAGAGCACGTATACCCCTCACAGATCTGAGCGTGTATCCTTCGGGTCACGCTCTCCGTGTCTGACGAGACGATGTGTCGTCCTTAGCGCATATGGCTCGATAGAGTACCTATTTGCCGCCTGCCGGAATCGATTCGATGGAATCCCGTAGCAAACGATATTATCGATCCAATCTTGGTCCCACTGCTCGTCGCTCCAATCTTTGCGTTCGAAGAAAAACACATCTGGATCCCAGAGCTCACCTACGTCTCCTTCAAACTTGACGACTGACGAGCCTTCTACTATCTCGCGGATCATCTTTGCAAAGTTCGTAGGGAGAGCCAAGCAGAAATAGTAATCCAGCCTATGTGACCTAGGAGGTGGGTCCTCTTTCAGAAGCCGATATTGCTCGAGTCGCGCTTCCTGTGTAGCCGCAGCGTACTTGATTAATTTCCAGATCTCGGAGATCTCTGGGGTCGAGCCATTAATGACTAAGCTGAAGGAGTGGGGTGACATCCCGCATGAAGATAGCTCATAGGCCTCTTCGATCCAAGGAATCCGTACCCAGAAACATTCCGTAGGTTTCAGCCAGTCAACTTCGAGATCGGGATTGAATGTATCGAACCATATGAAGCCTTCCGGAAGTAGGTTGTCGAACAGATCGATGCACCTTTCTATGTGAAGATTTGGGTTCTCAAGACAGAAAGGAATTAGGCCGCGGGCATGGAGTTCAGGCCGAGATACCGACTTGAAGTCTTCGTTCCGCAGCTGCTATCAGGTGGGTATTCATACCCGGAAAGTATAAGATACCCTCGTCGGTCATGGGAAGCTGAGTGTCGGTTTCGCCGGGAAGGCAGATAAGGGCTTCAAGCTTTGCCAGCTCGTCATCGTCCGGCATTGCCCATGGCTCGGGCTCCCAAGAATATACATCGTGCAGTGCGCCTTCGACAAAATTGTTTATTTGCGATTCACCTGGGAACCTGTCGATGGGACACAGTCTCGCACCAGATGTCTCGCCAGCAAGCCTCGCAAACTCCGGACCGTTACGCTTTCTTGCACGAAGTAGTGCGTATTGGAGAGCCCTGTCGAATGCGCCGACAGCTAATTCGCCTTCGTCGCCAGGACCTTCAGAAGCTCACAAAAAGTCGCACTGTTCCGCCACTGATCGTTGCAAAGGCTCTCTGAACAAAGCTTTGACAGATGGGTAGCGAGTATAGAGATCAAGGAAGTCGTCGTGTTGTAGCAGATCAAACACCTGAATCAGCATTCTTCGTTTCTGACGTTCAGTGTACCGAAGTACTAGGGTAGATAACGTCAGTGAGAGAACGGTGAGAGTTCGTGAGTGGATGCAGACTTACTGCGTTTGAAGCGGCCTGCTCGAGAGCGCAAGCCCATATAGGAACACCCGTCGTTGTGAGAGAGATGGGTACTGAAATGTATCTTCCTAAATACCATGGACTTCAGCTCTTCATGGGCAATTCTACAGGCGATGACAAGACCCAGACGGACCGTTTGTTTTGGCTCAGTCGTGTAGAGCATCTTCCCAGTCTCACTGCAGTAATGGTAACCATTGTCGCCTTCTCCTAGAGCGTAGTATCCATAGATGATATCTCGAATCTCGCGGGATAGCCGGAAGAGCGGGAATTGCGTCTGACCAGAGTAGTATTCGTTCGCGGGGTTGTCATAAAGGGGAAGCCATTCCAATAAGCGAACTTCTTGGACGTCATGGTTAGAGAAAGAGATATCGCTACGAGATCAGAGGTTTATGTAGTGTGCTGCATCACGAGATCCATTGAGTATGGCTGCACTCACATTCCAAAACAGAAGAGCAGATACTGGTACTCGTGGGCCTTCATTGACCCTCGCCGATCAGTAGTTGGCTACGCGCGCCGTGACTCACAGTATTGCATCACCAATACCGCTAAGCGACATGGAAACTCATCAAGTCGGTGTGCAATCTGGAATGGACTCATAATTTCAGAATATTTGCCACGCTCTTAGGAGTCAGACCCCTACTTGAGGCGCCGTACAGTTTGCGTTCCGATAATGTAGACACTCAGGGCATAGGACTTCGGTACAACCCATATGTTGTATCTCAAGATTGGCTGCTATGATTGGGCGGCATCTGAACCACTGAGTTGTAGATGACTGGCCAGGCGAACACGAAATAACTTTTCTGGGCTAATGATACAGTTCTAACAATTCTTGATATACCGCTCACTATGTGAGAAAGGACAGGAAAGACAACCACTGTGCAGGGGTATAGAACTACCATAGATGCATATGCTTTTACACGAATGAAAAGAGGACAGGAATACGGGCAGTGACAAGCGCTCCTCCACCAGCGTGCGGAGTGTGAGACTTAGGGTGATAAGAAATATAGGCTCATAGGGCAGCATCTCAGATATCGGCGCATAACCACGGTCATCGGCGCGGGGTAGACTTGGTCTTCTTGTTGCGCCTCGTGGACATCATCCGCCCACCTTGCGCGGTTTGGCCGTTGCCATTGCTGCGCGACATTGAGCAGGCGGGTCGATCGTCTTCGGATGACATGGATGCCATGGCGAACGAGTCGGTGTTGTGTCCGTAGTAGAGCAACATGCCAGAGCGCATTTTCTTGACGCCAAGGATGCCGATGGCGCCTGCGGAATTGCTGTGCTTGACACTTGGGTGACCTGGCGTGGAGTTAGTATATCGCACATGATAACGACAAGAACTATTTACCCATGAACTCGTTCTCGATCATTGCCTTGAGAGCTTCGTCCTCGGTAACTTCAACATAGTCACCGCCGCGGCTCTTCTTCACGCTCTGATAGAGGCGCTCGGCGCATACCGTAGCGGCCATGGTGGTTGCCATGTGCTCACCGGTTCCGCTTGTGACAGTCGCAACAGATGTCTGCTCGGGATCGTCGGGGTCAACGGGGATGACTGCAGCACCTACGCCGACGAGAGCTGCTGGGCCCACACGCCCGCGGTACTTCATGCCAATGCCACCAGAAGATGCGCCGCAAGCAATGTTGCCCCAGCTGTCTATTGCGATAGCCCCAACGGTGTCGGTGATGTGATCTTCCTCGGGTTCATGGCGGCTCGAATTAGATGGCATCGGCGGTAGTGGGGCGGTCTCTTTGACGTGACTCAGAGGTGTCGATGCGGTAGCGAACTTCGAGTTGACTGAGTTCTCGTCAGGAGTCTGTGGCAGACGAGTGTCGATACCATCACACTGAGAGCTCTCCTTGGGGTTGCCCTTTGCTGTATGCGCAATCGAATCAGAGTCAAACTCCGCCCCAGACCCATCAGCCCATGCTTTGCGTGGCTTTGATGCGTAAGTCATGTCCTCCATCTGCGCATCTTCCATAATGCTCTCGTAGCCTGCATCGCGACGGTACTCTTTCAGGGTAGGGATCTGTTGCGTGCTGTTGACGAAGGCATTGCGAGAAGCATCAGCAGCAGTGGGTGGGCGTACGTCAGCAGGCGATGGGGCTTGATCGATCAGGCCGGGTGCAGTAGTCTGCTCATCGCTGATCCAAGAGCTTGACGACCGCTCTGAAGGAGGGACTGAAGGGTCGGAAGAGGCATTCTCACCTTGGTCGTACATCACATCGTCAGAAAGCGGAGGTGACTGTGGCTGCAGTAGGGATGTGTGGGTGCGTAATAGCTTTTGAGTGTGTTGTTCGCGCACGCGTTCGTGCGCTCGCTCATCGGCTGGTGCCACATTGTCCCTGATCTTCCAGCAAGACGGATGGGCGCCGCTCTTCCTGGACTTGCGCTCGGCAGACCTCAAGTCGGAACGCCATCGCATCCAGCGCACTTTCGCCGCGGGAGAAATGAGTGCATCATGGGGCAGAATCGGCATACCCATCTCCACAGCAAAGTCGGTGGCACCCTGCGACACCAAGAGGTTTGGAGGAACTCGACGCAGCGTCAGTGGACTCATCGTGTGGTCGTGAACCATTCGTGCTAGTGAGATGGGGTTCTTGATCTCTGTAATCATTGTCAACATTGAGCCATGACCTCTAGTTGCTAGACTTACGAGCAACAGCCCCGACAGCTCCGCTACGCCCGTAATGGTCGACCACAGAGGCATCGCACTCAACCACACCGTCCATTGCGAGGTTGCTTCCATAGCCCGCATTGGTGATTTCTCGGTCTTCCAATGTCTTGATTGCAGCTTCGACAGCATCCAGCGCAGAGCCACCGTTTTTCAGAATCAACATAGCCAGCTGTGCGGCACTGCGCATGTCAGCATGAGCGTATTTGAGACTTCGTAGAGATGGCGCCAGAAAACTCACTCGTTACATGCTTCCAGATGAATCCTCTCATTCTGGTGGCTATGGTAGCCGGCGCCAGCATGAACATATATGCAACATACATCATCGTTTGGCGGACTACGCGAGGCTTTGCGTGTGTGCGTATCAATATGATAAGCTCCGTCTATAGGTGCATAGTGACCACTAGGGACCGACATGCCTTTATGTGTGGAAAAGCGTCGACGAAAGTCGCGAAATCTCAGGCCGAACGTATCCAGTGCAATGCAGTGAGAGATGACGGTTCTCAGATGAGGCTTGGCTGCAGTTCTGGGTCTGTACAGACGCGACGGGCGTTTGTCGCCGGGGCGGGGACGTTTGGCCGATTATTGGGATGATCCGGTGTCGCTCCAAAGTGGGCAGTAGCGGCAGACGGCTGTGATATTGACTGTGGAAACGGTCGTTAAGCGGTCATTCGTGACACGTGCAGGTGTAGGTTCGGGAGAGAAGATAGGTAATTCCAGAATAGACGAGGTGACTGAGGGAGGGGAACAATGAGAAATTGATGAAGAGGATGAGCCGGTGTAAAGGGGATGGTGACCTGTGGCGGTGGGGTGGGCAATGAGAGTGGGAGAGATGCTCGATGAGCGCTGTAGGGGCACAGTCAGTGGAGAGGAGGTTAGCAGCGATGTCAAAAATGAGCTTGCGATGGCTCTTTCCTCTGTGCGTCAGCCTAAGCCATGTGGTCGCAGTGGTTTTCGATATGACACAGACTCTGTCGAAGCGACAGGCACGGCAGATCAGGGAGGTAGGAGCGATCGTGTTTACGAAGTGAGCAAGTCTTCCCCACTATTTCGTCTCATTCCGCTGCCAAGGGCGGAGCGGGGCGGTGCCTGATTCGACAACATGCACCGACCGCCGCCGTCACCTCTCTGACGAAGCCACCTCGACACCCAACCCACGCGCTTCTGCTCTCATACCAGGCTTCACCTGAGCTGCGTTGCATATTCGTTTTTGTGCCAAGCAGCAGCAAAGATGGCGTCTCAAACCCCCGCCGTTGTCATGGACAAGTAAGCTACCCACTGGCCGTGGGCACCCACGTTGCGATCCATTACTGACACTGGCTATAGCGGTACGGGATACTCGAAGCTCGGTACGCTACCCAATTCAATTCGTGGGGTTCATCTCTAATAACGATCCACCAGGCTTCGCCGGCAACGACTCTCCCTCCTTCGTCTTCCCCACTGCGATAGCTACCAAAGGCCCAACAGGCGGTAGCGGCGGATCAGGTTCTGGACGCCCAGCCGTTGCGAACAAACCCTCATTCCTGACCGGTGGAGCTGGGCCGGGTGGGCATCTCTCTGGAAAGCGCGGCACCGAGGACCTCGACTTCTTCATCGGCGACGAAGCTCTGGCCGCAGCTGGAGGCGCGGGCTATGGCATCAACTACCCGATCAGGCATGGTCAGATAGACAACTGGGTATGGAGAGGCATTCCAAGAGAGGGGAAGGTGTACTAATGGCATGCAGGACCTTATGGAACGCTTCTGGTCCAACTCGATATTCAAGTACCTGAGAGTGGAGCCTGAGGACCACCACTTCCTCCTCACCGAGCCCGTACGCTACCTTTTTCTAATCGCTGGAGGGATGAAGCTGACAAATCATAGCCATTGAACCCTCCCGAGAACCGCGAAGCCACCGCCGAGATCATGTTCGAGTCGTTCAACGTCGCCGGTCTCTACATTGCCGTACAAGCTGTGCTCGCCCTGGCCGCGTCATGGACCAGCTCCAAGGTACAGGACCGATCCCTCACCGGTACTGTCATCGACTCCGGAGCTGGTGTGACGCACGTTATCCCCGTTGCTGAAGGCTACGTCATTGGTTCCTCAATCAAGAGTGTCCCGATTGCCGGTCGCGACATCACCAACTTCGTACAATCGCTCCTCCGAGAACGCGGCGAACCCGACTCCTCCCTCCAGACTGCCGAGCGCATCAAGGAGGAATACTGCTACGTATGCCCTGATATTGTCAAGGAGTTCGCGCGCTTCGATCGCGAGTCAGACGACCGATTCAAGAAGCACACCGTCAACTACCCCAACGGCAAGACCACATCAGTCGATGTCGGCTACGAACGTTTCCTCGCGCCCGAGATCTTCTTCAACCCCGAGATCTACTCCTCCGACTTCCTCACTCCGCTACCTACGATTGTCGACACTGTCATCCAATCCTCCCCTATCGACGTACGCAGAGGACTTTACAAGAACATTGTGCTCTCTGGTGGTTCAACACTATACAAGGACTTTGGTCGACGCCTGCAGCGCGACATTAGGCACATGGTCGACGCAAGGATCAAAGCTTCAGAAGCGAAGAGCGGAGGCGCAAAGAGTGGTGGGCTGGACGTACAAGTCATTACGCACAAGAGACAAAGACACGGCCCATGGTTCGGTGGTAGCTTGCTCGGTCAGACACCCGAGTTCAAGAGCTACTGCCACACCAAGGCGGAATACGACGAGATTGGCCCTAGCATTGTCCGAAGGTTCGCGCTGCTGGGTGGACCGGGAAGCACGTAAGCGGCGAGATATTGTAGGGAATGTGTGTAGATGTTGGCATGGCTTATTGAGCGAACACGAGATGACAGCAAAACATTTGACAATGAGAAGACAATCAACACATCAGATCGATATGCCCATGATCGCTCACTAACCACACCCAGAAGAAACCGTAATCAACCTCATGACTCCGCGACCTTGGCAGCTTTTTCACCACCATCCTTCCTCCTCAACACAGCAACCCCCTCCACATGCCCTGTCTGCGGGAAAAAGTCAAAGCCCCTCAAACTCTCAATCTCATAGCATCCTTCTCCCTTCCCAAAACCCCCATCAACACCCGTCATCCCGCCGACCAGGACCCCCACATCCCTCGCCTGCGTATGCACATTACAACTCACATATACCACTCTCGCAGGACCATACTGCACCAACTGGCGCAAGAAAGACTCATCGCAGCCTTTGCGCGGCGGATCCAGCATAACGACCGTTTCCTCCGCCGGTGACTCAATAGAAGCGAATAGTCTCGCCGCATCCGCAGCAATGAACCGCGTAGAAGATTCCGGCAAGTTATTCAACCTTGCATTCGTACTCGCAGACTCTATGCTGCTGGATGAGATATCGATTCCAAGCGACGATTTGAACAGCGCAGAGAGCGTGATGGTGAAGAGACCAGAACCAGAGTACGCGTCGATGAGATGCGTAATCTTGTGCTCCTGGCCCGGAGAAGGAAGGATGTTCTCACGTATATACTGTGTAAAAACAGGGAGAATGGAGTTGTTGTTCTGGAAGAAAGAACCCGCTGGGTTCACGAATTGGAATTCATCCGAGATGTATTCTGTGGATTTGGCGTTGGGATCTGTGATGCAGATCTTGCGGTGGATGTGAGAACCTCTGTCTTCGATTACAGCGTCGCTGTCTGTTTCTTTGGTGGCATCGTATTCTGCTTTGGGGATACGGGTAGTGGATTCCCGCAGGAGGAGTGTGGCGCCTTTGTGGTAGGAAGAGATGGTGTCTGCGACGCGTTTGCGCTCGCGCTTGTTGCCGGCGCGCACGGCGTCTGTGCCGATTGGACAGTCTTCTATGTCGATTGTGTTGCGGGTTCCTTTCTTCATGAAGCCGATAGGTGGGACTTCTTTGAAGGTGCGTTTGATACCGTTGCGGCCGTCACTTCGGCGGGCGTCGGGTGGGCCGTCGAAGTGGGGGGTTAGCTTTGTGCGGTAGCCGTATTGCAGTGGGGAACCGATTGTGTCGCCGATTGTGGGGATGAGTTCTGGTGGGAGGTTGGAGAAGTTCTTGTAGGCTTTCTCGACGATGGTCTTCTTGTGCGCGAGTTGCGTGTCGTAGGGTAGCATTTGGAATTGGCAGCCGGAACAGCTGGCAAAGTAGGGACACTTTACTAGGGAATCGTCGCGTTGGGATGAGGGCGTAATCACGTTGACGAAATCAGCCATGGAGTATTTTTCCTTCTCAAAGTGCTTGTGCGGTCGTGCAGTCACGATATCTCCTGGTGCGCTGAAGGGTACCACATAGACCTGGTCCGAATCTGAATCTTTTTGGAAACCGAGACCATCTCCAGTGGAAGAGATTTCTTTGATTTCAACCTGGATCTCTTTGAACTTTTCTGCCAATGTTGTCGAGATTTCCTTTCCTTCTCTTTCTATGTTGAGGTTCTTAATGAGCGCAGTAACATCCTGCAACAAGACCTCATCATTGGTGCCGTTTGTTTTCAGGATCTTGCTCTGCTCAGCATGTCCATTCTTCATGCGCTTGTTCTTGAATCTGTAGTTGCCTCGTGGTCCTTCCTCGCTCCGTAGAGGTGTCTCGGCATATCTTTTTGCGCCGTTGCTCTCAATAGGCGCGACATTATCTGCTGACGAAGCCATCTTGTATCTAGCAATCTGGGTGTATCGGCCACTGGCCAGTAGTGTCCGAAGCGGTCGAGTAAGGATCCGAGAGTACATGTAGTAAATCGTGAAATTGGAGAAAAGAGAAAGTTACGTTAGTCACTGGGATAGAGAGACGGCGATTGGCTGGAGCAATTACTGCCATCCCGCTTAGTCACTCTGAACTTTCCGAACTTCACTTTGACCATCACAACGCCGCGCAGGCCACCCGCTATTACCGCCTCCCCGCGCTCAATTGGCCCTCACCCGGAGGTCCAAGGCCAACAATGAGCGTCTGCCGCCCCGCAAGATGTCTCTTCACCAAAGCAGCGTCGACGACGCTTCCTAAACCACCTCCGCAACGCACCTTCCACGCTTCCGCACCCAGACAAGCCCGCAAGAAGAGACCGCACTACCCGTCAATAAAGGCCGACGACCTCAAGCTCCTCAACCAAGCGGCCGAAGCAGAGTATCCCAAGTACGACACCTCGGAGACGACGCTGCTGGAGAAAAGATACACACCCTCGCAAATCGCCGCCATCAAAGCCGCCGAATCTACAATCGACGCCCGAGATGTCCTCACCCAGGGCCAGCGAAGAACGGACCCATGGCGTATGAACTACGAAGACGACCTGGCGCAAGTAGACCCCGTGACGGACCGACCTGAGCGCCTGACAGGCGACGACATCGAAGGCCCAAAAACCTTCCGCATCGCCAACGAAGTCGAGCGCGACGAGAACATAACCCGCATTGCCACGGAAAACCTCGCCAAGATGTACCCCGATGGCATACCAGAAGACGACGAGAACCTACAGAAAGCCATGGACGCAGCCGTCACACAAGCCACCCTGGACCCCCGCGCAACCTACACATCCAAGAACCCCGCCGCTCTCCAAGCCCTAGGCGACGAACGCCACTCCGTGATCGCGCCCGACCTTCCCCGCGTCGAAAATCGCATGGTCCGCCAAACCCGCCGTCTCTCGACCGAAGAAGAAGAGGACCCACGGCAAAAGCGCCTGCTGCAATACCTAGGCTGGGACAAGCAGAAGCTGCGTCAAATCCGCGTCAAGACACTGGTCACGCACAGCGTCACCAACCAGACTCGCATGGGCAAGATAAGAAGTCTGTACTACCTGACTATTGCGGGCAACCAAGACGGCCTCCTCGGCGTCGGAGAAGGCAAATCCGTAGAACCGGAAGAAGGCCGCAAGCAAAGCGTCATGAGTGCGATACGAAACATGCGCCCGGTTCCTCGTTACGAGAACAGAACGACGTTTGGAGATCTGGAGAAGAAGGTTGGTGCGACCAAGGTACAGATTTTTGCGAGACCGCCTGGTAAGTCATTCTCCTCGTTATCATATGCTTACTTGTAAACCACTTTTTGCAAACATGATGGCTGACTACGAGTAGGTTTCGGGCTTCGCGTTCAACATCTCATCTTCGAACTCGCTCGTGCAGCGGGCCTCCAGGATTTGTCGGCCAAGACACCACGGTCGAGGAATAAAATGAACGTCATCAAGGCGACGTGGGAAGCGCTTACGAATCAGAGGTTACCGGATGAGATTGCGAGGGCGAGGGGGAAGAAGCTGGTGGATGTGAGGAAGGTTTACTATGGAGGAAGCATACATTAGATGGCGTTGTATGCCGGGTTGTGGGCATGAAGAGAAGGGAAAGGAAATAGAGATGTATCATAGGCATGGTATGAGTGGGAAATGCCCATGTGGGGCCTGTGTAGATATCTTGTATCATATCATGTCATCTTGCATATGCATATCTTCTTTTTGTTTTGCTCGTTGTGTTGAAGTATCGGTCGGTCTTGCTCATCTAGTGGGGTATCATAATCGTCAAACGCTCTCATCTCAGCACCCCCATTTAACATCAAACCTTCTCCCTCCTTGACCACTACCCCCGACTACTCATCCTACTCAGCCCCTCCGTCTCCCCCTCACCCTCCCCATCCCCTCCCTCCGTATCAATCTGCTGGTTCAGCACAATACTATAAACACTCGCCTTGAGCAACGTAAACACCAAACTCGTTTTCCTTTCTAATCCGCGGAGGCCATCGAGGATAGCGGCGCTGGGGTTGTTAGAGAGCGTGAGGAGGAGGGATGATAACTTGGTGAGTGTTAGCGAGGGACTAGCTATCTCGAAACAGGTGGATGGACAGAGGCGAACAGAGAGAAGGGAAGGGAAGGGAAGGGAAGGAGGAAGGAGGAGTAGGTGGATAAGAGGAGGAACTGACATTATTCAAATTCCCCAATAACCTCGCATATTCGTCCAAGACTTCTTGTTCCAGCGGACTGAGAGTTTCTTCTCCTTCGGAGGTTTGTGATGTCGCGAAGTTTTGTTCTGCGCCGGATGCTGCTGTGGGTTCTGAAGCCATGATTGCTTCCCTTGTGTGAATTGTATACGATGCGTGGAGCTGAGGTAGCTGTGTGGATGGGTGGATGGGTGGGTAGGTTCTTGCTATGCGTGTGCGCGTGCGTGTGTATAGAAGACAGGGAGTGTAGGAGATCGGGCAGCGGCGGGGTGAATTGGTTTCGCTGGATGCGCGTTCGTGTGCGGCTTGGAATGTACTGCGTAGCTTGCTCAAGAATGATTCCCGATACAAGATTCTCGATTTCGATTTCGTAGGGTGGTTCGCGTGCCGGTATCTGTCAAGGTAACTATATCGTGTCTTGGCCGTCGCTATCGCGTTGTTTGACAAGAAACAAGGGTTCTCGCGAATCGTTGTCGCGTCTTCCCCGCAAACTCCGCGTTGGTCCATGCGTTCTTACCCTCAAATCACTCCATTATAACCTACAATGCTCAACCAGAAGTTTCGAAACATGACATCATGTCACATCTCTCAGAGTCACATGGTACAGCAAATTCAGTATCTCAAAGATATCTTTCTCATTGCTTCTGCTACGCCCTTCCAGTACCCTCATCCCTCAACCCCCACTCCATCGCCTTCACCACCACCATCTTCCCTGTCCAAGCTGCCTCCGCTCTCAGACTAGACTAGACCAGACTGAACCAGCATGATCCACACCCATGTTCACAATAAGAAATACAGACAACGCCAGAAAGATTTTACAGCACACGAAAATGCCGATTGGTAAGAGAGATAAGAAAGCTCAAGAGAGATCCGTGCGCGATCGGAAACGAAGAAGTAAAACAAAACCCCTGGAACGCCGCTGTGATGAGGAAGAAACGCATTTGTCTATGATCCGTCGCAACAAATGAGTGGAGTCAAGAGGACGATTTTTTCCGATATGACGGTCCTCTGGCGAGTGATGAATACAGTGCGCGTGTTTATCATACGAATTAAAGCTCGGTCTATCGTTGAGAGTTGGTTTGTGTGAGGTGAAGATGCGACGAGTGTTGATCTTCGTGGTGGTGATCGTCTCCGTCGTGATGCAGAGTAACGCTGTTGAACTCCTCAAATGGATCTGCCAACTCGCCCATCGGCGTGGCGAGACCAGAGTCTAGTGGGACGCCCTTGACTCTCGCGGCTCCAATGTCAACACTCTGGGACTCCTTAACATTCCGGAAGTTGGGTGTCTCGATACCTTGGCCTTGATGAGGGACGATCGGTGGCTTCATGTGCCGTAGTAGGGCCCATGATGTTGTCTTGAAGAAAGGTGCGGTCTTAATGTCGGAAGCGCCGGCACGGGATCCAAGTCGCCTGGTCTCGTCCTTGATCAATAGCTTGCGAATAATGGCCTTGCAGAGACTGCGGTTGTTAGCACAAGACACACACTAGGTACTGATTAGAACTTACTTTGACACTTGCGGCGCACCAGAACCCTCGGGGAAGGGCACTTCATCTCGAAGAATGTTGGCAAACGTCGCGTTGCGGTTCTTGCCCTTGAAAGGCGTAGTTCCGTACAACATCTCGTAGATCAATATGCCAAGGGTCCACCAATCGACCGCACTCGTATGTCCACAGCCCTTGATGACTTCGGGCGCAATGTATTCCTCGGTTCCGACAAACGAGTTGGTTCGGAAATTGTTTATGCATGATTTCGTGTCGATGGTTGGGAGATTGTTCGAGGAAGTACCGCTTCGGCCACTGAGGATCATGGTCGGGCGACCGCCGGGTTCCGACTGTTTCGATAGATCGAAGTCTGACAGCATGATGTGACCAGACTGGTGGAGGAGAATATCTGCAACTGTTAGCGTGGGAATGCCTTAAAAGTGAGACGCAACATACTCTCCGGCTTCAAGTCTCGGTAGATGAAGCCCATTAAGTGGAGGTATTCCAACGCAGCCGTGACTTCAGCTGCATAGAATCGCGCAGCATCTTCGTCAACACACTTGTTCGGTCGTGTTTGAAGCGCTCGGAAGAACTCACCACCGCTGCAGTATTCCATGCAGAGGTAGAGGTGGTCTTCGGATTGGAAAGAGTGGTAGAGAGTAACAATAAAGGGGTGGTTGCTGGTCGCCAGGATTTCCTGCTCGGCCAACGCGCGCTTGATCTTGTTCCGCTTGATCATCTCCTTTTTGCTCAACACTGGATTTGTTAGCATATGTCGTCTGACTTGTAGATCCGATTCACCCACCCTTCATAGCGTATAGTCTGCTGGACTTCTTCTCCCGCACCAAGTAAACCTTTCCAACATCGCCCTTGCCAATCAACTTGATCTTGTCGAAGCTTCCTGGTCCAACCTCGACGTTGCGGACCTTGATGGAATTCGAGCTGTAGGTTCTCCTGAAAGCCACAGACTGTCGGATTTGGCCTGCCGAGGGTATGGGTTTGCCAGCTTCTATCGGTAGGAGGTGAGTTGGATCTTGGGTATTCGTCTCGACCATGCTCAAAGTGGACGAGTTCGGGTGATGTAATACGGGCTGCTTGCCGAGTTCTGCGGTCTGTGGCCTATCAGTGTTCTTTCCCGACGAAAAGAGACCTTGGGCATTGGGTGCGGAAGCCACCCTTCGTAGTTTCCTAGCCAATTCTTCCTTGCCAGCAGTTGTAGCGTGATCGTCGGTGGTAGCTGCGCCATTCACTTGCGTCTTAGGCATTGCGGGGGTGTCTGGGGGTGACGGAGGAACACTGCCTGCATTGTGATGGCGCAGCGCCGGTGGTCCTTGGTGGGCAAAATACGGGTTTGCGTGCGCGGTCGGCGACACGCTGTCATCCAGGGGGTTGCCTTCGCTGGCGATGGTCTGGGAGCGATTGCGCGAGATGTGGGGAATGAACCTTGATTGGCGGAACCCCGACTTTTCGTTCTTGGAGTTTGTGCTACCATCGTCGGAAGACTTGTTGGTGTCGTTGCTGCTATTGATGCGGAAAAAGTTCTTGATGCGCTGCGAGACCTGGCCGTCCTTTGCATTGACTGACTTGTTGGTGGACAGTGCCTTGCCCGAGAAGGTGCGTTTCTCCGTCTTTTCGGCCATGGTGGAGTGGCTTGATGTGGACGAGTTGAAGAGCTGCGTCATAGCAGTTACACAGGGTCGGAGGGCGAATGAAGCGGGCGACTCTGGTGTCTTGGGCGGAAGCTGGGCGGGTACAGGGAGACGATGTTTGCGCAGTTGCACGATCAATGGGCCATGTCACTTTGGGTGAAGTCAATGTCCAGGGTCGCGGTGCGTGTGGCTGGGGCGGCTCGGTGAAAGAATGGCTCCGTCACGAAGGCGCAGGCGGTGGGAGAGAGGAGTGCGCGTGAATGGTGTTGGCAGCGCTGCAAAGACAAGCAGGGAGGACGAGGGAGCAGGGAGCGAGGAGTAGTGGTGGTGTAGTCGGGCCAGCCAGCAGGTTAGGAAGGAAGGAAGCCAGAGCCGTGCCGGCGACGAGTACGGACTGCGGCGAATGATGGCGGAGGCCAAGTGGGACCGCCCTTATCCCTGTCTACCCAGGGAAGCCGCGTGCGAAGCCACCTAGCCTCACTCTAGCCAGCCAGCGAGACGGAGCCACCGCATGCATCACCAATCAGCCAGGGTTTGCAATGCTTGGAAATACATATCCTGTGACAAAGGCGAAGTCTTGCTCGTGCACAATTGCGCCTTCGTGATGATTCCCTACCCGCCATCCGAACCCTGTGCCGCGCTCCCAGCCAAGAAACGCACCCATCTAACCGTTCTAGCACCGTGCCTCTTTTCCCCACGACCGCAGCTGTCGATAAATCACGCTATTTCCCGATTTATCAGCAACGCGAAAGCATAATGGCACGTCATCGCACCAAACACGGCTGTGCGACTCCGAGACACATGCTCCCATCGTGATTGTTGATTTGAGTCCCATGCCATTGAAAGGCATTAACCTCACGCACATACATACACATGTTGCTTAACATGGCTGTACATACTGGCTGGTGATGAAGACGCGCATGTTTCCGCTGTTTCGTCCACTAACGACGGCTGAGGACGCCAATCTGTTCTAGAACCATTTCTGTTTCGGTTTTAGCGTGCCTTTCGGACCCTATCCGTCACTCCGACACATCGGCCGTGCGCGATTCATCTCGTCAGCTCACTCCGACAATGCACACCAGATGACTGCAAGACAGGGACGCTGATTGCAAGGGATGCTTTTATCATTGTTCTACTTCGCAACGCATGACTATACTGACTATCTATTCATACAATGGCTGAAGTTATACGCAAGATGCTGACCGAAAGGAGATAAGAGGTGGATAGCTGGCCAGATGACTCGTCTCCGCCCATGACACGTCCCTTGCCGCGTTCTGCCAGTCCACCTATGTCAGAAGAGATGTTGGAGAAAAGCAGTCGGAGGTATGTCTGGGCCGCTGTGGTTGTCGTCGTGCCACAGTTGAAGCTTGCAAAGAAAGCTCATGGATGTTGAGAATGTTGCCGTTAAGAGAAGATGTCGAAGGTGTCGCGTACTCGATGAGGGTAATCCTCGGGCGAATCCAATGATAATTTCTGCGACGGAGAAGAGCGTCAAGAGGGGTGAACCGTATCGAGTCCGAAGACGTATCCAACCAGTAAACCAGGCCGTCCGACGCGGACGACAACGCACGATGAGCGATCAGGTGCGCGAGTTCCTACGATGCGCCTCTATCTCATCGATCTCGGTCCTCTTGAGTTGCTGAAAGCGCTGTCGCCACTTGTCCGAACGCGTTTTCCTCTCGTCTGGAGACATGGTGCGAGGATCGTCCTTCTTGCTGCGTCGGAACTTGTTCGTCACCTGCTCGAGCTTGGCCTTTGCAGGCGAATGCTCTCCAGATTTCTTGGGAGAGCTCGCTGGGTTGGCGGGTGAAGATGCTTCGGTGCCACGCTCGATATCCGATGCCTTTGCAGGAGAAGATGGCGCCTTCTGTTTGCTTTTGCTGCTGGACACCTTGAAGCAGCTTGCGTTGCTCTCCTCGTATTCCACAGTCATGGGCGCTTCGGCAGAACGGCTGTCTACCGCAACAGATGAACGACGCTCCTCAATGTGTGTGTCGTTGATCATCTCCGACAGATCGTCCATGGCGCCATCGAGCCCTGACAAGCGCTGGTTGGCAAAGTGCCGAGGAGCAGGCGCGCTGTAGCCACCAATCTCGCTCGGACTCAACTCCTTGGGCGTTGGGTAGAAGCGTTGCATGTTCAGCGAGGTGCTGTAGCTGCGATTCTGGGTTTGATTGCCGAAGGACTGGTTGGACACGCCGCCGTTTGGCGTAGTGTCTACCCTGGACACAATACCTTTGTCCTGCATGCCCCTGCTCGCATCATCCTCGATGCTTGGAACTACTTGTCGATATCCAGACGTCATCCTCTGAGGGAACATCACCGGAGGGTTCAGATACTGCGTGACAGAGGCGACACGATTGGGAATCTGCATGGCTTCGTTGCGAACCATGTACTGGACGGAAATATCCTTAACGTTTCCTTGTTGACCATACCCTGAGTCACGACGGATATCATCTGGTATATTACCCTTCGCTGATGGAACGTTCTCCTGGCCTCCGCTAGCGTTGTTGTAGTTGAAAGTCATCTCGACATCAGAGTTGTGAGGCAGAGACCCGGCAACGAGCCCTCGAAGCGAAGGCGTCCTAGAATCGGTACCGCGTCGATACTCAGCTTGGCGCTTCTTCGACTCGTCTGTGAGGAAGTGCAGAAGACCCTGGATGTAGCCTTGTAGAACCTCGGGACTGTCAGGAATGCCAACGTGGTCGTAGCCGGCCTGGTAGCCTTCCTGGTATGTAGACGGAACATGTGTTACGGGCTTGCCATGGAAAGGCCAGTTTTCGTCGGTGCCGGTGCATTGAGTAGAGCTGGTCCGCGGCGCCATGTTGCTGCTAGAAGCAGAGACTGACATGTTAGCGCCCATTACAGGAGCGCGGTCTATCATAGTGGAGAGAGGCTGCTCCAAAAGGCCTTGACGCATGGAATGCAGAGAAGGTTGTTTACCAAATGCCTCAGGCCACGAGGTGAGCTTGGGCGCAACATCGTTAGTCCTGGAACGACCAGAATCGCCTTCGTTCCATGGACTAGCCGGCCAGTGTTTCTCGGGTGTAGATGGTACTGCAGTGTTTTCATTGGATGACTGCTCAACTTCCTTGATCTGTGGCGCTACTCGTGTTGAGGAATGCTCATGCGTGTTTGTAGGGAAGAAGTCCATGGTGTCAACGCTAGACAGACTATGCTTCTGCGAAGACATTCGGCGATCATGTTTGCCAGCCACTGGAATCTGTTGTCCTCGCCAAGGAGACCGCTTCTCCAGTGAGGGAGTGGGCGAAACAGTGCCGTGGGTGGTACCGGACTTCATGACAGGCTCGTACGTAGGGCTCTTCGGATTCAGAGCAGACCCCTTCTTGACTTCCTCGGGAGGTGGTGGCTTGATTTCGATAGCTCGAGAGCGACGGTTAGCGGATCCTGGAGGAGAATGGGGCGGGTTTGTCGCGGTTGGAACAAAAGGTGGTGGCTCCGCAGAGAAGGCGGACAATGTACCAAAAGGCTGAGGTTGGGGTTGATACATAGGCATGGGCGGGTACGGTGCTGCGAAGGGGTACATGGGAGGAGCAAACGGCTGCTGGAATTGCGCTCCGAAAGGCGACATAGCTGTTGAGCCTGCACCATTTGCTCCAGAGAAGGCGCCGTGCTGAGTCGTACTGCTGTCCGATTCGACGGCCGTTATCTGCTTTCGAAGTGCGTCGAGCTCGACGATGAGGCACCGTTTCTTCTCAATCATACCTGCACGCCACGCCTCGCTCTGCTGACCGGCTTGCAGTACCTCAGTCTGTTCTACAGTGCGGAGCTCCTGCTTCTTGAGAGCTTGTTGCGTCTTGAGAGTCGCAAGGTCCAAGCCAGCAAACGGTGTATGAGTGTTGGAGCGTGGCGGCCCGAACGCGGCCCCCGACAGAGCGCAGTGAGTGGTCATGGTAGACGGATCCTGAGTCTGCTTACCTATGGGGTCCATAGCAGCGGGGCCGGTGGGAGGCATCGTAGGGTTGCTTGCGTTGACTGCTGGCAGTGCGAACATGCGATCGCCAATGAAGATGACAGGCTGGCCGCCGACAACTTCAATGCGAGCGGTGTTATTGGAGTTCTGGTGAGTTGGTGCTTGCATGACGCTTCCTGGTGCGACGCGCAGCGGTGGTTGTGGTGGTCTGTAAGTAGCGTCTCCGTATCGGGACGTGCCGAGCGGTAGAAGGTCGCTAGGAACTATACGGCCGCCTGCAGTGACTCGTATACCGGGTGGACTGCCGTGCTCTTTGAGAAGCTTCTCCGCCTTGCCGCGCTTGATTGACGGCGTGGGTGATGGCCGCTTGTGGGGTCCGAAAGGCACAAGATTGGCTGGAGTGGGTACACGCAAGCTTCTGTTTGATGCTCTGCTAGGTAGATTCGCCGATGCGGACGCTGACGGGCGAAGGACGTGTTCTAATAAGAAATGCAATCAGTTACTGCCCGTTGTGTAGCAGTAGTAGGAAGAAAGGAAGGCTACGAGCCTAGCGATAGAGGGTGTGATAGGGTCGGTCGGGTGTAGTGTGGGTAGGGTAAGCGAAAACGAGACGTGTCGGGTATGATGTTCTTCGATAGGAAAGGTGAACGGTGAAAAGTGAAAGGGTGAAGAGGATAGGCCCGGCACTGACCTCTGATCACATCCTCATCAGGAAACTTCTCAATCGACACAGCTGATTCCGACACCGAGTCGCGAAGTGCAAGCAACTCGTCCACCTTGTACGCGAAAGACATCATGAGTGGTCCGTCACTCTAGGGGTGTATCGTAGGTGACGAGCCGCCGACCTGATTGAGCCGTTGGTATTACGGGACCAATAAGACGTCGAGCTGGGGAAACGAAGACGACTGAGATGGTGTGATGCGAATATCCTGTCGTCGTTAGTATTGGTTCCCTACCTCATATACTGCTGTGATGTTGTGTCCTTGTGTGATAGAGGATAGGCAAGATAGCGACATGCCTCAAAGCTGATCGATGGGAAGCCAATGTGAACAACGAGCGAGCGACAGCTATCCAAAAAGCCGAAGCGCAGCAATGCGAAAGAAGAAGAGGCGGAACAAGAAGATGGAACCAAAACGAGTGTGTGTTGAGGAGAAGGACGGAAAACGCTGTTGGGTAGGTTGTTATAGCCCGCATACTGTCGCGACTTCTTGTGGAATAACCGATCGAAGTTGGCCATTGAGGAAAGAGGTGACAAAACGACGATGTAGGAAGGGTTGAAGACGAGCACCGTGAGTTTCGTAGAAGTGGGGATGCGGACAAGCGCAGCTGCCAGGTGAGATAGATGAGGAGAGAGCGGTCGACACACCTCGGTGTTGAGCTCCGGAGTGATCAGGTGCGACAGTGGCATAATGATACTTAGTGCAAGGAGAAGGAAGGCTTGGGAATAAGAGATCTCATGGCTTTTTCAAATGATGCAAACACTTACGATACTCCTCACGTATATACTTTCGTAGAGCAGACGGTTAGACATGTTTCCTTCCTAAAATCTGGTATACCTAGCTGGAAACCCCTAGACGCCTGCGCTATGCTTTATGCTAGATCGAATACGCCGCTGTGCACCACTCCTTCCACTCAGGTTTTGCGGTGCTAGTCATCTGTATGTCCATAGTATGGTCTACCTCCTACGAGTAGCCCGGGCACTAGGCGGCGGCGCCGACTCGAAAGCATCATCAGACTCGATCTCATCATCACTCTGTGTAGACATTAGCAAACACCCATCATTAAGTATTACCGTGTTCACTTACCGGCTCCTGTACAGCCTTCTTTCCTCTCGAAGCCGCAGGTCGTGTGGGCTGACTGCGCTGCGTGAGCGGCTGCGAGAAGTTCAGCTTCGTCTGAGTCGCTGGCGCCTTTGCTCTCGCAGTAGTAGTCTTCTTGGCTGGTGACTTCGCTCGCGCCGGGGCTTTTGTTGTCTTCGCTGCGGATTTCTTTACGGGAGCTTTCTTCTTTTGCGAAGCTACGAACAGGTCTTCGCCACTGTCATCGTCTTCTTCCTCTTCGGGTACTTCTTCGTCGTCATCGTCGTCAATCATGATGATGTCGTCGTCTTCGTCGGACTCCTCTTCTTCCACGACTTTTCTCTTGCCTCGGCCGCCCTTGGCTGTGGGTGCGGCCTTCTTGGGAGCTGCTGCCTTCTTAGTAGCCGCAGCTGGTTTGCGGGTTGTGCCAGCTGCCTTGCCACGACCGCTGGTGGCAGCTTTCTTTGCAGGTATCGACGCTAAGCTCTCGTCATCGTCTTTCTCGCCTTCGTTATCAGACCTAATGATAGCGGCTGGCTGATCGACCCAGGACCCATCAAAGTCACTGTCCCAGCCAGCTGGCTTGGGCTTGACCTTGGATTTCCGGGTCTTCTTCAACTGCCCTGAAGCAAACATATCCTCTAATTGCTCTCGGTACTCTGCCATCTCTTTGACGATCTCCTCTTCCTCAACATCATTGGCGTCCATGAGGTGTTTGAGCTGAGTCGTCAAACTATCTTTTACAAACTGCTCCATGGCGTGCTTGTCGTCCTTGTCTACGAACTGTGAGACTGCGTCTCCGAAGGAGTTCTGGGGCAGGATCGTCAAAGTTTGGGCGGTGAGAAACTCTTTCACCAACTTGTCGACCTTGACTGAGTCAATTGAGATTTCAGCGAGTATCTCCGCATCCGGCTCTTCGGCGTTGTTCTTCAACGCCCGACTTGACGGCTTCTTCTTTCGATGAAACTGTACAATGTCGTTGATGTTGGCCACCTTGCCCATGAACCGATTCGAGATACGTTGCGGATTCTCACAGTGGAACTCGCCTCCTTGTGGTGCTGTGTATTCCACACGAAGCCGGACGAGTGGTTTCGGAGGGTCGTCGTCGTCTTCTTGTCGATCCTCCTGTAGTTCAAGCCAATCCCTCTTCGCTTCATCGATGAGCTCCTCAATGACCTGATTTAGATACTGGGTAATCTTTGCACGGTTATCGCTGACGCGCCAGAGCTCCTTCTCCTTGATCTCCCTCTCTTCCGCAAGTACGATCTCTTTCATGATGAAGGGTCGCACAGACTTCAGGCGGATGTTCTCAGTCGTGAATTCCTTGCCGGTGACGCTCAAAATGCAGACATGTTTGGGGACCGCTTCTCCGGGCATGAGTGAGGTAGCCACTGAAGAGCCAGGCTGCATGACATGGAAACCCATTTCGGGGTTGTATCGTGGGTCAATCAGACATTCGTGTTCGTGACCCCACACGACAAGGTCCATAAAATCAGGTAGGAAGTTCTCAGGAAGGTAGCTGGTAGGTGTGTGTGCGTGGTGATTCTGATGTACGCTCATGAGGTTGAACCATTCGTCCTTCTGCGTACCAGGTTGAAAGAACTTGACGTTACCATCCCGCCAGGTATGGAACAACCGCTCGTCGCGAACGTTACTAAGACCATATAGAGCAAGCTTGGTGCCACCCTTTTGTAGTAGCACCGGTTTTACGTTGATCTTATCGACTTCGGGTGTGCGACCGAAGTAGTTGACAAAGCCAGACGCCTGCAGTAGATCGAGGGGGGAGAACGAGCCTTCGCCCGACGGGTCGTCGTGGTTCCCGTGAATGGCGAACACGGGAATGGCGATGTTGATGTCTTCGTCTTCGTAGTTGACATGGTCAAAATTGCCGCCGAAGTTCTCGCTCGCATCGCTCAGCATCTCCAGTTCGCATGGCTTCTCTCCGAGACAGTTCATACGCAGCGACCGCATGACCTGGTACATGGACTTCCTGGACGGTTTGTTCTCGTGGAAGAGGTCTCCCGCGTGTAGCACCATGTCCACATCATGCTCTTTCGCTAGGCACATCACCTCGTGGAACGTCCTCCAGCTGTCGTCCTTTCGCTCGGCGTCGCGCTCGTTGTATCCGACATGGCTATCTGTGGCGACGAGGATCCGAATGGTATCTGCACCTGCACAGCCCATTAGCGCATGCCTCTCGTCTCATCTCAGGTTCCTCCATACCTCGCGGCTGACCGCGTGCGCGTGGCGGCATGGTGGGCGATTGGTTGATCGGGTAGATGTGGGCAAATCGACTTGTAGTGCTGATAGAGGCAATTCGGCGACTCAAAGTTCCCCTGGAGCACTGCAGATGTATGCTCTGAGCAAAAACGCCACTGCAGGCCTGATAACCGCGAGCAATCACTCACCATTCGCGACGCGCTTCCGCCTAAGCCAAGCCATTAGCGTCCCCCGCGCTCTCACGTGCATTTCGAAGCCATCGGAAGGCGTCGAAAACATTCGCCGACATCATCATTCACACATTACGTCGCAATGTTTCCCACACGGGCGCTCTGCGCTCGATCGGTCTGGAAAGGTGAGATGATGTCCAGTGATGTTCGATCCTCAATGACTAGCAATCTAACTTTTTCACAGGCCCCAATATCGTCCCGTAAGCCACTACTATCAAGCCCTGCGAAATGCGCCCTAATCATCTCGAAGCCTCCCGATAGCACAGAAGAAGGCGGGTGAACGGATGCCACCGATAAAGACACAAGCGCGCTCTGCTACCATATTACCAAACTTTGTCGGCCTCAAGTTCCAGATTCACAACGGGAAGAGCTATCTGGATATCACCATAACGGAGGACATGGTAGGACGAAAGCTTGGGGAATTTGCGCCGTATGTCTACTACAACCACTAGCTTTGTTGGAGGGCAGGGGCAACGGAGTGCTGACTTTGAATCCAGGACACGGAAGCAGTTCACGTATAAGCAGACTAAGAACAAATGAGCAATGGAACGCATGTGCATCAAATGGGAGTTTGGGTATCATTTTGGTTTATCTAGAAGCCATTCTGTACTGCTATTGTACACATATGATGAGCCCTTTGTTGGGCTGGATGCCTCCATATTCCGAATGATCAGTCCCTGCGCCTGTGATGCCGTCCAACGCCTGAAATGCATATCGATGTCCCAAATTACTACATCCCGTCGTGTTCCAGTTTCATGGGTTCCTGTCCGATGGCTGAAAATCCTAGCGGTAGAACTCTCCACGCTTGATGTTGACTCCGTATTCGCCTACTGCCATGCCCAGGTCCTCCATGGTGAGCACGGTGCGTCCTTGGTTGCCGCCCTGGCCTCCACCGCCATATCCTGGACGCTGGATGCCAAGGTTGTAGTCCTTGGCCTTGGAGCCGCTGTCCTTGCCACCAGGCGCACCACCAGGCGCTGCTGCTGCCGGTGCTCCTCCTACGCCACCCATAGGGTTGTTACTTGTGGTGTTGGATGACCTGATGCGAGAGAACTGGTAGGCGTCGGCTGCGATGTCCGCGATGAACTTCTGTGTCGCGAGAGCAAGGAGACGTGCGAGGTGTTGTGATGTCTGAGGTGGCGGTGGCAGGCCGGCGCGTGTCAAGTAGTAGTTGGTCACTGCATCGGGTATCTGGTGGCCTGGTTAGCGCGTGATGCTTGGGATGGAGACGGCATATGGCATACGATCGGCGCATAGTCATCCATCTTGCCTAGGAACTCGCGTAATGTTGCGTCCTTCTTCGCAGGTATGCGCGCCTCAAACGCGGCAGCCGAATCTGCCATGCCGTTGACCGCTGCGGGTTCTGCATCGTTTGCGCCGTCGAGGTTCATAGCGTCGGTTTCCAGTCGTGTCGCGTCTTGCTTGATCTCGTCGTCTACGGTCTGGTCTAGTTCATCATTGACCTCCATGTTCGTGTCCGGCGGTTGAGAGTTGATTTCGGACATGATTGCGATACAAGTGATATGTATTGCGACGTGATAGTGCGAGGTATGACGTGGGGTGGTTTGTTCGGGTTGCGGACTGCGGAGACAAGCGCGGGAGTGAACGCGCCGAGCAGCAGGGACGGTCACGTGACCTTATGCGTGATTGGATGAGCCACCTTGACTGCACTACGATTCTACAATCACGTACGACAGCTGTTATCTCATAATCTTGGAGAGTTGCAGTAATTGAGTTATTGCGATTAGCTTATGCTACTTGTAGTTCCTTAGTGATTCTGCATCAGGAACGGATACGCCCCGTTCGGGTACTCCGGTCCTCGCGGAAGGCGTTCGCACTACGCCTGGATGGGAAACAACCTCAACGTCCATCCTCTGCTGTCATATTTTGCTGAGCCTTCCGGTCCTTTAGCAATAGAGCGACAAAGTGCAAAGCTGGAACCGGATGGAGTGGAAGAGAAAAAGTAACACCAGTAAGGGGAGATTTGAGGGAACTAATGCAGATGTGCTCAGGGAAGTCAATGCGGCGCCCCGCAGACCTCGGGAGCCTCAGCCAGACCTCGGGAGGTTTCTGGAGTGAGGAGCGTAACAGCCTACGAACTGTCCTTCGCGTACGAACCCAAGGAACGTCGCCGACAATGACACCGTGACGGGCATTGTCAGAGTCCCGCCAGTCTCTCGGCATCGGGCAGGTGCCCAGCAGTCACGAAATCCTCCTGTCCACAACATCAGTCCGAGGGAGGGCTGAAGATGAACCCAACATCAACAGCAGATGTAGCACACACATGGCCCGTCAGATAAACGGTCTCGCGCGTTAGTGCGTGTCGGAAGGCTTGTCTACCATGACAGCGTTAAAACGTTGCGGGAACCTCAATTCGTTCCCCACATGCCCGGGCAGCCTTGTGCCACAACATCATCCTTTGTGTCACCGCTATCACCGGATCCGTGGATGCTACTGAGTCGCCGACCTAATGATACTGAACCAAGTGCATCTACCATCGACAATTCAGCCTATCATTGTACGGACTAGGAAAGCGGTGATGACGCCGACCCAAACCACAAAGACGAAGAGTACGAGGAAGATCTGGGCAATTCTGGTGCGAACAACACACGCTGCGACCTAACGAACAGGTAAGTCATGCCTAGAGCTGGATGAAAGGCTATGCCCTCATATGAGGACAATATGAGCACGGAGCGGAAGAATGTCTGTAGACGCCTCCAGAGCGACCGGCCAGCGCAGCGAGATTGCGCTACTGCGCCTTGCGCAAGAAGGTTCCTGTGGCAATTGAGACACGCTTCGACACAAATGCTACTTACAGCTCCATGGTGCGAGTTGTCTCCTCGCCTTCCAATTCGAGAGGCAGCTAGCTGGATCCAGTTTTGTGAGTAAACCTGAAGGGTCTTCTTGCCGCTTGCTGATCGCATTCCACAGTTTTCTCAGATACGTAATTTTGAATTATATCCGTACTAGAACCTTACCGGCATCGTGGTAGGTCGGCGATCTTACAAAATCGTACCATAGCAGATAAAGTGCTTTCCACCAAGAAAGCTTCGCATCCTTCCCGTGGCCCGCGTCCGCGCGGTGCCTCGCCCGCCCTTGCAGCCGTAGTGCTCACGCTGTTTCGAGGCAGTTCACTTCTATTCCCTTGCCTCACGAAGTATGCAGACGGCGACCTGATCTAGATCTGGGGGCCTTGCGTCTGCATGTCCACAATTCAGGTGTCTAGCGCCGGAACGCATCTATATTGGAGGTCGAAAAGGGAGCCCGAGGCCTGACGCTAATTACCCGGCTAGGCTAGTAGTCTGCGGATGGCTGGAGACAGGTGTGGCGCTGGCCTGGCCCCACCGGGCTAGGTTTGCACCACCACCTCATGAAAATGATCAAGACCAAATGGTGCACGAACACCGCAGTAGCTACTTGGATATCCGATCGGATTATTGAGAACTAGAATCACCACAATTGTCACGGTCATGTCACTATCAGCCAATACACCATCTTATTTCAAAGATTCCAAGGCCGTCTTTATAAGACGGTGCCACAGCATCGCACCGTCGCGCAGCATGTGGACAAGGCTTGCGTTCACCGCGACTACTAAGGCCCGCTCCGCGCGCTACTGTCAGGCGTTCTCCTTTATTCCGTTGGACACGAACCCTGTCACAAACCGTGGAAAGGCCCCAGACGTGGAGTAGAGGTATGCTAGCACTCTGGGCCGTCGATATCACAGTGGGATTCGACCGACGTTGTACAGCAATCGACACTTGAATTGACCGGATTGTCTCTAGGGCTCACCCGGACTTCTACGCCGGTTTCACTTCATAGACAAACCTCATGCAAGGCCTCCAACGTTAAGATGACATAGGAATCTCCGCGGCTTCTGTCTCTATGTGAAGCCATCACAAGAACGTCGCTCTATGGATGGAAGAGCCCGACGGGCCGAAAACCACCAACAAGATCGCAAGGATTGTCCGCTTTGTGGAGTGCCACAGCGGCTTGATGGGTGTTTCTGACCCACAAGCAAGCAGTGCCAGCCTCTCGATGACCGGACTCCTCCCATCGAGGCTTTTTGCTGCAGCTCTCAACATATGGGCCGGAAGTTCGGTACAGCCACTGTCCATCTATAAAGGAACCTGCCTCCCTCTCCTCAATTCATCATCCACTCACTCTTCAGACCACTTCATCCACTCTACAACCGCCAAACCCCAACCGCCAACCTTCAAAATGCAGTTCACTCAGATCCTCCTCCTCGCCATTGCGCCTTTCATGGTCGCCGCCACTCCAGTTGACGCTGACGGTGTCACTTCCGTCAACAGCTTCCCCCTCGAGGCCCGTGGTGGCAAGGACTTCTGCGGAAGTGATCTGCGCTCTGCTGGCGCTGCTTGCACCTTCGGTGGTGGCGAGAACGACCCCCACGCCTGCGGTGTCAAGGACCGCCAGGTAGTCGTAAGTGTCTCCAATACATGACTGGCAATACTGAATGCTGACAATTGCAAAGCTCTACTGCAAGGGCGGTGTCTGGACCATTGACCACCGCTGCGCAGCTGGACAGATCTGCAGGTGCAACAAGGGTACCCCCAAGCGTGGTGACCTCGTCTGCAAGTCTGGTTAAATTATTGGTTGGTTTTGGGTCAGAAGTGTTAAAGAGCGGATTTGGGGGATTGTAAGGTCGGGCGGTGGAGAAGTCTCTCATTCAAGGTTACATACCACCGAGTTGCTTAACAACGACCTGATACAATGAAGTCGTCTGAGAACTCATCAAACTCATCTTGATCTTAGAAAGTGTCTTCGAATGCCGTGCTTTTCCTAAATCTAGACTTATTTCAACAAAGAGAGAATGTTTCCGATTCGCAGACTCCATCTTTGATCGACTGAATAACCTCACCGTCCATCATGCCGTGCAAGTAAGCACTGCCAACAAGCATCAGCGGCTCTCTCCTATTTGCTCCAGGTCTGAGCAGAACAGGTACATCCAGACCAAACAATACACAGACGAGGTCTCCTTTGCGTGCCTCTCTCGGAACCATGCCAATTTTACCATTGCATGTGGTAGCCATTCTATGTGTCCTGGTAAACCTCCAGATACGCTCAACTGCATCGATATCTGTACTCGGAAAACTGTCGGCTCGATTGGCAAAATATGTATCGAGCTTCTTCCCCGCGACAAAAAGCGATGCGCTCTGCGAAAGGAAACGACTGAAGGCTCTGGCCCCTCTGGAGGGTAAAATATTGGATTACGTTTCCCTGAGTGGCAGGTTGAGTATCTCGGCAAAAGTATCTGGGGCTGGAAGGCCTCCCGGAGTACGGCTACCCGTTAAAGTTCTCCAAAGTGCATCCCGCATTAATTCATCACAACCATAGGCGTTCGCCGCATGATGAGAAGGACTGACGCAGTCTTGCGGCTGCGAACTGACATCATACTCTAGGTATGCACATCCTAGACCATCAACTTCATCAACCATGACGCCATCAACGTCTATTATCTTGCCATCGTCCCTAAAGCGATAGGAGGCGACCGAGGTACCGCTCGCATGATATGTGGAATGCGCTCCGCTGAATAGGCGATAGTGCTCCCCGTTCCTCCAGTCTGGAACCCATGATGGCATCTTAGTGTCCGTCAATCGGCATTGTTCTAGTAACTCCAGACTATGTGCTTGCCTTTGGTCAGCTATGTCTCGGCAACTAATGCTTGCAACTCTACTCACTTCCAACAATGTAGTTTCTCGCGAATTCTGTGTACACCTCTTCAACGGAGCGACTGTAGTCCAGGTCGACCAATGAGATCACTGGACTAGGCATCAGTCCAAGTATTCCGTAGACTTTGTCCTTCATGTCTGAAGCATCTGACTTCCTGGCCAGATCCAGAAGGCACATGAACTGGGGTTTCCCAGCTCCGGTCTGTTTTTGGTGTTCCATGTTGATATGGATGATTTTGTTCCTGTTCAGGCCAAACGGTCTTTTCCCCACTGTCGCTCTTTCGTGATCGATGCAACGGAAGATAACATCGACGTTGTGCTTTCCGAAAGAGTAAATTGCAGTGAAGAATTCCCTCCAAGTCACGCTCTTCTGTCCACACAAGATCGGAGCATTGGCACCACCTAAACAAAGCTCCTGAATGATCCACATACGGCTCCAGTACTGTCGCTCGAGTAGACAACTGAGGGCGAGCCAAGCACCGGGCTGAAGATATCCGGGGTCTTCTTGTAGCTTCGCCCCTAACGCTTTGTCGGTGCCGTCTTCGCATGAATGCGAAAGGATGTGAATCAAATTCATGGCTTTATCGCTCTCGTCGTTCTCACTCCCGAGCCATATCACGACATCTGCAGCAATCTTGTAGATCAATCGCATTCGACGTACTTCACGACTTCGCTCATTGATGTCATCTTGGTTGATGCACAGAGCATCTACCCAGACCTTATATCCTGATCTCATAGGCTCTTTATCTCGTAGCGCCCGTAGTGCCGCCTCTAGATTTGACTGCACTTTGACGATTTCGCCGTCAATACATATGTCTTTCCTATCAGCTGGATTACCCCATGTGTAGGACAGAGCGACATAGTCGCCCCATTCAAACCTGCCGCCAACCCTGCTGCGTCTATCGTGAATTTGATATGTTGTGTCGTAGCCATCAAAGTATGCCTCATGTTTGATGGGGTTATGGATTCCTGTCTCTTCCAAAGATAGTCCAGAGTCCTTGCGATATTGATAACTTTCTTTACCAAGCCGATATTTGGTCGTCCAATCGAGCGAGACGTCTGGATCCCTGATCTGGGATATTTCTTTCCCATGCTCCCTTATAAGTGAGTAATGGTCCAGTGTACAAGCCACTAAATCGACGTTCTCTTGGCGGTGTAAGGCTGAGGGCGAACGAGGATGGATGGAGATAAGACGGAGCTCATCTGCTTGTGTATTCAGCGATCTGTATTGCATTTTGTATGTGCAACAGAAATGATTTTGTTTGAATGACTCTCTCCATCTCTGCGAGATACCGAGCGCTAGATAAAGAGACAGCTGGGCTTACCGAGACGCATCTCTGCTGTTGCCAAGCAGGCGATAATATGAAGCAGGGCGTCGTGAACGAGGGACGCGATAAAGGTACAGGTGCACAGTGGACAGGCTGAACGCCATGCGTGATTGATACAGTGCTCAGCCTTGTTGTGTGCAGCATGTGCTTCGAATAGACGGTCTGATTCGATTTTAGCAGACCAATTCTCCGTCGACAAATCGTAGGAACGTCCAAGTACATTTGCCTGAAAAGGTTTGCCTTAAAGCTGAGAAAGAGCCGCTTGTGGTCAAATATCGTCGAGTCTTAAGAGGGCTGATGTCAGACGTTCTTGGCAGTTCGTTATGTCCGGCAAAGCACTTTCGTTTTGGCAACCACTTACACATACTGCAGGAGTGCTAGAGTATTGCAACGGTTTAGGCCTTCTCCAATAGGCCGGTTTTCATGACCATCCCATTTCACCAACAGCATATTTTCTGGCCAAACGGTTGTAAAACGTGACTTTGGTCCACGGTGTCCTCATCTATCCGACTGCGCAACATCTTCGACATCCTACAAGACGGTAGTGATGGGACCTGTGGACTGTTTCAACTGCGTCCTGCATCGCACTGCATCCTGGAAGTGTAATTGCTAGTTGAATTAACCATGTAGCATCGCTTTGATCCGTGTTCTGGTTAGGGTGAGCGAGAATACTTACAGCACACTGCCATATTCCCAGAAAGCCGTCTTGCCTTCCGAGGTTACTGTGGTTGCCGATCCGGGTGGTCATAGCTTAACCACCAGCATCGCGTCTCTCTCCAGCGCGTTTCTCCACCTCACCTTGCAAGACCTATCATCTGTTTGATGATTGAACCTACATGCGATACTATGATATAGATGCGAAGTCAAACGAGATGGGTCTAATTGGCTGCACCGCGCAAATGTTCGGAACCCCCCGCTTTAACAAACGCTCACCGCACCTGACCCAGGCAAAGAGCCAGCTCCAAAATGAGGGTTCAGCCTTGTCCCAGCTGCACCTCCAGCTACGTGCACCCCGAAGTAGCCTTCGGAGTGCCATAAGTCCCTGCAGCAAATGCGCGCTTCCGATTCACTGACACCCTATATCGATATCAGCCAGATCAACCTGAGATGTGCTCAGGCCCTAATACATCAACCGGACTTTCCAGACGCTGCCAAGATTCCTTCGCTACTATTGACAAACTGCGGGTGATACTGCGCTATATCCGTTTCCCTCTAACATAAAGGCACCATGCGGGAACAGGACACCAATCTGCAAACGACTTGCTGCAAGTCTTCTTGTGGAAGGAGCCATCTATCGGACAGCGTATCCCAAATCATGGCCGTTCTTACTGATCTACCCCCAGAAATTCTAGAGCAAATCTACCATTTCCTTGGAAGCATCGACGACGTTCACCATCTCGGACGCACATGTACTAAAATCCACAAAGTCATCCAACATCACAACATCTACCTCGAGATAATGCGCTCGATAATTTACTCGTCACCCCAACATCGCTACGACTTCCAACTCAACAAAGCCTTGATCCTCCATTCCAAGATCGTTGCGCACTTTGCACACAACACGTTGCGCCTGCCCGCCAGCCAGCCTGGAGCCAACAGGAATAACTGGGAGTATTATCTACACAATACGGCTAGTGCATGCTCCTCGCCACACGAATGGACAGATGATGCGATCTGCGACGTGCTAGCCCGGTACCAAGGGTTGCGCATGCTGCAGAACACGTGGTTGGAAAGGGAACTCCAAGAGCAAGATTTCCTATCTGTGGATCATACATCGGATGCCCAGCGGCTCGTACATCGATTCCAAACGCTCGTTGGCCGTGGCGAAGAGTTCGCATATGAAGGTATGCCTCCGCGCAATGTAGACACGCCGCATACATGGTGTTACCGCAAGTTCAACGTCGACCAGAGAGGGCGATTCTATGCCGCGGTGGTGTGCGTCTGGCTTCTCAACGAGATCAGATGGGTGTTGACTAACTTCACTTACCCAGCGAACTTCACTGTCCAGATTGGGATCTTGGAGTCGTGCAAGAACAGGATTCTAGCAGAGGCAGATACCCCACTGCTTGATGAGCTGGATCGACATGCTGTGTTTGCTTTCATGTACCAGCATTTACTCCCACTTCATGCCTCATTCCTCGCCGACGCCACTTCCACGAACCTACCCTTCACATTCGTCTCTGACTTTTCCAAAGACTGGGCTCACTGCCCCAGGTACGTTCCCGGCGTCTACAACTCCATCTGATACAATACTCAATCATACCTGTACTAAATTTTGCGCCAGACTACTTCAACTCTTCCTTATGTCCGGCCAAACCTACCTCCAACCCCCCGATCTAATCGACCTCCTCATCCGCTCCACGATATGCCGCCGGCTGCCTTACCCCTCTCTCGACACCCCGCATTCAACCGAGCGATGGAGACACCCCCGACCAATTCTCTTTCGGCCCAGTAGTAACCTCTGCTATGGAATCAACAAGGCGCATGTTCAGAGTATGTCGATGTTGCATCTCACGCTCATCACGCGCTCTTCCTTCCACCAAACGCGGTACGATATGAGTCAAGGTGTCATCAGCCATCCGGCGCTCGGCGAGGCGTTGTTCAAAGTTCCTGATCACGCGAAACGGTATTTCTATGATCGGGCTATGGTGGCGTTTGAGATGTGCGAGGTGAAGCGGATGGAGTTGAAGGATATACGCGCTGTGTTTCCTAAGGCGTGGGAAGACATAAGGTGGTGTGTTTGGTGGTGGGCGAGCAGTGAAGAGAAGGCGAGGATGAAGATGGAGAGATTGAGATTGGAAGTGGGCCCGTAGTATGGCGGATCGTTGCAAGCATGCATCGTTGTTCAATTATCAATAGGTGGTGCTGATGCATGGATACTGGTCGATGTATGTGTGGATGGGACGAAATGTGGAACAGTAACACATGGCTGTGATAGGCTCATTGGAGTCAAGGCACTTCATGTTCAAGAGTGTACAAGAATGGCGAAGTTTCATATCGAAAAAAAAAAAAGATAGCCCATTCACTCAGAGACTGAGGTCAGTTCGGGTTGAAATAGGCCCAGTAGTAGAAGTATAGGAAGATCTGTGGTCAACTGCCTCGTCTACGCGTACCCGATATCCAGGGTACGTAGCGGTTACTACTCATGGTTCTGAAAACAAATAAAAGGACGTTCAATTACGCCGATTCACTCTGATTTCAACATGCCCTTTGACTGCCTCGTGACCGCACAGTGTCAGATTCGATTACATTCGTTCTCCTCATGAGATGTGTATTGGCCATACGATAGTGAGTATCCACATCCCGTGTTTCTCGTTATTCTGTCACGGGCAAGAGTAAAATCATGTCGCCCAAGAAAGTACTTAGGATCTAAGCTTGATGATGAAACGCGAATATATTAATGTATGTTTCTATTGCATCAAGCATATTCCATCAGGTGACGTGACTATTTTTGGGTATGTAGTCTATGACAATTGCGGGCCGGAGCGAGGCAGTGTGGCTGGGATTGTGGCTGTCCCGAGGTCGTTAAGAGGAACAATCGATCTAACGCCCAAGCCCTGTAAGCCTGGAGGAATATGAAATTTGAACAGGGCAGCACCTATGACGTAATCTATATCGACAATGTTTGATACCTAGGATGCGCAGGACAGGCGCCATTTCGACATTACTGTATCCTGGTTATTGGCTGAAAATGTTTGAGGACGAGCTCGCCATACATCATGTGTGGATGCCGAGGCGCATTCCGGCCTCGAGGTGTGGCGGAACGTCCAAACCTCATAGCATGAACACCATATCGACGTTGACGTGCAGCAACATGCGTCTCGGTCTTGCTTCATGGAGTTAATATAGTTACAGCGGGATTAGCATCCGCAGCTTATCAGTTCCAATGCATCGGGTACAGCGGCTAGGATGGGTGAAGACATAGTGGTGCTCTTGGAAGAGCGGAGAAGGTGGACGGTTGAGGACTAGCTGGCCAGGCATAACTATGAAGGCTTGTATATCGCAGACAGACAATACGGACTGCGTAGGAGCTCGCGGCAGAAATCGGGAAGGTCAATGGCCGCAATTCCGTTTTCCCGTAGGCACAGGGACCCATAGATGGCTCGCTCGTGCTGCCGACCATTGGCATAGGAACGTGAAAGTGCCGGCACAACACGGCCCTCACCGAGGCGCCCGATGTCCCAAGATTCAAGGCCAATTGGGTGCAAGCAGGTGTGCTGACATGAGCAGACGGCGAGATTTGCTGTTTGTTGGAGCGCAGGCAGCCATGTATAAAGCTGCCTTTGGCAAAGTGAGGGGTCGAAGATACTCGCGAGACGTCATTGGCGTGTAGAAGCGCGTCAAACTGCGCTGCTGGAACGTGAATGTAAAACCACGATGAATGCGGAGGGTCGTCAACGCAGATGCAGCCATAGAACGAGCAAGCGACATGTCACCTGCTAGCAGCTACACGGCGGCTCTCGGGCCCTGGGCGAGGGAGTGGTGAATGCGCCGAAGTAGCGTGGGCTGTCGGGTTCTCTTAGAGCACCACCTTAACGAAGAAAAATTCGCGCTTGAGAGTGACCCTCTTTCTCCCACCTACGCTTGCTTCTCCCGCACACACGACAGCCAATTTTCTTGCCTGGCGCCCCGTCTGCCTTGATCACGTCGCATCCGACCCTCAGACGCCGCCTCAGCCCGCTCCGTCGCTGTTGCTTGCACGCCAGACGAGCCTGTACCGCAACCCTCGTGTGCCTGGAGCCCGTACCTCACTGCACCCTCCAACCCTCATTATCCGCCCGCAACCCACCACCCACCCCTCGCATTCCGCCGACGCAGTCTTCGCTGCCCTCTCTGCGCGACTGCCAACCCCACCGCCCACGCAGACTCGCTCCAGAGGTTAGTTCCACACACACAGCACCGCCCACGCCCGCCGCACGCGTGCTTCCTGCCTTGCTCCCCGCCTCGAGTTTGCTCGGCACGCTGCGCAACATTTCCCCCCCATTCTCCGCCTTTGAGCCTCTCCCAGTCGCGTTCTGTGTTTCACTCGCGCTCCTTCCCGCTTGGTCCTCGGCGGCCCACGCAGTCATTTCGACTTGTCGTGCGCTCGCTCCCAGACCTCCACCACAACTACCCACGTCACTTGTTTCCACCACCACCACGCCTTATATGCTGTCCACACTGCGCTTGTAGCACGTCTGTCCTTCGCTAACCCCAGCCACTGCAGTACGCGCAATTACCGTCACAGTCGCCAAACAGTCAAGTAGGAAGCACTTACTTTCCTCACATTGTGCGAGCCCGCCTCGGTACAAAGCCCTCGTCTAGCACACTGCCCAGCTCTCCATCAGTGCAGAGCTGTATCGCCGCCGCATCGCTTATTCGTCAACGCAAGACTTGGTAGCAGCAAAGAGACTTGCGTGCGGGGAGGTCAAGAGCAACCTCTCCGGACATACCAGCGTCAACACCTGTTGGCCAGCTTGCCGCAGCGCTCCCATCGGGGATCCTAAGCGCTTACTCTCGTCTTACTAGCCGGACTTCAGTCGAGATTTACACAACTTCCAAAAATGGCTTCAACATTTTCATATGCGCAAGCCGCGAAGGGCGTCGTTACGCCAACCACCACGAGCAAGTCGGCATCCGGCTCTGCTACGCCAGCCAAGGACGGCAACAGCGCATCTGTTCCAGAAACTAGCGCGTCGCCCAGCAACTGGGCCGAAGACGTCGAGTCTGAGTCGCGCCCTGAGCAGCCTGCGAAAGTCCGCGAGGCGCGACCCGAGCAAACCGGCCCCAACGTGGTCAAGGTTTCACAGCCCGTAGATGCCTCCAACGTATCCTCGCCGGATCTTGGAGCCTCCACTTCGTCAACAGTCACCAAGGACGACGACGTTTCCTCGATACCGAACACCTCCTCTGAGTCGACCACCTGGGACAACAAGTCTCAGGCCTCCACCTCGGTTGACAAGTCGGTTGAGCCGGTCGAGAAAACCTCTGACAAGGTCAAGAAGGCCAAGAATGTACCTGCTAAGCCTCTCCAAGAGGCGCCCGTACCGACTGTGAACCCTTGGAAGATACGAGCGGACACGATCAAGTCTCAGGTGCAGAAGGTTGCGCCTCAAACAACTCCCAATGGAGTGTCCCATGGGGCAAATGGAGTCCAGGCCAAGAACGGCGACTTGAAATCCCAAGAGAAGATTACAAATGGCGAGAGCAGAAACAAGGGCCGAAAAGAGTTCAAGGGTGACGTCGATGTGAGGAACGGTGCTAGGGGCAGGTTTCCCGAGAAGGATGCCAAGGCAGCTCCGGCTTCGAGCGCGCTGCCTCCTCCACCGAACCGCGACCAGGAGTCATGGCCAACTCCTGAGACCGTCATCGACGAGGACCGCAAGAAGGCCCAAGAGAAGGGCGAAAAGGAGCAGAAGGAGCGCAAAGATGGTGCTTCGACTAGCAAGCATGAGTGGGTGAAAATCCCCTACACACCAACAGTTGTGTTCAACACGCCTCTGCCAAACGCGGCAGGCGCTAGGAGAGGTGGCCGTCCTGGAGGACGCGGTGGAGCAGTGAACAGCGGCAGGCCTACTAGCTTTGGCAACGGTGCTGAACAAGCCGAGAAGGATGGATTCGCACCGAACGGCGAACAGACGAGGCGCGAGCGCGCTGAGACAGCTACTCAGGATGCGTCTCCCAAGGCAAAGCGTAACGGTAGCGCAGACGCTCCTACACTGAATGGCCAGGCCCCTGTAGTCAACGGCGACGCCGCTGGCAAAGCCGCTGGCACTGTAGCTTCCGAGTCTGAGGCGCAGCCCAGGAGATCGTCATTGTCCAACATGCCCGCTCAAAACGGCGCTTACCAACGTCAGTACCCCAGCAAGCCTCACAAGGGCCGCCGAGGCGAATTCCACGGTGCCGGAGAACGAAGGAGAGATGGCGCATCCTCACCTACCAAGGATAACACCTGGGGTGAGCGTCAAAATTCTGCTGGAACGCAGACAGACGCTGCTGGAGATGGTGAGCGTAGAGCGCATACCTTCCAGGATGGCTCCTCGCATGGCCATTCCAAGCGCTTTAGTTCGTTCTCCAGCGGTCGCGAACGTGGCCGTGGAGGCCGTGGCGGTCGTGGAAACTACACCAATGGACACCACTTCACCAATGGGCACTCCACTTCGAGCTTCCCCTTGGGCCCACGCTCGCCCACGACCTTTGTACCTGAGAGCAACAGCTTTTTCCCCGCGCCTCACGGCAAATTCGGTCGCAACAACCATCGTTCACAGTCATTGACCACCGATCCATACAGGTATCCAACATTCCAGCCCGGGTATCCAGCTCCTATTCAGACGTCGCATGAGATGTATCCTTATGGCATGCCTGCCCCTATGAGCGCTGGATTACCCTATAGCCCATACGGCGTTGATCAGTACTCGATCTTCTCTATGATCACGGCCCAAGTGTATGCTTTTTATCCGCCCGTCACAATGACCATGCTAACAGATTACTAGGGAGTACTACTTCTCTGTTGATAACTTGCTTAAGGATATGTACCTTCGTCGCCACATGGACTCCCAGGGATTCGTTGGTCTCGAATTCATCGCCGGTTTCAACCGCATCAAGAGCCTGTCTCCTGATATCGACATGATTAGGCTCGTCTGTCAACAGTCTGCCGTCATCGAGTACCGCACCAGCGAGAACGGCCAGGATCGACTACGTCGCAAGGACGGCTGGCAGCAGTGGGTTCTTGACATGGCCGAGCGTGATCCATCTGCACAGAACGAGGGCCCAAAAGAGCTTAATCAGCCTCAGGTCTCTCGCCCTGCAGGCTTCGATCCGTCCAACCCTCCTCAGTGGTCGGCCATGTCCCCAGCATTTAGCCCGTTCGGTAACGAGGGCGCGTATCCCCAGATGAACGGTTTCCATCCCGTTGCCCAGGATGCCGGGTCAGTGCCGGCGGAGACGAATGGTGTGGCTGCCGAAGAAGTGAACGCGGCCGTCTCGAACGGTCACCCAATCGAGAGCTCGACAAAGGCTGTGAGTGGAGATATTCCTGATTCTTTTTCCGACTTGCAACTCGACAGCTTGACAGTCGTCATGCGCAAGCAAGACCCGTCGCAAATGTCATTGCCTCCTTCCGTTTCCCGAACGTTTTCTAACGGCTCCATCGATAGTAAACATGGCGTGCCAGATGAGCCGGAGAAGTTTATCACCTGCCAACTGAGGGTCAACGGTACCGAAATGTCTCATGGGTAAGTTGAGGATTGAGAAGAGTTGAGTGTAAGCGCTGATCACGTCGATAGTAGTCCTGAGAGCCATCTTTATCACCCGCAACTCAACACCGACCCGTTCCGATCGACTTCTCCAATTGCCCCTGTTCGCCTCTATTGGGTCAAAGATCACCACAGCCCAGTTCACACCATCCCTTCCGATTCATCGCATGAATCGTATTTTCACCTCCGATCCAAAGCTCTTCATCAGCGTTCCAACGCACCCCTCGGCACAACCCCTTACGACATGAACGTTCTTTACCAATTCTGGTCGCATTTCTTGATTCGGAATTTCAATCAATCAATGTATGACGAGTTCCGCCATTTGGCTTTCGAAGACGCCGCCCACCGGATGACGGATGCTGGCATTTCCAATCTTGCCAAATTTTACGGCGAGTCTTTGCTTTCGCCACAGAGCGTGATTCGACAGCGGGTAGCTTCAGACTTTGTTGAACTTATCAGGACCGAAGACGAGCGACGTCCAGCTTTCGATCAGCTAAAAGCAGTTTATCGCAGCGGTGGCATGGACCCTCGAAGCCGACAGCGTATTGATGATATGCTCGATGCAGATACCTTGGCTCTGTTGACACCGCCGTGATCGTTTCTCGGTGCTGTGGCAACTTTGTCGTATGAGCCAAGGTTTATGTATCTCTTCGTCCCGGTCTTTGGTCTTGTTGCTTCTCATCTTCCCCTTGCGAGTTTTCGGACTGTGTATACATCAACAAAAAGTTCATGTTCTGGCGTTTTCTACCCGGTCGGCGGCCGACCACCTGTTTTTCCTCCTTCGATAGAATGCCCTCGCGTCTCGGAAATCTTTTTCTTTAATGTTCACACGAATTACCAATCCCACAATACGAAATACCCTTTTCGGGAACATCTGGCTTTCCCCCTCATTTTCCTGGATCTAGGGACCTCGTAGCATTGAAAGCTGGCGTTTTTTATGCGTGTTTACCTTTTGCATGTTCATCCGACTCAGCATACAAAACTTGATGGCAGCTTTCTCTCCTCTCAGGCATATATGGTAATCGTGTGCTTCCTTTACTTATAGGTGGATGTGGTTGCTTGGGAATCTTATTTTCCATAAAGCAAAGTATATAAGCGGATGTCAAGGTCTGCGGATGTGGCTTTTGCTTTGTAAAAGTACGAAAATGAATACCTTCTGTACCCGGTATCTATCTTACAGATCCGTATAGTGAAGTCTTACCTCGGTCTTTCAGGTGTCGCAGGATGATACGCTCATGTATCGTGAAGTGTTTACTGGTGTCCAGTCGTAGGGCTGCTACTCCGATTCTCGCGGTTCACTCCAGCCGCTACCATTTCATTTCTTGATCAGGATTTGCAGCCGGCACACTCCGCCACACAACAGCAAAGCAGCATCGCTAACTAGCTGCGCCATCATTTAAACAAATATCCGACCTTGCAGCAGTGGTTTATAGGCGGAGAGGATCAGACTTTGGCTTTCTGAAACGAAACTAGGGGCCAGTCGGTGAGTGAGTTGGCATGTGATCGTCGTCATTGCTCGGCGTTCCAGACCAATGGTGCCGATCGGTGGCGACATTGACCCTGCGCCTCATTAACGTCGCCTTCCCCACAGTTCGACGCATCACCACTCTCTCCTCTCTTGGAACACACACCCATCATGGCACCTGCCGTGGTGCATTTATACAATTCGGTGGCCAAGAACGCGAGAGCGTTCAAGTAAGTCCGCAATGCTATTCAAAGAGGTCGCGTACTGACAGACGAAGGGCTGCCTGGAAACATGCTGCGAAACTCGTACAGAAACAACTTCCAGAATCCGCACGACCTGCCGATGCCGTACTGCAACCTGTCCTCGCTCGAAATGCCCCAAAGCATCCTCTTCACCGCATTGCCTACCTCAAACAGAGCAAGGGCCGCTGGTACACCACCCACAGCCAGATCAGCGCCGCCGTTCGTCGCTTCACCACCTCTGCGGCTCGCAACTCGGGCGTGAAGTACGACAAGGCTTCCTTTCCCAAGTCACGCATCGGAAGCATCGTCAACGCTCAGGCTGGCCGCGCACCCTTCGCATCGACCCTCCGCCCGAACCTTACTGGTGGCGCACTTGGACGAACCGCAGGAGGCTACGGCTGGGGCTCTGGCAGGGCCGGAGGCGCGCGTTACTTTTCGCATGGACCCGCATCGCCCGCCCAAGTCATCAACAACGTCTCTCAGGCTGTGCGAGCGTTCCTCGTCGGTGGAAAAAAGGCTCAGTTCGATGGCGTCAACCCTCACAATGGTGAGAAGCGCTTCAAGACTGTGTCTGCCCTGCAGGATCAGGTCAACCGTACGCTGAACAAGGTTCCCAAGGCCACCCCCGGATCCTACATTAGCTTCAACGTCAACCCCACCGTCACCGCTCTTACTCCCCTCAAGGCCGTCAAGGGCTTCACCTCTTTCGCGCAGGAGAAGGAGACATTGAACAGCGAGGGTCTCCTCGACGTCCTGTCCGTCGACTTCTCCAGGGCCGTCAAAGAACTCGCTGCCGTTTTGAACGACTTGCAACGACTGGCGGCATTGGGCGATCTCCCGATCTCGTATGAAAATTCAGTTCTCAAAGTCCACTTTCCTGGATGCGATGCGCAAACAGTAGAGACGATATGTAACGACTTCGAGGTCTCCAGAGGTGCAGTTCATCAGGATGCGGATTTCGACGCTTTTGTCGGTACTGATATCGCGCTACTCTTCCCATTTGCACCAAGCCAAACCCCCTCCGAATGTTCATTCTACGACAAGCCCGTTGCCGATCGCCAACACGTACAGCCAAACATCGACTGGACGCACATGCTCTCGCCATCAGTCGCAGCTTCAGAAGATTTCTCGACCCATTCCGAGCAAAGCTACGACCAGCTAGACGACTTCGAAACTGAGCCAAACCCGTGGTTATCCTCTTCATCGCCTTCAGGGTACGACAGCTTGCATACTAGTGAGGCCGATGAGATGGACATGCACACCCCGTTGGAATACCAGGGTGTTGAAGGCATGTATAGGTTCATGGCTCAGTGTGAGTCGCGATAGATGGATATATGAATGCGTTGACGAATGATGATACCTCTTGGCTTAGATTGCTAGAATAGCGTTTTCTATATTTTCCTCTCCTTTGTAGTGACGAATCAATAAATCAAATAGCAACCGCTTCCAATGCTTGAAACAGATGTCTTGTGTAGCATGGTATTAGACTTTTCGAATCATAAACATCCTCTTCACGAACGGACTCCGTTGGAAGCTTCCAGTCTCAGCCGCAGTCGGGTCAACATCACCCTTCGCAGCTGCCGCAGCATCCTCTTCATCTTCACCAATTTTCCACGTCCTCACCATCCACAGACAAACCGCGGCTCCAATGTACATCCAACCCGTGAAGAGGATAGCCCCGGTGTAGCTTCCTCCATTGAATGCGACGATCTCAAGGCCGATGGGTTCCGAAACTGTACTGCATATTAGCATACGTTCCACGTAGACTCACAGAACCGTGTGAGAAAATGAACAGAGAACCAGGCGAAAAGAGGGCTGCACTTACAGGTAGTAGGCAACACAAGCACCAACCAAGTAATACTCAACGCACTCGGCAAATCCCTCAACCCCATAACCTCCGTCGTAACCGGCGCAGCCGTCGCCCAAAACGTACCCGCCACCATCCCACCCACTAGACTAAAAAAGACCAACACCCCAAAGCTCTTTGCAAAGATCCAGATCAGCAGACAAAACACTCCGACCAGGAACGTCATACTGCCTGCCATGTTTAACCGCCCGATAGAATCAGAAAAGTAGCCTATTGGCGGTCTGCCGAGGGCTTGTCCCAAGTTGAATACGGCGCCGATGATACTACCTTGTTGGGCGGAGAGACCGATGGTGCGGGCGTAGGAGGGCAGACTGAAGAGCAGGACGATGTAGCCGAGCATGCTTAGCACGCCGAATGTGAGGAGGCCGACGAATTGGGGTTTTTTGAAGAGGGTGTAGTCGAAGCTGACCTGTTGAGATGTCAGTACGAGGGTTATAACAATAATCATGCTAGAGCTGTTGCAACAGCGTTTGCAGTGCGGGAAGAAAGGATAGGCATGCATCATCGCTACATCTCCCATCTCATCTCACAACAACAAGAACTCCCACATACTGCACACTCGTTAGCCTCAGGTCCCCGAGAAACGTTTTTACACATCTTCACTCACCCTGACGACTCCCAACCTCCTTATTCCGATCCCGTATCACCAACGCACAAACACTATTCACCACGCCCGCAATAACCGCGAGCGTGCGAAAAGCCCAGGGCAACCCGATATCCCTAATCATCGCCTGTGCCGCTAGACTGTAAATCAGCCCGCCGAGTCCACTCCCCGCCGCACAACACCCATTTGCCAGACTCCGGTGTGTGGTGAACCACTGCGCTGCGATGCCCACGCTACCCACGAAGAGAAAGCCCATTCCCCATCCAAAACACACGCCTTGGGATAGGAAGAGGTGCCAGATTGAACTGGCAAAGGAGGCGCCGATGAAGGATACCGTTTCGAAGAATACGCCGATGAAGAGGGTGGTGCGGGTTCCGAAGCGGCGGGTCGTGTATGTGGCCACGGGACTTACGATGAGGGCTTGTGAGATGGAGAGACCGCCGATGAAGGCGTATTGCAGGGGTGTAGCGCCTGGGAAGGTCGAGGTCGAGAGGTAGTGCGCGAGGAAGATGGCGTAGGCGGAGTTTAGGCCCCAGGTGTGCCCATTTATTGTTGCGACGGCGGCAACGCAGACCCAGCCATAGCCGCCGTTGGGGGGCACGTCGATGGGGTGATGAGATGAAGGTGGGGTGGTTTTGGTTGGGTATGAAATTGGAGGTTGCTGTTTTCCTTGTTCTGAGGCCTTGTTGAGAATAGCTGATGGTTCGTTGGTGCTGTGGAGTTCCATGGCTGGTTGGGGTGTTGGGTTGGTCATGCTCTTTTCTAATGGTGACATGTTGTTTCCTGGATGGACGTGGAGTCCCTCTTCTTCTTCACGTTTCAGTGCCGTCATCTTCATGACCACGCCTTGCAAACCCTCTCCGTCTGTTGTCGTCGCACGTCTTCGCCTTCTCCCGGGAATACCGCACGGCACAATCCTTTCTCAATCCCACGATTCCACAGTTTCCAATCTCTTAAACCCGTAGTGTTCACCCAGATACCCTACGCACCGAGATACACACTGAGATCAATTCGCAAGTCCGTAGAAGTATGTCAAGAGTCATGTTTGCGCCTCCCTCGGTTGAAGAGTAGGAAGCAAGCAAAAAAAAGTGGAGGTTCGACATGCCTACGCCCTTGTCCGGAAATAAACTCATAACCCGAACTTCTTACGTTAACGCTTCTAACGCCCTGCTTCTTCTGGTTAATGCAGAGACGGAACTAGGCCGCTCGGCTAGCATGATGATGCCGCGAATGTCGCCTGTCGGCACCACCAGTCAAGATGAAGAGCCGTGCCGATGGCTTTTGATTATGGGCATTTGTAACTCGTCACCACCGTAGTCCATGTTCTTAAAGACACCTCAGTTTTCAACAGAACAACAATATATTAGTCAATTTGGTGTCACTCATGCTAAATTCCAAATCGCACACCTTCTCTCCTTCCAGTATCCCTCCCGTTCATTTCCCAACCATACATAAGAAACTATATAACTAAGAAATCTGTGTTGTATACAATTTGAGCTATAACGTCAAAAACGGTCTTGCGGGGGTATATATTCCAATAGCCAACCTAGGTCGCTGTGCTGTGCAGTGAAAAAACAGAAGAAAAACGCAAGCAGAGAAGCAAGCATTAAGTATTGGAAATAGAACGGCAGCGACAGAACAGCTCGTACAGAGCGTTAAAGCAACGCAAAAGGAAAAAGTCTTTGTTACAAAGGAAAAGTTGTTGGTTCTGCAGTTTCGTCGTTCTTGTTGTTTGTTATGGGCAAAGAATCTACCGTTGTTGTAGTTCTCGGCCAAAGTTCAGTGCTAGGGGCGTGAGTTCACCATCGACAGTGCTTTCATCGTCGTAGAAGCCGCTCTCGCTGAAAGGCTCAATCTCGGCATCTTGGTCGTACGCCTGCTTGCGCATCAGAGGTGGTGTGCGGGGCTGCTTGCCCAAGGCGGGGAAACCGGCTTCGGTTGACGCGCGCGAGCTGTTGGAGTTTGTGCGCAGGGGCTGAGGTCGCTGCGATGAAGATGAGAGTTCAGATCCGCGACGCGCGTTCGAGGTCGGCGGTGTCATGAGGCCTGAGAGGAAGGACTGTGCAGAGTGGGGCTGCGCGCGGGAGGGTGTCTGGGTCCGCGTGGTGGTCGAGTTGCCTGCGAGTGCTGAGGTAGCTTCGCCGCGGCCCTTGCGCCAGTTGCCGATGGCAGCAGCAAGTTGGACTGCTTTGGGTGAAGCGAAGTTAGAGAGCGAGCTCAGGGTTGGGAGAGACTTTTGTCCGCCCGAGATGAGTCGCTCCTTCTCACTTTGCTCCATCTGCAAGTTGGTACGGATGCGGATTGCGGCATCACGAACAGTCTCGCGGTCGAAGGTCGGCTGCGCAAGGGAATTGATGAGGTCGTTCAGGTCGTCAACACGTACACCAAGTAGCTCACGGAGCCAGTTGATTTCAGTGTCGCGTTCCTTCAACTTGGCTGGAGCCTCAGTGTCGACGTCTTCAAGCTGACGCTCAAGAGACTCGATACGTCCTTCGCGCTCTTGTAGCTGCTCTTGGAGAACACCAATAGACTCGCGCAAAGCTTGAGGCGAGATCTTCTCTGCGCCGCTAGGAGCGAAAGAAGAGCTAGACGCAGGAGACTTGGATGCTGCTGCGACAGCGGCATTGGCGGCTTCCTTCGCGACCTGAAGCTTCTCTTCCAGCAGTGCGATCTTGTCCTTGAAGTGGTCGAGTTTGGAGTCGGCGAGCGCAAGCTTGTCGTTGTGGAAAGCATCGGCACGATCCTTGTCTTCACGGGAGAATTCCAGAACACGAGCATGCTCATGCTGGATATGCTCAAGCTGACGTTCGAAAGTGCGCTGCTGCTCCTGCAGGCTATGTCTGTTGTTCTCGATCGCTTCCTGTACGGCTTGCTTCTTGAGGTCGGAAGCCGCCTCCAGATCCAGTTCGTGCTTCTCCTTGGCTGTATCAGCATCCAAGCGGACCTGGTCAAGCTCAGCGCGGACACGAGCGATCTCGCTCTCAAGCTCGTGGCGAACGATGTTGACTTGGTTGTTAGCTGCGTCAACATCGGCCTCCATGAGCACGCGGGTGCGGCGGATCTCAACGTGCGCAGCATCCCTAGCCTCGCGCATGTCACGCTCGTAGCGCTGGGCGTTCTTCTGGTGCTCCAAAGACTCCCTCCTCAGCTCTTCAATTGTCTCCTCAAGTCTGGCGTTGTGCTTCTGCGTTTGCTCGAGATGAATCCTAAGTCTCATACCCTCACGTTCCTGGGTCTCCAAGCGCTCGAGCTCCCTCTCCAGACGCTCTCGTGTGCGACCTTCAGCTTCAATGCGTGCGCTGAGGACCTCGTACTTGGTTGCGGAGGCCTCCTCATTCTTTTGCCATTGAGCACGCTCAGACGCAATCTGCTCCGAAGCGGCAACCATATCTTGTTGTAGCTTTTCGAGCTTGGTACGCATCGACTCTCGTACGCGGGTCGCCTCCTCGGCCTGGAAGCGCGCCTCTCCGATAGCCTTGCGCAGCTTTTCTCCTTCCTCGTGAGCGTCCTGAAGGTCACCACGCCACTTGTTGGCGGAGATACGGTGTTCCTCGAGCGTAAAGCTGAGTGCCTCGTTCTCCGCGGTGACTGAATCGAGCCTCTTCTTGAGGTCCTCCTCCGAGCTTTCCAGGGCGATGTTTGTAAGCTTGAGTTGCTCGTTCTCAATGTCAAGAGTGGCTAGTCTATCGCGCATCTCAGCTGCATCCGCCTGGTATGAGTTGAGGCTACGGCGGAGGTCATCTCGCTCCTCTGTCAATGTACCAATCTTGTGTTCGTCATCACGGGAAGTCTGCTGAAGAAGCGTGAGCTCTTCCTCAGTGACCTTGAGCAGGCGAGCAGAGTCCACTTCACGAGCCTCGATGGCTTGGCGGGCCTCAGCTTCCTCGTTGAAACGAAGAGTGGCTTCCTTGAGCATTTCCTCAAGGTCCGCGATACGAACATCCCTCTCCTGAACGGCCTTGGAGTTCTCACGCTCGGCAACCTCTTCGCCGTGGCGCTTCAGGGCTTCCTCAACAAGCTCACGAACATCCTCAGCCTGAAGGTGGCGGCTAGTGGTCTGCGCAATAGAAGCCTTGAGGCTACCGATGACCTGGTAGATTTCGGACATATCGACCTGTGGCTGGGGAATATCGACGGGAGCCTCGAGAGTGGCGGCAGGCTTCTGGTTGGCCAAAGCTTCGGCAACGATTGAACGGATCATATCGGGCTGTACGTTTTCAGCAGATGGCGCACTAGGAGCTGAAGGCTGGTGGGATGCGAGTGCTTCAGCGACAATAGAGCGAATAGTCTCCGCTTGCAATTGCTCCACGGCTGGCGTTTGTTGTGACGCAAGAGCCTCAGTAACAATTGCCTTCAGGTCGTCAGGCCAGATCTGCTCAGGTACTGGAGGCGGCATTGGCTGAGGAGCGTGCGTCTCGAACGCCTCCAACACGATGGAGCGGATGTCATCAGTCTTGACCGGTTCCACGGGCTGAGGAAGATGGGTCGCGAGCATGTCAGCAAGAATGGAGCGAAGGTCTTCAGGCTTGAGAGACTCAGTCCAGGATGCAATCGTAGTAGAAGCAATTGCATCCTGGACAATGGCGCGAATCTGATCAGCAGGAACAGGGTCGACAGGTTGTACAGATGGCTGGTGTTGTGCAAGCGCATCGGTGACGATCTCCCGGATCTTCTCTGGGATCATTGGCTCGGGTACGGGCACCGGGATAGACGTGATCTGTGATTGGTGCATCTCAAGCGCGTCCTGGACGATAGATCGGATCTTCTCCAACCTCCTGTCCTTTCCACGAGATCGGTTGCGGTAGTCAACGTCGGTGCCGGCTTCGTCATCTTCGTCATCTGCATCGCTGTCCAGGCGTGCGCTAGTTGACATGCTACGGCGGCCGCGTCCCGGACGTTGCGACATCATTGCAAGTGCCTCTTGAATGCCTTGCAGGTTTTGCTCTAGCGGGCCAAGACGGTCCTGCAGGAGACGGCCCATGAGGTCATCAACATGCTTGTCGAAAAAGCCACTGCGTGTCTGGACCTTGGATTCGTCTTCAGTAAGGAGACCTTCGTCCCAATCGCTCATGGGTCCGGCGTCAGCATTGTTCATGTGGCGCACAGGCGAGTCGTATGGGAGCGCAGCCCGCTCATCGTCAAACGGATCCTGCACTGATGTTGCAGAACCCTGCATCGGCCGTCCCGGGAAGAATCCCCGGCGGGGGCTGGGGCTGGGGGCGTCACTGCGCATCTTGAAGTTGGGTTGCAGGTCATTGCGCTCAAACACGTTTGGCGTTCTCTGGGGGGAAGACTGGTCCCAAGAGGCTTCGTCGCGCTCGACGCCAAAGTCCGAGCCCTCACCATCCATATGCTTCATGACAGCATCAATGTCGTTAAAGGAAGCATCACCAAGTTGGTCGAAATCAGCACTTTCGCTTTCAGGGTAGCCCTTGTGCCTGCCAGATTCCATAGCAGTCTTGAATGAGCCGTCGTCGCTAGGCCTGTACGTAGTTGCTGGGCTTCTGCTGGCGTATCTTGGTGGAGATACTTGAGACTTCTCGGGGTCTTCAACCTGAGACGGCTTCGTAACGTGGAAGCCGAAGTCGTAGCCAGCACTGTTAAACTGCGGTCGGAACTCGAATGGCTTGGCGTTGGCAGAAAGAGTGCTCTTGTGAGAGTGCTTATTGCCCAATGGCTCGGGCTCCTCGGTGGTTGGCGTAGGCACGTCGCTCGCATGAGGTGTAT